TTTGCAACAAATAAATATTACAATTAGAATGTCATTTAGCAGACCGTTTTATCCAAAGTGATGTACATACAAATCATACACCAGTAGAGGACACACACTGGGAGCATGGTAGATTAAAAGTCTTCCCCAAGGACACAACAGACAGACTAGGGATAGGGGGAAATTAAAGTTTAATGTTGGGAATTTTTGCGGTCACTAGTAACAAGGAGCTGAGGGTTGTGGATTTTTTCTTATTCCTCTTCCAGACAAATTTTGATTCGCTACTAATCCTACAGGTTAAAGAGTTGTAGGACAGATTATATACTAAAATGTATGGTTTGGTCAGTATCAGTGTGCCATTACTTTTCTAGCTTATATATAAGTATATATATAAGTTTTCGCAACGTCACTAAAAACTGCTAAAAATTTTTGCATTGAGGTCATTGGAACAAGCCAAAAAAAGAGAGCAATTATTGGAGTTTTTCAAACATTTACAACTCCAGCATACTTTCACCTAGAGACTCCATTCAAACTTTAGAATGCAGACACAAGTTTTGTCTATTGATGTATTAATCCAAATTTTGATAGGTCTTGTAGTTTTTGACCAATGACTGTTCAATGACCATGATCATTTTTGGAGAAATTTTGAGATTATAATGGGTGTGTATTGCATGGAGCTCTGTGCCGTAGTGGGTGACACCATCGGCTTGAGTGAGAGAAGTTGCATGAACTTTTTTGAAACTTTTCTCTTTGACACCATACAAAGATTTTCTGAGAGAAACAAAAGGGACTCCTGTTTATAACTTGCAAGCATGCCCAAACTGTTTACTGTAGAAACACCAAAATCATATCAAATACAGAAGACTTCAGGAAGTCCTGATCACAGACTGCTTTTTTTTCTGATAGGAGCTACCGTTTTATCAGAATGTGAGACCAGTGCAGAGATAAAAATCACCAATTTTGACGTCATTTTGACTCCCTCAGCGTGCGTGTATCGTTATTGGAAACCATCTCAAGCCTCAGGCCAGGCCCACAGCTGAGACCAATTTGCTAATCAGGGACTGCTCTGATATCTCTGAATAGTCTTATTATCATGTGTACACCATGGCAGTAGCCACTGTGGCCCTTTCATATTTTCCCAGTGGGAATAATTGTATTATTGTTGTTGTGACTGGGAATGTACAAATTTGATTGACTAAATGATTTTATGTCATTAGTCCTCTAAGTTAGCACCAGAATTGCAATGTGTTCCCTTGTCTATTAGTATTTTTATAACTGGGGGCCTGAAATGCCAATCATATGTTGGGCCCACAGCCCCCAGTTAACAGCTACCGTCATACTTCTATAATAACGCTGTAAGGGTCTACTCCACAGATGTAAACAAATGCACAGTTGGCATCTTAAAGCCAGGCATAGGTTTTGGTTAGATAACAGAGACAAAGCTGTATCAAAACAATTGTATAGCAGTACATTACAAGCACAAGCACAGGGTGTTAATCTGTCTGGAGGAATGAAGGCTGGTGGTGCTAGCTCTACAAACTCAGAAAACAAGTTTACCCTCAAACCCAGTGATTCAGTTTGAAGCCATCTTTAATAAAACATGTTTGATTTATTTTTTTTTCCGAGTGTTTTCTTAACTTAAGAAATATCAGAACATAAATTTCTGTCTGAATGACAGAAAAGCTACTCCCAGAGAAATCCCCTGTTGACATCCAAAGTATAACCAGCAACTTTAGACAGATTAAAAAAAATATCCCTGTCAAATGGCCTTTGCTTTTCAAAGAACACATTTAGATTCAGATTGACAGATTTTTATGCCCAGGCTTGCTGTTCCCAGTCTTCTTGCTGAACTTAGCCAGTGACTAGCTATGAATTTAAGCTCATCTCCCAAAGTGCTGTGAAAGTTGCCCATATGCTGATGCAGTGTTTTTGCTTAGCGTTTCCAATGAATAAAGTTGAGGCATCTATGTAAAGTGCCTTTAAACTACATGTAGGAGTAAATTGAACAACACTTTATTATTTTATGGAGCAAAAAAGGGGCACAGTATTCATCTAGAAGGAGAGTTAAACTGCAAGTATCAGCAAATTTCTAACAGAAACTGATGCATCATGGTAGTAAAGCTCTGAGCACCAGAACCTCTAATGGATTTCAATGTATCTTATGAGTTTATCCAATAAATAAACTCACACTGGACGCTGTCAACGCAGAATTGTGTCCATTATTTAGCCAACTCTGCTACTGTACAGCACAGAAAGGACATGACACTTTTACATCCAAACAGCACATCCTGTTCCATTTTCTGTGCCAAACATCTCTCATCCTCCTTCTCCATCTCCCTCTTATGCGCACACACACACACACACACACACGCACGCACGCACGCATGCACACACACGCACACACACGCACAGAAACTCATCCTGTATGTCACCAAACGTCAGGCCTAGCATGCTCTCATTATGTGTTCTCTCTCTCTCTCTCCCCTGCTTTTTAAATCAGCCACATATACCTCCACACACACACATCCACAGAGGTTAAATTTGGTCAGATATTGTCATAGGATGGGGGCTGCACTGATTACTGTGGATCAATGAAATAATTTTACACAGGGAAGCTCCTAAAGCCGGTGCTAAATAAGACAGACTTTATCTGAAAATCAATGAGGATGGAGAAAATCATGTTTAGTCTCTTTGTTTAGTTGATGTCTGCATTAGTGTCGCCAATTTGTTAACGTGTGCTTGTGTGTGTAGCCTTGTATGTAAGCAGCCATATACAGTTGGTGTGTGTGTGTTAGTCATCTGTTTCTCTATTTTAGACTTGAGTTTGTTTTCTTTTGAGTGTGTGTGTCTTTGTGTGTGTGTACTCAAGCTTGTGTGTCTTTGCCTTAGAGTGTGTGCACATGTGTGAGGGTGTGTACGTGCATTTCAGTGTGACCTTTCCATGCTGGCCCAGCTAAATAAAGACACAGCCGTCTCCCCCCCCCCTCCTTTTTGTATTTCGCAACTTTGCTCGGAGGTCTCACACAGTTGAACAAGTCCTCGGTTTCTGCTGATTTGCTAGCCCATCAGCCACAGTCTGTACGGACATTTGAAAGCCCTCACATGTCGTTTCCAATCAGATGATTCAGTTCTGATTGTAATTGTCACTGCTGTTCTGGCTATGCTGGGATTTTTCTAAGAAGCATGCTGCTAATGGAGATTTTACAGCACAGCCTGATGCTGCCCGTGATGATAATGTGATGATTTTGGTTCTTAATTCTTGCTTTACAAACGCCAGGAGGCACAATCACTTGCCAAGGTTTATATCCATGACAAACATCAAAGTAATTGTGTCCAAAGGGAATAAGCTCAAATGAGCCTCATTTATAATTCAATGCTGATACTCTTCAATAACAATTTCTAACACGTCATCTTTGTGCTAGCTGGGAAAACCATAAGGCTTTTATTTCATGTATCTTTTGTCATGTGGTTTAGCAGTGATTTTGACTGTATAAAAACAACTCTGAGGAGTCAACAAGTATCCCAACGATGGCCGTCCACATTTTAAGGAGGCTGACCCCAATTTACGATAAGAAACAGGAACAAGTTAAGGAACAGAGTTAAGGCAAAAGCCTCGCTGCCTTACAAAGAGACAGATGGAGACCCAGGTCTTTTTTAGGATTGTCATTTTTGCCTTTAATTGATTGGACAGCTAAAGAGAGATGGTTAAGAAATAGTGTAGAGAGAAGGAAGGGGAAGACAGGCAGCAAACAGCCAAGGTTCAATCTGTACTCTCTGCTGCTGTGTCAAGGACTTTTAGCACTACACATGGGACATGCACTGTGGCTGCTGAGCTGAACCGGTGCCCCTGTAAAACCCCTTTTTTATGCTGGGTTGCAAACATGTTTAATTCTGCTGTAAACATGGAGAGAGGGACAAATCTTTTAGTTATGAACAGACTAACTGAGGAGTCTAAGGGTAATGTTACGCTTACCCAAAAAGAAAACCTGAAGGACTATGGTCGCAGGCTGGGAAATAACAAAACTGTACCTTTCAAACAAAGTTTTAGATTTATATAAGTCCTTATGTTTTCTAAAAGGTGTCAGCGGTGAAACATTTCCACTGACAGCAACTAGTTCTATCAAAAGATTGGACAAACAAAAGACTAGACTTCAAAACACAGAAAAGAAAAAAGAAGTCAATGATTGGGAGTAAATGATGATTACTGCACAAGCACTGAATAAACACAGAAATGTATAGTAATTTAAAATGTAATATCATGCAAGAAAGCACAAGACATCCGACTGAAAGGGTTGACCTCCTGAGAAGCAAAAACCCAACTGAACAGGGGGGCTCAGCCTCCCACCCTCAGCTGATTGCTACCAGCTGAGGGTGCTCCCAGTAACTCTTGATTAACCAGCATATCTGGATCTTGGTCCACAACAGTAAGAAATGCTGAAATAACAGTCTGAACTGAGCACAGCTAAACACAGGATCCCTCTATCTGTGGGTAAACAGTGTCAAACTAGTTCTCAGTGTGGCTGTTATGTTAGCAGAGATAGCATCACCAGCCTTCAGTCCTCCTTGCAAGTTGCCATCTGCATGCTTGTGCTGGTTACATATTGTTGGTTTGGCTGGTTATGTACCAGTTTAACCAGTCACAGTCAACATAAACCTTAATGTCCTTACACAAATGTTCACACACAAAAGAGAGATAGGGGGGGCTCAGTGGTGAGGTTAGCTTCTCAATAGGAAGGTTGGGGTTTGATTACAGGTCCCACTGTCCACATGCTAAAGTGTACTTGGGCAAGACACACATGATCCCACATGGGTGTGCCCATTGGTATGTGAATTAGTCAAAAACTGATGGCCACTTATGCCATTGGCGGGTGAATGTGACGTGTTATGTAAAAGTGTGTTTTGAGTGGTCAGAACACAGATTTGCAAAGTAATCTCTAAAATGTGATCTATTCTGATATTTTTCAGTGTTTTATATATTTGGAATTATTTGATTTATATTTATACCATGGTATAACTGCACTAAATTGGCCGTAAATGCATTGTGATTTGGGCAGCTACCATCCTGTAACTCAATTTAACTTGACTGTTTTTGTAGGCAGTTGCTGTCTTATTTTGGATATTGACATTGAAATGGTTGGATCATCCAAATGCCACACTTCTGGCTCAGGCGAATTCTGTTCTGACTATGCTGAGCTTCTGCAGATGGACAAATAATATCTTCTCCAGGCGTGGTCTGGAAGAATTATTTGGTCAAATCATCTGTGTCAACAAACACACAAAAGAAAGATGGCAGAAGAGGAAAAACACCCTTAAGCAAACTTATACAATTGCATAAGCCTGAAAAGCTCTTTGTGGATTAGTTATAAGTACACTAATAAATAATACAAACATCCCAAAATATCTGCAAGGGCAGATAGACCTTGATTACATCTCAAAGGCAGTGATGAGAATTGATTTGGAGGGATGAGGTATGTATTATTTACAGTATGGAGAGTGTGTGTTATCTCTCACTAAGTGTGCATTTTATAAGAGTTGCCACAGCTATCAAAGCCGAGCTGAACCAACAACAAAGAACTTCATGCTTTAAGAAAGCCCTCAAAAATATATATGCTTGTTCAAAATGCACACATATACAAACACAAGCACACACATGCCTGGAGCTGAGCACCACTCTGTTAAACAGCCTCAGTCCCATAAAGTGATTTGAATCATTATCACCAGTGCCCCTCTAAAAATGACGTTTTTATCACAGTTTTCACAAAGCGAGTGTGTTTGAATACCTCCACCTTTAATGGGGAGAGAGAGTCTGTCTGTGTGTGAGTGTGTGTGTGTGTGTTTGGACTCTTATTTCTCCCCGTGCCTCATGGGTGTTTTCAACAGCCAAATTACAGAGTGAAGAAATCTATCTACAGTTATAAGGTGGAAGAGATTGGAAATGGAAAATGCTCCACGCTGGAACGCCCTGCAAACACATCCATATTCATGCAGAGAAATGCTACATCCATCATGAATTTGAAAATGGGACCTAATGTGTGTGTGTGTGAGAGAGAGAGAGAGTTTCTGGGGACAGCCTTACTTGTATGGGAGCCGGTGAGTGCGTTTTCAAATTCTCCAGGCTACTATCATGTGTGAATGAGAATCTAATGAGTGTGTGGTGCTTGGAGTGAACCGGACTCTCTCCATCCTTTCTCTCTCAGGAGGGTCCACTGCCACCGTTCTGTCCTGCTTTATATTCCAGCTGAGGTTGGAGAATCAGGAGCTTAGGGACACTGTGTCTGTATGACTATACAACACAGTAAACACACACCTCACAGCTCCCGACGCTCGGCTTTGATAAGTTATCTATTCACCTCGGCCTGCACCTCAAATCACAGCTTAGCCATGAATATGGAAATGAAACTGTGAGAACACACAGGTGGAGCATCACATGGGTGGTGTGTGTGTGTGTGTGTGTGTGTGTGTGTGTGTGTGTGTGTGTGTGTGTGCGTGTTTGAAAGGGAAAAAAAAAAAAACAGGACAGAGAAATCCCCAAACTACCCATCAGCATAAATCAATTACAATTCACTACAGGACCGCTAACCTCAAATATAACAAGCTGTCACAACAAGTGTGTGTGTGCGTGCAGGGTGAGCATGTTCCATGACTAGAATAAAGTATGTGACACTTGGTGGGAGATATCACATTCAGCGTGTGTGTTTGTGTGTGAGTGTGCATATGTGATATCTTGCAACATCCTCTAATTCCTTGTAGACTTCCTTCATGTTTGTTGGCAGGAGGCGACATTATGCTGCCTCTGCTGCGTCCTACTTCTCATGTCCCCCTGTGATAGGACATTTTCCAATGACATCTTGAACCCCCATCGGCCCACCATGTTATGGACTATTTCCTGGAGTCGCATTGCCATTCTAGGCTTTTTTTTTATAATGGCTGGAAATTGCTTTGGATTGCACTCTGGTTTAACATGTTTGCTAGAAAAACATGATTCTGTTAATTGTCTCATATTGGTGGAAATGCTCTCCCTGGAAATGATTTCCTCTTCCCTCCTCTTCCTCGCCCTGATTTTATATCAATATATGAAACAAACGAAACCAGGAGTGAGTCATGCATTTTCAAGTAGCTTTATTTCCAAACTGGAGAAGGATGATGACAGATGGGAAATAGATGATTGTAGAGCTTAGACCATGCAGTCTGGTCCAAACACACTTGAAGAAGAGACAATACAGGCGCTTTCAAGGGAAAAGATGGTGATCAAGAGGCGGATTATTGCACCTGTCACCTTAAAGCCATAAATCATACTTCTCTTTAAAATAAACAAAGCAGCAGTCTCACCACATAAAGCCATGGTTTAGGGAGATTTGAGGCGCATTAAACCTCATATTTATTGAACACTGCCATGAATCCATGACCTGTGCAGTTATTTTAGTCATAATTACTTTGCTTAAGCTGTTTGTGTTTCTGGAGAGAAAAAATAACCACTCCAGACAAGCGCATGGATGAGTTGTATGAGTGCAAGCAGCTCCGACTCTAAACAATTTTCTTCTTATCGGTTATTTGGATCTCTAAGTGGCCCGGTGTGATATGGATTGTAGCCGTAATGTCCTGCACAAAGCCTGCAAATCATCCAACTGAAACTGGCTTCAGGTGCAATTGACGTTTTCATGATCGATTTCTCTTTTAGGAAAAAGTTAACACCACTGGTGAGGCAAGTTTTCTTTTTTTCGTTTTGCAAAATGCTTGATAAATTCTACATCCATGACGTGCTTGATTGAACATATTTTTCTTACCCAACTACATGATACGATGGTACAATGATGTTAAAGGATGCATTGTAGTTTCTGCATCATGCACAAAAACTCAAGGTTCATGTGCTTTCAATTCAATACAAATCTACAGAGGCCCAGAAGGTCAGTTGCACAAGCATTTCATGAAAGCAAAGATACACATATAATTGACTGTGAGGAGCTTTGATAAACACAGAATTTTTTCATAAACACGAACACGCCCAAAAAAAGCATTTTAGGACATAGAGAAAAAAAAAATGCACATAAAAACAGTTCTCAAAAGTAAAAATCGCCATGAACCCAAAAAACCACTTAAGAAATCAAACAGTTTTCAAAAGGGAAGTATTTATGAAAGCAAAAAGCATTTCACAAAACAAAACATTACTAAAACTTATTGATGTATAATGTAAAAAAAAATGTCAGGATTTTTTTTTTTAAATGTAAAAAAAAAAGTCAAGGTAAGGTTAAACAGTATTTTGCAATATTTCTGTTTTCTGAAAGGTTTTATTTGGTTGCAACATAATTATAGATTTTATTTGTTAAATGTTTAACCATCGAAAAATGTGTGTTTTATAAATGCATGCTGTTAAATATTTTTCCTAATTTGAGTTTTTTTCCCCAGCGTTTTATTTGTTAAAATGTTTTTTTGGGGTGATAAAATGTTCGTGCAGTTTACCTTCAGGGCCACAGTACAAATTACCTCCCACTAAACCCCAGAGTAGCTCAATCTCACGAAGCAATTTATTCAAGATATTAAAAATCTGTACAGTGTTCTTGCTCCTTGACCTGTTCCACTTTAAGAATAAAAAGCACAGTTAAATGAAAAATAAATAGATAACAGACATTTGAACACACATTAAAAGTTTGAAATAAATAATACAGTGTTTTTCAATCTCTGCCTCCTATCACAAACACTTAATATAAAGTTCGTTTAAAGCAACACAGAGCCGGATATTACTGAGTCAGGCTGGTGTCCTGTAAGGCTCTTTGGTCCCTTGAGGGTGATCAATAAAAAGCCATGTTCTAAATACCACTGATAAACACTGACTTTAGCTTCAGTAAGACTGCCTCAACATGAAGTTGTACTTCTCCTCCTGATAGACATTCATACCACACACTGAAAAGCGAGGCCTACACCCAAAAATCTGCTCTCTGTCCTTATTAATATTACAGTATTTCTGTAGTGCACAGCAGCCAGAGAAGGCACTGACACTCTCTACAGAAAATAACGTTAAGTCAACACACTCGCACACACTCACTCACACACACACACTCACACAGGTCAGCAGAATTAGACAATTAGCAAACTGAAGAGTTGCTGCTGACAGCCCTTGTCCCATAGAGTCAATAAGCCTGTGTGGTGTTCACAGTTACAGACACATTTTCTGTCCTCTCTTTGTGGAGGAAGCAGGCACAGTCTCTTGGTGAGAAAAATAAATGTGCTATTCATTCTCTCGCCTCTCAGAGACAAACCCAAATGTGCCGTGTAGAAGTTCACCACAAGCAAGGATGTGCTGGAGGCGTCTGTGAGGAGAGACTCCACTTAATGACTCTCAGAAAAAAAAAAAAAAAATACATATAAGGGATAACATTACACAAATCATAAATGTCTACCTGCTTCAAATTACTCAGGAAAATAATGTTCACATGTTAAATCAGGCTTTTCAGTCTTCTTTATGAACCTCCCATAGAGTTCTGTGAGTGACATTCAAGAGGCTTAAACAAGTTTTACTGTTTCTTAATTGTCCAAATATACTTGAGCATTAGTCCAGTCCATTCAAAGTTAAAATCAGGGGTTATGATGTCTTCTTCTTTTTTTTTTTTTTTGTACACAGCAAACATAAGCGGTGAGCTTTAAAGTCCAAAATCCACCAGACTTTAGCTCGGCATATGTTTCATGAAATGTCAAATCCTCAGTGCGTTGTAACAAACAACCTGAGTGTCCCTTGTGACCCACACCCAGCCAGGAGCAAGGTGTCTGACGCGAGGAGCTTTCCACATAAAAAGTTCAGCTTGAAAGGGCGCCCTTGTCTGTGCTATCACATTTGAGATTGTCAGAAAAACCTTCTCTTGTTGCTGCTCTTTTTAGATAAAAATCGAAAGACACATGTTTGCCCTGCAGCTGGGGCACATTAAGACTGCAGACGTAAGAAATCCCCACCAACCTTCTTGTGCTCTTTATAGATAAGTAAAAAGCCCTGGGCTCACTGGAATCAAAGGTTGCTTTTCCTTCTATTTTTTAACCAGTTCTCTTCCTCCATCACTTCTGGAGTCCTTGACTACAAACCTTGAGATATAGTACATTTACCTTTCTGTATAACTACTTTCCTTCTGTTATTCAGTCAGGAAATCTGAATTCAAACAGTTTAATGTCCAACACTGCCTCCATTCAGTGTCCTATTTTGACCCCACACCCTGTAAAATTGTCAGTGCTATTATGTGTGTGTTTGTGTGTGTCAGCTGCAAGCTTGGATTTCACAGTGCAAGTTTCCTGTTTGCTCACACTGCGGCTGTAAGAGAGACTTTCAGCTCTAGAATTTATGCAGAAATTTTCACTGGTCAACATGCTTTTTATAAGAGCCCTTTAAATATGTTTAGAAAATGAGATATTATAATGAACCTATGCTTCAGGAATGCTTTTTTTTTTGTATCTAATCTTAAAAGAAAGTCCCCTTAGTGCCACCGCAGAGAATCTTCTTGAAGGCCTTCCTGAAGTCTTTGTTGAAGATGGTGTATATGACTGGGTTAAGAGAAGAGTTGCAGTACCCAATCCAGAAGAAAAACTTAAACAGTGGATCAGGGATGGTACAGGTATCTGGGCACACGGCCTGTAGAGAGTAAGAGAAGAAAAATGGGAACCAGCACACCACAAAGACCCCAATGACCACCGCCAGCACAAAAGTGAAACGCTTCTCTCTGTTCACCATCGCTTTCCGCCTCGCTGCCCCCGGGTTGTTGTCTATTTTTGACTTCCTCCCTGGCACCAGCCGCGCCCCCTTTGAAGTGGCCATCATGTCCCGGTAACGCTTGGCCGATGCCGGGGAGTGAACCCCACCTCCTGCGGGTGACCCCGGCATGCTGGTGCTGCCTCGGCCTCCTCCCTGGCTGTGCTCCAAATCACTGTCTGTGCTCGAGCTGTCGCCGTTGTTATTGTCAGCTTTTTTCTTCCCCTGCTTGACCTTTTTCTTCTCCTCCTTTTTGGTCTTGGCAGGGACAGGCTGGGGCACAGGGGTTGGGTTGGAGGGAGCATGGCTGGAGGTGTCCTGGGAGGTTGTGACAGGAGTCAAAGGTAGAGATGGGGATGGGGGTTGCAGGAGATTATTGGTGGGAGGATCCTTGGGGGTTTGGGGCCCCCCTGGAGGAGAGGAGCTGGTAATTGCGAGGCTGGGGGGTCGGTCATTGCAGTTTCTGTTGGATGAAGGGGGGGTGCTTTCTTCATCATCCTTCCCATTGGCTTGAACATGTTTTGAAGGCTGACTAGGCGTAGCAGATCCAACCCCATCCTTCCTGGGCTCTCCTGGGGGGCAGCGAGTTCTCTGCTTGGCGATTTGGTAGATTCTGACATAGACCAGGATCATGATGAGGCAGGGGGCAAAGAAGGAGCCAATGGTGGAATAGAGGATGTACCATTTCTCATCATTCAGCTGGCACTGAGGTGCACTGCCTGGGTCACCTGCCTCACTTTTGTTTAAAGAGAGCAGGGGCGGGAAGGAGATGATGGCAGAGATCAGCCACACCACCACGATAGCGGCTTTAATGCGTCTGGGAGTCCGCTGACGCCCGTAGGTGACCCTGGAGATGGACAGGTAACGGTCCAGAGAGATGGCGCACAGGTGCACAATGGAGGAGGTGCAAAAGAGCACGTCCAGCGCTAGGTATATCTCACACCACAGAGATTTAAAGTACCAGTAGCCAAGCAGCTCATTAGCCAGAGAGAAAGGTATAATGAGGGTGGCCACTAAAATGTCCGCAGCAGCCAGAGACACTAAGAAAAGATTCTGTGGACCTCTGAGGGAGCGGCTTGTCAGGACGGCAATGATGACCATGATGTTTCCTACGATGGTGAAGACGACCATGAGGGTGATGGCGGTGGCGAAGGCTGCCGTGGCCTCTGGGGAGTAGGGGGCGAGATTTAGGATGCTCTGGTTGCATGGTGTAGAGGCACCGGAGCCGCTCGCGCTGCTGTTCCAGCTGCTGAGCTCCAGCGAGCAGCCACTGTCCGGACCCGAGGCCATGCTGGGTTAGATCTCCAAGAGTCTTTGGGGATTAAAACATGTGAATGTCACTGATTGTAATTTAATATTAGTTATTCTAAAGCTATGACAAGTGTGACATAAAATCTTGACATATTGTCCTGTAAAAACTTAAATCTGTGCTGACAACAAATGATTTTAAATATACAATTTTTTACCTTAGTTTTCTCTCGTTTTCTCTTCGTATGATTCCAAATGTTAGCTTCCTTGCATTCTCCACACCAAGTTTCCTAAGTCCATGTTAAGCCCAAAAACAGTCCCAGGGCTGCGCGTCAGGACGCGGATCAATGCTTTTTAATTAACTAGGCGTGCCACTCAGTGGATTAAATCATATCCGAGAACAGAATAAAGTGGTCTGACGACTGACTGTTGTGCATCAACCCTCACAATAGAGCCAAATAATACAAAGTTATTTTACGCACAAAGTTTGATTTCTTCTGCATCTGCGGATCGATAAAATAGTACCATTAATGTTATAATTATCTGATTATGACAAATGTGTGACTGAATACAGCAAAGTGGAACTGAATACACAAGATTAGATCAGAGTAAATAATTTAGGTATTTGTGGAATCTCCGTGCGTATTCGTTTAGAGACGCGCGTCTGCCTGATTGTTTTATCCATAGAAAGCGAATCCGAACAGTTATGATAGAATAAAAATACAATATTTACAATGATTTACAGGTCAGTCTCTCTCTGTCAAATACAGCCTGGCAGATGACCGCGTTACCAGTCCGTTGAAACGGAGAAAACTCAAAGTTAACCACGAGCTCTCCAGCCCCGTGCGCGAAGCCAGATATGTTGTCAAGACGCGCCTGTTTCTGTTTAGAAGAGGAATGGTCCCTGCACAACAGCTTCAGTCTTTGCGTCCCAGGACTTGTTTCTCGGTCCTTTTTTTCCTCTTTTGTCTCCACTGAAGTTCACCGGGATGCCATGATCCAGCCACTCCGCTGGCGCACATCACAAGCGTCCTCGCAGAGGCGCAGCAGCATCCTCACTGGTGAGCAGGACCTCAGCACAAAATCTAATAAAGTAGGGGTGCCTCCCATCTCCCTCCTGCACTTCTTTTTCGACCCGCTGATGTCACTCTGGGGCTGCAGGCGTCATGGGATGATTGCTCTCTCTGTCTTTGTAGACCTCTCTCTCCCTTTCCCCTCCCTCTCATAGTGAATTCACACTGAGGGGATCGGCCAGCAGTCATATCAGACCTGCTGGGTGGCACTACCGAGGAGTCCAGTTGATCCGGGGATCTTAAACTGCTCGACCACCACCACCACCACCACCATCATCATCATCATCATCATCATCATCATCATCATCATCATCATCATCATCTTAAAACTTTTTCAAGCTGAATTTACACAGTGCCAAATCTTAATAAATGCTATCTCCAGAAGCTTTCATAAGAGGGCACGTCTGGACTGCTCGACCTTCATCATCATCATCATCATCATCATCATCATCATCATCTTAAAACTTTTTCAAGATAAACTTACACAGTGCCAAACCATAATAAATGCTATCTTCAGAAGCTTTCGTGAATGGGCAGGTCTGGACCATTCTCTCTGTTGTTCACAGAGACCAAACATTAACACTTTGCAGCCAGCAGCAGAAGCAAGTTGCCTCCTTTCAACAGGCAGAAACCTCAAGCAGGACTGGACTCATAAAGAACTGCTATCTACTAGATGTATGACAGGGTTTGCAGAGAGATAGATGGATAGACACAGAAAAATACAGTCATTATCATCTTAATCATCATCATCATCTTCTTCTTCTTCTTCTTCTTCTTCTTCTGTCTGCCTCCTCCTTCTCTCTTTTTCTGGTTATCTGGTCAGATGGCTTTTCACCAGTGAGTCTGACTTTTACTTTGTTTTTCTTTTTGCTGAATGTTGTAGTAATATAGATTAAAAGTTTTTCTCTCTTACTGCATCCAACACTCAAGCTGGAATCATAATCATCCTCATCACTGTCCGTCTGCCTCTCTAAGTCTATACCACTGTCTCTGACTAACCAGTATAGGCAGATGGTCATTCTCCAGTAAGTCTGGTTCTGGTGGGTTAATCGTAATTTATAAACATCATAGTGATCATAGTGATCATCATCATCATCATCATTTTTATTATTATCATCATCATAATCATTATCATCATCATCATCATCAATATGACCATTGTTGATGTCATCATCATCATCATCGTCATTGTCATCATCATCATCATCATCATCATCATCATCATCATCATCATCATCATCATTATCAATATGACCATTGTTGATGTCATCATCATCATCATTATTATTATTATCATAATTATCATCATCATCATATTTAATCATCCTCATCATTGCCATCCTCATCATCTTCATCATTTCCATCATCGTCATCAATATTAGTATCATATTCATGATCATCACCATCATCCTCTTTATCATCGTCATCATCATTATACTTATATTATTATTTTCATTGTCATCATTGTTATGCTAATCATTATTATCATCTTGATTATTATCATTATGATTACCATGCTCATTGTCATCATAATCACCTTAATTAACTGTGTCATTACAGTCATTAAATCTTCATTAATTAACATCATCATCTTCATCGTCATCATCATCTTTACCACCAACCTCATCATCACCATCATGACATTATGTCAGATCAGTCTTAGTGGAGAAGCCAGTGCTATCTTTATTTCTGCCAGTTTGTTCCTCATGACAGTGTCCATGTAACTTACAACAACTGCAGGCATTTAGTGGAAATAAATGTTTCTGCTGCAGTTGCTTGAGCTGGATTTAGCCGCTCATGTGGACAGAGTCTGACATTTTAGCTGTAAAACCTGGTCCCAAGCCTGTCTTCTTCTGATTTATGGTGAATTTGGATTACAGCTACAGCATGAGAGGCAGAGGTAAGATTTGTGTTGGGTCTCATCATTTATCTTTTTGTTTGAAGTGTTTCTGGTCATTTCCTTCTTTGTGTATTGCAGTGTGTTAAGGGTTTTGAAATTGTTTCATCTTTGTGCTCTGAAAGAAAACACTTTTTCTAATCAAAACTTTGTGGCACTTTTTAAAAAGTGTTCCTTCAGTATCATTATCATGTTACGTTTTTAAACATGCTCAAGTGACTTTTCCATTCAGACTTTGGAAGCACCTTTTAGAAGACCTAACGTTAACTTGTAAGGAAGAAAAAGAAGCTCAATCAATTTAATGCGTCAAAGGCCCCAAATTCTTGAAAACCTAAGTAAAATAAAAATCTCATTTGCAAGAATCTTCCCCTTTGCAGTGTTAAATAAGTGATGCATTAAACTGCAGGTGGCCTCCGAATGAATATTTCATATAAAGAATACATTTTCTGAGGTTACAGATTTTGCATATAAAAGCTTTTGCAGCACAGAAACTGCTTAATTACAACCATTAAACAGAAGCTGCGGTAAAAGTGAAGAATCTCCTCACGAGTTGGATTATACAGTCTACTCATGCTCACAGCTGCTTGCACTTTGTTATCTTCCACCTTAGCCTGGTGTGCAGGGTGCAGGCCAGAGACACTTGCGTTCTGTGCTCATGCATTTACATCATCACTTGACTTCCATTTAAATCCCTCGGTATTATGCACCCTGCAATACTTGCTCCCCTAAGATACGCATGCAATCTACGGCATCCTTCATTGTACCCGAGATCAAGTGTCCGTTGTTCAATTACGGACTAAAAGCCTGCGTCAAGCCTGCTGTTTTTAATGAGCCTTAAATTAAATGACAGGAAGAGTTTATCCATGTATGTAGGTGGCCTATGTGAAACAAAGTGAAAACACACAAACTGCAGCCTACACATGCACACTTATGAATGGTATGTGTGTGCTCATGTGTGTGTGGGTTGGTAGGGGGGCCTGTTTGCTTGTTTTGTTGTGCACCCCCCACACACTGCTGTTTTAATGAGAGAGAGAAGCCCAGTGAGCCACCCATGGAATTACAATCCTCTGTGATTATGTGACCTGAAGCCACAGCCAATAATGGTTGTACATTTTTCACTCCACGCTACACATTCTAAATATAAAGGCAAAGCGTATAAAGCTTTTAGTGGGAGAGAGCACTCCAATCAAGTGTCTTGGTTTCCATGGGTGAATTGTGCCTAGTTACATGCTGGAAATGCATTCTGGGGGAGAGGGGTGTGTCATCAATGCCAAGGTTACAGAGACTGAGAAGCAAACAGCGTTCAGTGCACAGTACATCACTTCTGAAGTGTTTGTTGTGTAAGAGAATGTAATGTACAAACCTGTGAGCAACGATACACACAGACCCAAAGGAAATCCTGCCGTCATGCATCACACACTGTGGATCAGTAATTCTTTGCTTGACATACAGACTGGAAAAAAACAAGTTTGCTGCACCTGGTTCTGGAAAGGGCATCAGCCCTTTTAGAAAACTTTACCTGCTTCATAAAAGTTGGATTATAGTCTCTGGGTGTTTTCAGATCGACATAAACAAAGAAGTGGAGATAAATAGCCTCGAATGAGTTCAGTATTACTTGCAGGTCAGCATACTGCAGGGTTTTTGGTGGGAGTCTTTGCACATAATGGGTCAGGCCCAAATCAATTATAGTACAGAACCTGCCCTTTGGATAGCTCCACTTTAAACTTTTACTTGAGTTATTGGCTTAGGTCTGCCTCCTTTTTCAGTGTATGTGAGCGTGTAAAGGGGGAGTTTGTTCCTGTATATCTACCTTTGTGAGGACTATCAGACAGACAGATTTTAAAAGCAGGAACATTTTGGCTGAAAAAGGTTTAAAGCTTGACTTTTAAGTTAAGAATGGGGTCAAGTTGGGTCAGCTAAGTTTAGAAAACCTTTGTAGATTTGAAAGTTCAGTCTTATTTTTGTATTTTTCAGTGAATGAGCTGTTTGTCACATGTTGCATTTGAAAATGAGGAGGTGATTTAGTAAACTGTGATTTTTCTTTTTTCTCGATGTTTATTTAAATGTATAAAGCTATTATATGGAGGTTTTGGCTAGTCATGAAAACAGCTGAAATTTGTACTGGAGCCTCTGAATGACCTACGAATGTTAACAAGGGTTACAGAAACAGAATTGATTATTCCTGAATTCTTATTTTTAATGCTTTTAACCCTCAGAGGAAGAAAGGTTTCAGACAAACTGAGTGCTGAAAAAACATTTTCACACATGTTCTGCTTTAAACATTTACAGTGAGGGATATTCTTGGCTGCAAAAGAAAAGAGAAAATGATTTTTGTCAGAAAACATCTACAAATGTCTGGAAAAAAATCAGCGACATACTGCTTCGACATAAATCCAGTGTTCCCCACAGGTTTTTTAATAACTTCACGGAGCTCTCCTCAGTAATAATACAGCTGTTTACCTGACTGCACATGTACCGATAACAACTGCAGCTTGAGTGTGTGCCTGCAGGCTCCTCCTTGTGTTTGTTATATCACATGTAATTCTCCATCTACAGATATGACACACATTCCTCATATCTTAATGCACTTTTCTTCAAGTGGAGTTTCTCGATTGAGTGACACCATCTTTAGGTGTGAATACCAACACTATAAATACCCAAAGCTACAAGAGGTGTGCGATACCTATTCAGATCTTTCTCTTTTTTCACACCTGCAGCACAGGCACACCAGCACACTCACACACTCACACACACACCATAGGAACATATCCCCTCAGCCTAATGTAATATGATTGATCCTGACACAAGTTTAATCTAGCTGCAGAGTGTGAGTAACGGTGAGTCTGTTTTCATTAAGGAGCCAGACAGCTGAAAAGGGAGAGAATGCAACAAGCAAGATGAGAGAAACATTCAAATGAAGGCTGGATGGAACAGTCTGTTTCCTGAGATAAATAAATGACCAAGTGAAAGACACCAGAAGCCATTCAGATGTGTAAATAGTACTGCTGGGAGGTGTGTGTGTGTTTTCTTGGTGATGAAAAGACACAGTAAAGGGAATAAACAGTCTGCTGGCGTCATCTGCTGGAGGAGTCTGGATCAGCTTTAGTGGAGATCATTATAAAAACGGTCACCAGAGGGCACTGTATCACTACAAACCAATGACAATACAAGCACAAACTCTGATTTTGCTTTTGAAATGCCCCTGCAGTGATAACGGGTTCTTTGATATTGTTGAACTATGAAGTATAATCCCAGCATATGGAAAAGTATGATTTAAGAAGTCAAATTTAAAGCTTCTGTGGGGATATTTTAACATCTATGAAATAGACTGAAATTCATATTATTGCTTTGTTATGATACTCAAAGCCAACAAGACCATCAGCACATGCTTGATATATTTTTTATCATAGTTTTTAATGCCTGAAACTGACGCCAAAGGGTAGCTGCCAGTCAAGCAGTTGAAGAAACAGTCCTGTTTTTAGATTTTCAACATGAAATATTTAAAATATGTAATACATTTGACTGTCAAAAGTCAACAGGATGACTACTTTATCTGAAAACACTGTATAAGCATGGACAGGATGAGATAAACAAAGACTGCTCTGTCCACAGGGGGTTTCAAAACTGACGAGGGTCCAAAGTTCCTCACAGGAGCTTAAGTGTGCTTGAGAGTAGAAGGACTTTGGTAGAAATAAAATAATAACTGCCTTACGCCATATACTTTACATATTAGAAAAAGGCCTGCTCTCTGCTTTTTAAAACTCTTCAAACACCCGACCACTCAGGTTTCAAACACACCCCCACGTACATGTGAGAGTGAGATCTCACATGTGAGGGTGGACTTGAGTGTTCCTCCTCATATATCTGTGGGTACGTAGAAGAGTTTATGGTCGTGTTTTGCGTTTATTCCTGTTTTGGTAAGTGTCCAAATGCACACGTTTGATATACAAGTCTTGAGCATATCTGCTGAAGCATATCTGCTAATGACATCAAGTCATTGCCCATCATTCCCTGATGGCCGATGTTGGTCAATATTGGCTGATACGGATGACAACGTATAAATCTGTGCATGTGTGCTTATGTGTATGTGTTTGTCTAAGTATGGCTATGTATATGTGTTGTTTACCATGAAATGCATATTAGTGTAAAATATGTTGATTTCTAATAAAAAGTCTCATAGTTTTATATCTGTCCTCCCTCCTTTTCCTTTTCAGCTATTCATTTGATAATAATAATAATAATAATAATAATAATAATAATAATAATAATAATAATAATAATAATAATAATAATAATAATAATTGTTTTCATTATTTGCTTCTCAAATATTTTTTTTTCTGGTTTGTGCTTCTGGGCACTTAACTTCATTAAATAAAGTGAAAAAGTATTTGATAACTTCAAATATCTTAGAGGAAATATGTTTTCTTAATCCTCAGATTCAAGAGGGTTTATCTCCTTTAAGTGGAAACACTCATAGACATGCACATATGGCCTTAAAGACAAACTACTGTTTTATTTGGAGGGGATAACCTCAAATGTTGGAATTTCATGGTTAATCTTTCATAATGCATCTAAGTGTTGACATGCTTTGCCTTAAAATAAACAGATCCATATTGCACTGAGTATGAGAAATTTGATACATACACTGAAGATATATATGCACAAGCACATGACATACAAATACTGTATGTGTAATAAATGTTGACTTTCACTGATGAAAGCTTCAACTGTCAGCTGAAAGCCTGAGTTTGATGGGGAAAAAAATCCCTTTGAGATTTGTTTGATACCAAACACAAACTTCAAACGGTGTCAACTTCATGTGACTTTGAAAGTCCAAACCAGCAGGAAGCAGAACTAACGTTATTTCTCTGGGTTTCACTTGAAGTCTCACACAAAGCTGGAAAAAAAAGAAAAACTCTGAGGTGGGTTTCTTTATCTTCTGTGTGGAAAAACGACAGCTAATAGAAGGAGGGGAAGAAGAGGTCGAGCGTAACAGTCATGTCTACGTACATGTTTGGGCAGTGGATACATGCAAACAAGAGGAAGTGGATTATTTTAGCCATGACCGACACAAGAGTGTGGGCGGCATAATTTGCATGAGGGGATGAGGTGGGGTGGCAGCTGCTATTAAATGCACTATTAGTGCTCTGACATCTCTTTTTTTTCATGAAGTTGACTCTGTTTGTTTATGATGTTCATCTTACAAATGCAGTAGGTGGAAACTTAGTGTTCAAACTGAGTGACTTGCTGTGAGTTAAATGGAAATTCACAGAATGGAGACCTTTAACCACCAGGAAATAAGCTATGTGAGCTGTGTCTGATATTTATGTGACCTTTTGTACATTTGACAGATGTTGACTTTCTTGAACGTAGCTCACTGTAGATAAAATAGAAATTGTGTTAAAAGGTCAAACAAAGACAAATAAGCAGCATGAAACGGGGGTGGTTTACGGTGTGTGAAAGTTTTATTTCCTGTATCTCTATCAGATCAAAATTTCATCGATACGTTTGGACTTCCCGACTTCCTGATTACGAACAGCTTCTTGATTTTCCGATCACATCAAGAGAAACCAACAATCCAAACTTCTTCAAACAAATTAAGTGAAAATAAAATGTATGTCAGTGGTTGTTGAGGTCAAAAGTACATCACACAGTAAAACCCATTATGTGTGGATAATCCTGCAAAATTCTCGGCAATGCGCAGTTTTAATACTTTCTGATGAAGCAAGAGTGGACCACTTCAGCAAGGTCAGCATGTGAAAGGATTCATTTTTAACTCCTTCTGTGGTGGGTGACTGCTTTGGGATTACTATCTGCTCACTAATAGACTGGATACAGACTGTATTTAGATTAAATATGTGTCACAGTGTGGGGGGCAAATTAAGGTTATTACACAGAATAAACAGACTCAGTGTGTTTCCAAGCTTGTTTTTATTTCAGTGGAAAAAAACAGCAGGAATCAGCCAAACCTTGCAGGTATAAAGTGCAGTAACAGACAGCGATCATCTCCAACTGTCATTACAAATGCTGATATAATAAATAAAAATATAAACTCTATTTACATTATAAAAACCAACTCCTTACAGTCCGAGTGTACATTCTCTCTCAGGATAGAGCAATGACACCAACTGAAGTTAGTGCATTTACATATATTAGAAAAGAAAACTTTAGATCCATCCAGTATTGCTTTCAAAAGGTATCACAGTGTTGTTTCACTTAAAAGACAAGACACGTCACAGGGAGTAGATCTGTGAGGGAATGATTCGAGTCTAAAAGGTGACAGCCCTTGTAAAAGATCAGGCACATACGTCACACAAAATAACACAAAAACAAAACCAGACAAGCAGGCACGAATCCCCACAAGTGTAAATGTCAGGGATATTATGTCACAGCTGCTCCACCTTGGCGGCTCAGGATCATAATGGTTCATGTTGTGGTTTTTAACAGCAGAGCTTATAATGCTGACTTCTGTTTGTTGTACCAGGACGTCATTCGTTGCTTTAGATCCACCAGCCATGCTGGCAGCACCCGCAGCTTTCTCTTAATGAACATAACTCTGAAATGTACTGGTTTTAAGAGAGCAAAACAGTACATTTGTACACGAGTCCTGATAATCCTCAGAGTCCAGCTAAAAAGTAAAGTCATATTGGGTTTCTCCTCCTCAGTGGGCCGGTTCGTCTTCACCCCTGGCAGAGAACGTCAGTCTCAAACTGCAGCAGCTGTCCCATGAAAGCCAAGTTTGGGGAGATGACTTGACGCCTCTGCTTCACAAAATCAAAGGCCTCGTCCAGCCTGACGCGCTGTGTGTGCATGAGGTAGGCCAGACAGATGGTAGCCGAGCGAGAGATACCTGCCTGGCAGTGCACCAGCACCCGACCTCCACTCTGCTTTACTGAGTCTGTAGGTGGAGCAGAAAGAAACAAGAGATCAACATTAATGGGTTTCATTTTATACCACTGCCTACTGGAAATGTTTCATAAGAGTTAAAGTGGAGCACCCACCCAGGTATAAACACGCGTGCACCAAATTTAGCTCTAATAAATCTAACTATGCCTGAACCTGGACTTAACTCTGCAAAGAAGGTGATCTGAAGTTGCAAAAACATTTAATGTTGTGCAGCATAATCCAGTTGTTGTGTAATCATACAAGAGAACTGTTGGTCCATAAGTCTAGCCTACAAAAGGATTATGCTGTTCAAGCTGCTTAGAGACATTTTTCGGATATTTAGTTTCAACAAGAGTGTAAATATATAGCTTACTTTAGGACTAACTGTGCAGAATTAAAAGGATTTTAAAAGTAAAAAGCAAAACAAAACAAAACTTACCGATGAAGGCGATAGCTGTAGAGAAGCAGGCCCTGATGTCAGCAGCTAGGCTGTCCTCCACAGTGAGTCGCAGGTACTCAAACTCCCCCTCGTAGAAGTTTGGACATGTAGAGGACACGTTGAGCACGGCTGTGATACCTGCTGCATTGAGGGTCTCTCTGCGTGATGAGTGGATGGCACTGCCCAGAAACAGGAAGGGCAGCAGCTCTACTGGACCATCCTGTCATTTACAAATTAAAAGACAAGAGAATTAGCACTAGGATTTAAAACTTATGGTTAAATGAATTTCATACTGTAATTCATCAAGGTTTGTGACATATAAGAGTTGATTTTATCTCACCTGATCGTATGCTGGTGTCGTCCGTCCTGTCCCAACTGGCTCTGGTTCTGCTTTAGAGACACTGGCAGAGCTGAAGCAGAGCTCTGGGTAGGCCTCTGAAAATCCCTCAAATCCACCTAAATGGAGGTCAGGAGAATTAGCCAAGTCCAAATCTTTCACAGAAATCCTTCTTATAAATGTGGTGTGAGTAAAAGAGAATAATGATGTGGGATAAATGAAATAAAGCCTATGAGCCTCTCTGTTTTGTTCTTAAAATTTGATCCTGGAGTTATTTACACTCATAAACAACACCTTAACATAAAGATACGAGTAAACAGACAAAGAAAATAGTTTTAAAAAGTGTACACTTGCTTTTTTCATAAAAGTTAGAGTGAATGAAATGTTGCGGTTAGGACTGTGATTGCTGTATGCCTCCTGTCTTTCACTCAAAAAGGCCCGATGTAAACCATAAAATATACCATAAAAAACATAAAATAGACACTTTTTTGTTCACACGAGTTTTATAATAAAAAACAATTCAAATCACGTCTATTTCATGTTTTAAAGCTTCTTTTTTTGTTTAAGTTTAAAGATACTTGATCATATAGGCTTTTCTCCGGTTACAAACTTCACAATCAGTTTATTCAGCTCATGTTAGCAGCCTTAAATGTAATAGGTTCAGTCTAAATTGTGTCATATTGTCACAGAATAGTCCTTTTACCTTGTAGAAAGCAGATCTGTGTGTGCACTTCGTTTTGCAGTGCGGTTAGTAACATCTGGGCCACACTCTCTGCCTTCAGCCCGGACACCGAGTGGCTGCTCTCATCGACTACCACCACCGGGGAGAACTCTCCTCTCTGCAGCCGGCCCACGAGCGACTTATCCGGGATGAGCCACTCCAGTGCCACCACCGAGCTTTTGGATCTCCGGCGCAGCATCGAGTTCCAGTTGACATTCCGGGACTCGCAAATGTGCGCAAAAGAGAAGTCAAGGAAAGGTCTGCAGTCCAGTACCACGCACCCGGCAGAGGTGTACTGGTCCCGGGGGGTCCTGAGAATGTGGACCAGCTCATTGCCAGTTATTTCCAGAGGCTCACTTCCCGAAGACATGGCTGAAAAAAGTGTTTTTAAATTAAATTTGCCTAACACAGCTGAACTTTAGTTTTTAAAAAACAAAAAAACAGTTAAGAGTAAAAAATGTATCTGGCTTTAGTGTGTTTCTTAGAGACTTATTTCTCGGTAGCTGATGTTGTAGTCGTGAAATGATTTAAAATAAATAAAAAATACACAGAGAGCACTTGTTGTACCCTCTGTGGGGTCTGTTAAAATCAGCTTTTGATTGAGAGTTTCTCTTCTTCATTGATAACAGCTGTGGGAGGGGCGGAGCCAGCTCGGTCCCACCTAGTTTTCCACAGAAGGAACAACGTCAGACACGGAATGACCATATATGGCCCCGCCGGCACTCCTCATAAGGACACTGACGTCAAGCCTGACTTTCCTACCGCGCACGTGGTTGTTTGGGGTTATCCCGTGTTTTTGTGTTGAATGACGTTATGCTTGGGGTTGAAACCAAACCGTCCCTGCAGCCTCCAGAGGAGAGGATGAAGGCTCAGAGTTTTTTATTTGGGTTAGATTAAATCTGTTTTGCACTGCATTCTGTTCTCTGGCCTCATGCAGCGCATAGATTAAAGTGACTCTTCCCTCAGAGCTTTCTCAATGTTTCCATTTTCCCCTGACCTTGAGAGAAAGTAAAATGTTGCACTGTTAAAACGCCAGTAGATTTGAACTGGTTTGTTTTTGTGTTACTGGGAAATCTGGAGCTTCTGTAATAAGTTTCAAGTCAAAAGTAACAGGAGTAGGGGAGAGTGGGGTAAGTTGAGCCAAATTGTAAGTCGAGCCACCCTCTGTTGCTTGGAAATGGTCAAAGAAATTAACCCAAATATTTGGGAAATGGGCATCAATTCATGGAGTCTGTGAAGGTTAGAAGCACATGGGTGAAGGGGTTAGACATTTATTTACAAAAAAGGCATTTTCCACTCTTGAAAGTGAATTTAGTCTGTCATAAGTTTTATTAGAGTTGTGTTCAGACCAAAAAAGATCATTTTAAATGTGTTTTATACATCAATAGTGGTATCTATGAGCTAAAACATAAAAGTCCACCATTTTATCTTAGAGGACTAATAAAGTCATAATAGTAGTTCTGGGGTAACTGAGAAAGTAAAGAAGTCTGATAAGATCAGAGTTTCAGTTCAGATTGTTGAAATGTGTTACTTTCTCTTTTCAAAAATACAGCTGTGAATGTTTCTGAATCACTTAAAGACATTCTCATGTTAAAATGACTTTTTACAAAACAGCTTTTTAGCAGTTATATGCAATAATAATAAAAAGAATTATTGTACCTGTTGAATAGAGTATGATAGATAAAAATACACATGAATGTGAAGAAGTGACTGTTATTTAGGGAGAGAAAAGGGTGAGGGAGGGCTGGGGTGGAGAGTTGGGGGGTCGTAGGGATACGGCTCAACTTACCCCGCTCCTATGGTCAACTTACTCCATACACAGGGTAAGTTGACCATAGGAGACCACTTTTTTTGGCCTGCTATATTATCAAGACAGTTATGTTTACACTCAATCTGTTGGTTTGCAGGGATGCACAACATCTTGAAATATATGCAGGTACACTAGTTAGAGACAAAACTATGATTGCCTTGATGTGGTGATCTGAAATATAAAAAATAACTCATCTTACCTTACTCTCCCCTACATGCTGCATTTTAGGGACACTTTAGCTGACTATCTGCTGCACTAGTTGAAATTAAAATGTAACAGCACTTGTGGGCATCAGCTTGTTTTTTAAATTATCAATAGGATATCAGCAAAGAGGGTTCGTATTTGCGTGTTTGACTACAGATTAACAATTATTAAAAAGGTTTTTAAACTTCTGATGTTGCCTGTTGAGTTCAGACTACTAAATTAAAGGTCATAATTCAATCATCAGACAGTTTTCAAGGGCCTTAAAGGGATGATTAATGAGGTACTCGGTGTGTTACCCACAGGGGATCCTGGTCTGCTCAGACTTTGATGAGCAACTGATGAGGTCTCCCATCAACAGCTATGGAGAGGATCCAAGGAAAGTGTATGCAATATTTAGAAATATTTCAGTCATAACTTTGAGGTCAGAGAGCTACTTTGTCTACTTCACGATAAATAATTTAAAATCCACTCAAGTTAGAAGTAGGCCAAACACAAGCTACTGTAGAGCTCTTTTCACCTCAGAACACTCTGCCCTATTTCACTCAGGAAATCATATTTCATGTGCGATGAGTGGGAGAGTCTAAATCACAAGGTGCAATCTGACATTTTTTTGTCCTCATATCCTCATAGCCCACATCCAAATCACTTTGCCTGCCCACAAACTTCTCCCACTCAAACCTCTGATTCCACTTTCCTTTTGCTCCCACTTCCCTTCTCCCACTCCCCTCACCGCTGCCTGCTGGTCCCAAGGCTGCACTCCCACTTTGTCGTGCTCTCTCCCTGCTGAGGCTGCAATTCTAATCCAAACACACACACAAAAGCACACACACTATGCTACATAGTTAATCATGGCTGTCATGAAGTGGCTGAGAATGCATTTGATGTAGTCTGTACTTTAGGCCTAAACACAAACACACACACACTCACACACACCCACGGCGAAGAGATGACGTGATGCATGTGTGTCTTTGTGTGATAGTGTCTTTACAGTTTTTTATATACGCCCCCATTTCAGAAACCAGACAGGAAACAACATCGAACATACATCCTGTCATCATCCATGCTTGCCTGAACAGCCACATTCACACACACACACACACACACACACACACACACACACACACACACACACACACACACACACACACACACACACCCTTTTACTGTATCACCTCTTCTTACATTTGTCAAAACCTGTGACCCAAACAAACAATGTGTGAATCAAAGTTTATCAGAAACTGCTGAGAACCTGAGCAGTGATAAGGTTTCAGAAGTAACTTTTAGTTCCTCTGTTCCGGGACGTAGTGAGTCATACAATAGAAATTAATTGCTGCTTTCATTTTCATTAAGATCAAAAGTTTCACAATATTTCCCAGGTTGGCAAACCCCAAATTTTTGGGGTAGCAGCCAGAATAAATCTTACATGACGCAACGCTGTGAAGGCTGGGAATTTGTTTTCGGTGAAGTCATTAATCTGACATCATGTTAATACAGGAAATGTATCATATTAACAGGAACTTACCCCCTAAAAACATACCGAAGGTGTGAAGCTGTTTGATACCTCTAAGTTAGGTCAAGTGAATGTTGAGTCAGCATAAAATTCCTTTCACCTTATCAGGAGAACAAGAGGAAGAGTAGTCAGTTTTACTTAATTTATCAGGATAGAATTACAGAAAATAAACTGGGTGTTTTTTTTTTAAAACTAACATTAGCTCAACAAGGATTTAGAGCCTTCTGTTGTGTCAAACCACCTACTCCCTTGCAAACAGTATTATCCTGATGGTATGCTAGTAAGGACTCATGGCCTTTTATAGCTCTTGTTCAACGACAGTTTAAATGTTATTTTGACTCTAACATTAGGAAGGTGTGTAATTTAAGATGGCGTGATGCTATCAAGGAATTAGAGCTTTTTCTTCACACAAAATACCTCAAAGGTTTTATTTTATGTACTCCTGGCTAAGGAGGTAGCTGGATGCTACCGTTAACTGTTGTCAGGCTAAAAAGCTCTTGTTTAATCTGCTCTCACAAAACAATATAAAACACTGAGATGAATTAAAATTGTCCAAAAACTTATATCTTCACAAAAAATATATCTTTTACACAAAAATACATCATATTTTCAGCATTTGAGCTCCCCTATTGTCAGTTTGTCAAAGGAAAACAGCTGCTGTGTAGTATAGTCAACAGTCAATGGGTAAAGGCATGAGAGATTAAAAAATGGCAACATACCAAACACGACCAACTTGGTGGGATGAAAAAGAGATTGTTTTTACACAGCTGACTTTTTTTTGAATGAGAAGATTACACCACTGAAACATCCAGATGCCACCCTGTCAGCAGATGAAAAAGCAGAACTCAAAAGCCCACTGATAGTGCCCCAGAAATTAAATGTACCCAGAGATGTGAACAATTGTCATGTGTCTCTGTAGATACACAAGTTAACAAACATTTGAAAAAAACAAACAAAAAAAACAGATGACAACATCTGCCCGCAACCCCCCTCTTCTCTCAGAGAGGGATTATCAAAGATTAATTGGATGGCTGGGAGCTATTAATCCCTGAAAAACACTGTAATCCAGGAGATTTAGCTCATCCCTGACTCCTCTCACAAACGCCCACGTGACAACGCCACCGCTCCATTGAGGGGGAACGTGTACCGGCTGGGGTCAGATCACTGATGTGATCAGGGCGGCTGCTGTTCAATGTTACGGAAAACTGAGTGGTTTCTGAGGGAATTTTCGATAAGTGTGTTTAAGTGGGTGTATGTGCTGCACGCTCTGGTTTTACTACACCACTCTTTTGTGTTTTCTCTTTTTTTGGAGTGGGATGTCGGTGTTGTATTCACAGTGATTCACACAGGCAACCCCCTAAGTTTATTTCAATATATAAAATAAACAGAAGAAACCCTATGTAACCACACGTGTCTTTTCTCACTTCCATTTATTTCTAAACATGACTCTGCGCTTTGTTCTGGGAAATTTAGGGGAGAAATGTTTCAACCGTGAGGTGAATGAAATCATTTTAGAGTGTTTTCATTGTACACTGGTGCATTAGAACACAGTTGTTTTTGTATTTCCTCTACATCATCTTCTTTCTTCATGACCTCTTCATGGCTTTCCTCTGATATATCAGCAGTCTACACGGATCACAAACACAGCAATTACTCATTTGAGTCCTGTATTAATACAAAAACAGGCAAAAAACCCTGAATAACCTGCCTTTGTGTGACCTTTACGTAATAGAAATCTGAGTTAACACTTGTCAACTGTTGTATTCAGTAACTGACATCATTTCCCCTAAGAAGAGACATACTTGCCGAGGGAACAGCTGTAATCAGCTCAATTGTAAACAATAAATCTATTTTCAATCTATTGTTGCTTCATGTGACATAAACCCAAGCCTCAAAAGTATGAGTCAATCTTTTTACTATGACCACACAGCCGCTTCCTCCATCTTGCCTCATTCTGACCGTTCTGTCACTCTTCACTCCCCCACCTTTCCGGCTACCCCCTCACCCTCGCTCTTTGTCCCCTCCACCCACTCAATTTCTCTTACCCCAGGATGACTGCGAGGCCTACGCTCGCTGCCAGACCGAGGGCGGTAACCGTGGCAATGGCTGGTACCAGCAGGTCATCTATAGGTAGAAGACGTGAGTGGTCGTCCCCGTGAGGCAGAGCGGGCAAAGTGACGACAGGTCGATGAGTCTGGTTGGACAAAGGGGTAACTGTGGAAAAGAGGCATGAGGGGCAGAGATAATATTAGAGACAGGATGTTAGACTTTTAAACTTACATTATGATGATAAACTTATTTAATTCTGAAATAATCTTCAAACAGATGGACAGAGGATCTTTGACTTGGTATGTAACACTAACAACGGGCCATGTCTATACTTTTAAACCCAGCATGACTGCTGGTAAAATCCAAAATTTGCTTTAAAAAGTTAAAAAGTAAGCAGTGAGGAACCATGGACTTAGTGCAAAGTCTCTCCCTCTTTCGGCTGTACAAAAGTTAAGCAACAATCCCCTATGGGAAGCCTATGTCTTGGATCTTTTTTTAACAGCAGTCTGCACTGTGGAGATCCGCTCTTGGGGCTGTGGGATCCATGTCCCACCCCTTCAACCAACCAAACCACATTTAACATGTGGTGAAACAGCAAAGGTCCTTCAGGTTGGCACACATACAGCAGAATAAATTCTTGAATCCAGCTGAAACTGACACTTAAAGTTATGGAAAGTTCAATCACTCTTATTTTAGAAAGAATAACATTGCTGGTCCTTATACTCTAACTAGAAAAGCACTTGGAGAGCGCAGACCTCCGCCAAGCAGCTCATGTCCCCCCTTATATTGTGATTCACACCAAAGTTTTTACTGTTACGTGTCTTTTATTAACTTTTATTTGTGTTTAAACTGGTATGTTCACTGTTCATAATGTTCCTAAAACAACAAAGCTCATATTAGATACATAAATGCATGATTTATTATGCAATATTTGTAAGCGTACACTTCCTTGTATCGTCATTGGTTGTCTTTCAGCATTGAAAATTCCAACCACACCCTTATTTTTGTGTGTTCTGGATCACAGTATCCAGAATTTTGTCTGGATCAGGATCAACCTTTGACACCTCATAAAACTCATTGAGATCCTTTGTGTCATTTTTTACTAAAGACTCTGACCATTTTTATAGAGTTAAATGCAAAAATTCAAAAATTTGCCCTAACTCACAATGATAAAGAATCCTTCAAAAAATTCCGGATCACCACCAAAATGTAATGGGATCCTCCTGGGGCTGAGACCAGTTCAATCCGTCTGTTACTTTCTCCGTAAAGTTGCTAACAGACAAACAAACTAACAAACAAACCAACGCTACTGAAAACATAACCTCCTTGGCGGAGGTAAAAAAAACAAAACAACCACGATATTTTTTTTGATCTTATAGTATTTAGTTTGACTTATGACCTACATGGAAGGGGCACCGCAGCACAGAAAAAATTTTAAAAACTACAGGAAAACAAAAAAAGTCAGAAGACATCCGCCCCTTAAATCAAAACAGGTATACCTCTGCAGATTTTCTCTAGTAGTTACCTATCTTATCTCTGACCAGCCTACTCCCAATCCTCCTCTCTAAAGCTGAAGCAATGAACCTTGACTGACTTTTCCGTCATCAGACAACCGGCACATGAGTGAATGAGTCCACACACTAGATTACACATTGCCTGGAAACAAGCTGTGTCACAACAAAGAAGGAAAAAAGCTGACCTTCAGTGTGTACCAGTAACTGCATTTGATACATACTTGCAAACAAAGGAGAAGAATTAAATACGTCTGTACTCCATTTAACTCTGTTTCCTACATGTTAAATGAGTTGTGTCAGTGTTGACTGTGATTTTTTCTTTCGCTTTTCTCTTCTTTCTTGTTTTTTTATTGTTTTACCTACATGTCAAATTTATTACACGTTTGAAATAAAGCCATCAAATATATTAAAGCATTCATACGAACTGGCATAGGTCAGAAAACCCATAATGTCCCTGTCTTATCCATTATTAGATCATCAAATATTGTATTAATATACAAACATGCATTTTCTTGCCGAGTTGGGCTGTGGTAGACTTTCTTTACATCACTAAGTTTGCCATGAGCTGTAAAAAAATACCCCAGGAGAGTCTGCCAATATGCAGGTTTGTAGCAGGTGTGCAGTCTGTGTCAGAAACTTATCTTGATGATTTGACTGTGGGATAGCACAAAGCACTCACTCCCCCAGCAGTAAGAGATTTTTAAGTGAATTTGTGCAGAGGTTGGGACTGGGCTTCCTGTCTCTTCCTGCCTCGCAGTCTGTCTCACCTTTCACCTAAACCTCCCTATCTCACTCCAAACTTTCAGCTTACCCCCCTCATTCGACACATATTCATTTATTGACTTCTGTGGTATTATATCCAGCTTTCTAGCCTTTCCCCTAAACTGTCTACCTGCCTCCATCTTTTGGTTTTGCCTCTCTGATTTGCCTTATGGACCTATTTTTTATTGAATTTGTGCTGTTGAGTGTTGAGTAAGAATAATGGTAGGAGAGCTTGATCTCTTTCTTGGCAACTGCTTTGTGAACTCCTAGATCAATTCAAATGTGAGGTCACCCTGCCCTTTTAGAGGTAAATGATCTGACGTTTGATGAATAATAATAATAATAATAATAATAATAATAATAATAATTTTTATTTATATAGCACCTTTAAAAACAGAAGTTTACAAAGTGCTTAGACAACAGTTGTAAGCACAGAGCATCAGCACATTGAAAATAAAAACACATAAAAACAAAAGCTCAGTTAAAAACAGGCCTCTGAATTGTAGGCCTGTTTCACTTTTCGTAAGAAACCCAGGCAATACAAGAACCCTACAAAATAAATGGGACCATGAGGACCAAAATAAAAGCAAAAAAAAAAAGAAATAGAAAAGGAGGGAAGAGAACAGGCTAGTAAGTATGAAAGAGGATATTAATAATAATAATAAAATCATAATAAAATAAAATGATGGTAATATAAATGATAAAGTGGAATTAAATATATATATATAAAATAAAGGAAAATGAAAACATTAAAATCAATAAAAAGATTATAAGTAAAACAAAGGCTAAAAAGGCAGTAAGTCTAAATAAGAAAGAGGTGAAAGAGGTAAAAGAAAAAGGAGAAAAATAAAAGCGGTAAAAGGCAATAAAAGATGAAAGATGGCATCACATAAAGGCAAGTCTGTAAAAGTGAGTTTTTAAAATTGACTTAAAAGAAGCGACTGTCTCTGCGCGCCTTATCTCCTCTGGCAGGTCGTTCCAAAGTCGAGGAGCTCTGATGGAGAAAGCTCTATCCCCTTTAGTCTTGAGCCTCGACTTTGGAACGACCAGGAGGCCTTCGCCAGAGGATCTGAGGCTGCCAGTTGGCTCATAAGATATTAAAAGCTCTGAAATGTTGCTCGGAGTAAGTCCTTTGAGCGCTTTAAAAGTAATCAATAAAATCTTAAAATCAATTCTAAAGCTGACAGGGAGCCAGTGAAGGGAGGCTAAAATTGGGGTGATGTGATGCCGTCGACTAAAACCAGTTAAAAGTCTAGCTGCTGCATTCTGAACTAGTTGGAGGCGAGAGAGTGATTTCTTGTTTAAACCAGGGAGGAGAGAGTTACAAAATCACAAAAGCATTACTCTACCAGTGAGCAGGAAAGTGACTCTGTAGAAGATGGTTCCATTTCGGCCTTGCAAGGAGCAGCGATATGTTCCCTGCTCATTTACATGCAGCTGGTTTAAGATCACAGTTGAGTCTTCTGTCACCACCAAGGTGCAGAAGTCACTCTCACTCAGCTGCACACACAGATGACAGTAAAAGTTAGACCTAAGTGCTGAAGCTGTCACACAGTAAATATGTCCCATAATGAGGATGTGAAGATAAATAAAGGACATATAAACAGCGATAAGGAAGTGCATAAAGTGGCTGCAAAGTGGAAAGTATCATGAGCTACTGCTGATACGTTCCTTCCTAATTTCCACTCAAAAGGGAACCAGTGATGGCAGAGGGACCTTTTCAGTTCCAGGAACACCAGGGGCCCATGAAAAATGGTACTCTGGTCTTTTCAGGAGAAGACGATGCCATGGCAGGAAACAATTCAACACAGCCTGGCCTCCCTCCTCAGCCTGCACTGGGTACTCTGTAGAAAGAGGGGGAGGAGAGAAAAAGAGAGATACTTCATTCATTCGCATGAGGATTACTTGAATAATCTTTTTTATTAGCCATGCACATGGACAGGCAGCAGCACTGCCTCGCTTTGAAACACATTTACACACTCGTGACAGCGTGCATCCATGTACAGCCTGTGCTGCTCATGCAGTGATGCACTCCCACTAAAAATGAGTAGGCACAGCCAGCCCTCACCCACCCACTCAGCTACAACATGCACATCCATACACACACACACAAACAAAAAGCTAAAAATATACCACCACAATCCTGCTGGCCAGTGGGAGAGGGACAGATGTATATCTTGTAGCGGCAAGAAAAGCAATCCATTATTCTTCGTCTCAAAAGCCCTGAAAACCACAAAACATACACACACATGCACCAACACGTGCTCTGCAAACATGTTCATACATTCAGGGGATCAACAAGGATTTAATACAGAGAAAGGTATCAGACAGAAAAAACTTACCACACTTGTTGGGGCACAATCCTGAGGGACAGGCAAACAAATGTCGTGAAAATAATGCATCTTGTACAAGGTCGTGACTCACGCAAAGTGCTCTGCCTCATACTGTGCAGAGTAATCATCGTTATTATGTCTACTACCATCACGGATGAATGTGTCCAAGTGTCTCTCCAAGATCCTCCTGCCCTTCTCCATGATCATGATGGCTTCAAATGTCACAGATCCTTAAAAACAGGGACAAGATTTGTCTTCAAATAAGATGAACATTAAGTTTCATCCCCAAGTCATACTAAAAATCTCACGGTGATGATTAAGAGAAAAATTATAATGACAACACTGTTTTCTTATTCAAAGTCTAACATGTGTGCATCTATTTGGAATAATTTGTCATGATAGGTATGATTTGGTTTCTTACCTGTGTGTTGGCTCTTCAAAAAGTGGTCAAATTCACTCTGGTACTCAGTCCTGGCTCTGTACAGCGTGGTAGGATCTGTAGAACCGCAAGCAAATCACTCATACTTTGATCCGAAATAAAATGATGGCCAAAGTGTTAAAGGTCCTTAATACCAGACCCTCGGTTGAACTAGTATTAACTCAATTTTTTAAACTTTTGACTATATTTTTTGTGACTTGTTTCCTTACCTTTTTATTTTAGTGCAGTAAAATTTTAAATCTTGCAACATGTTGTCTGTTATTGTCAATGCTTGTATGAGCGGTGCTTTGAAAAATTAAACTGAGGTAGGTTTAAAAACTTGAACTTATGTATAATGTAAATGAATGACAAGATATGACCCATAAGTTGATTTCTAAGAATTACCACGACACCCTACAGTAATACTATTTCAAATTAGGCTTTACTCCTACCAATGACCCCCTTCCTATGCCTGCTGGTGTCTCTGTAGGTCACATAAGCATGGTCACAAATCTTCTTCAGCTCTATCTGATCGTCCACAGTTGAAGCAGACAGTGCGAAATCTTCATGGAGGAGTCTGATCTTGCTGTCACACTGCAGACAAGTCTCTGCTGAGCAGACACAACAGAGCAGGGACACTAACATCAGCAGCATCTCCTCTCTGCTCCCTGAGGAAGAACATGAAGATGAGTTACTTTACCTCCCATGATTTTCCTGTCCTTTACCAGAACTACAATTGTTTTTCTCATAAATTTTGTCAAAACTTTTACTCTTGTTGGGAAACACAGTGGCCTCATTTTTTTTCACCTTTTCATGACCTGTTGCTATGACCAATGACATTTATACCATCTTACATTGAATCAAACATCGGGAAAAGGAGTACATAAGGAATACATAGACTAAGTTTACCTGTTTTCTCACTGTCATCCAGCTCTGTGTTTTTAGCCCGTTGCTGCCTCCCAGTGGTGGATCGCATGTCACAGATATGAACTCACCCCAGTTTTCACTTCTTTGTTGCTATACTAGTTCCGCAACTCAGGCCTGTCAGAGAAAAACTTCCTTAAATTCTTTCAAAAATCCATCAGAAATGTCTCAAAGCAAAGTCAAACGGTATTTATGTGCAGCACTTTGAGGTAGCGTCGACCAAAAAGAAGCTAGCACATACGGGCTGCGGTTTGTTTCCCTTGGCAACAGTCGCAGAAGCAACACAAAAACACTTACCATGATTTAAAGATGGTGCACACAATAATTCTAATATCAGATTAATTTAAGTTTTCACTTTTCTCCAAAGCTATGAGTGAAAGAAATCAGATTCAGTCAGTCTTGAAGTACAGCAATAATTCTCTGATACTACATTTCCCAGAATCCAATGGAGCGCTGTAGCTCATGAGTGATAGATAGATGGACCAATCCATCTCAGGTTGTTCTTCTGAGGGGCGGTACCAAAGAACTTCAATCCCCTCTGCGCCTGCGCTACTCTCACAGCTGTCTACACTGACTTCCTGAGAGAGCAGATGCAGAGGTAAGATAACACTTTGTTGTTTTCATAACGCGTCATGTCAAAGTTTGCTGTTTTAACGTTGAGTTGAACGTGGTACAAATATACACAGAATATTGATTTTATTATGGACATGAACGTGCCGAAATACACCTGGTAACAGCTGGGACATCCTGTTAAAGTGTCACTGAAATGTCCCGACACAGCGTCAACAGCAGTATTGACTGTTGATGGTTATCGATCAGGTACTGGCACAATGGAAATGTTTGATCGGTCTGTTCGGTTCGTCAGGAGTCACCTTGGGACTCGTGGATATGGAAGCCATGTTAGTGCCCACTGAGATTATTTTAGGAAAGTCAGTCGAAGGTTTTTAGTCTTCAGGTTTTGTTTTTTCTTCATCAATAAATAATGTAAACACAAAGCTATAAGCACCAGGAGGGAAACACGTCTGTGGTTATCACCTCACAGCTGGTAGTAACTCATTTATTACCATAAGCTTAAAGCCATTTATAATCACTGTAGGCTATTTTGTCCTTTAATGTAAAATATAGTTATAAGACAGATCGTGACTGAACAGGGGCTTATGAAAGTTAAAGTTAAGTCACACAGCAGTCAGTGTCTGGAGGAGCTATCTGTCCTTTTTTTTTGTGCAGATTATACATCTTGAGGGCTCCCCTCACCCCCTGCTGCATCACTACACCGTCACACCTCCATCAGAGTTAAATAAGAGGAGGTAAATGATACCCATAGTAAGGTTAAACATGGCTCTCCTGTGGATGATTGGCCTGTGTGCTTTATCTGAAAACTATAGGTTTGCTGCGCCACAGTTATTCCAGGGCTGCAGCTCTAGTATTTACCAGGGTCTTAAGTCATCTTCCCTGAGAGATAAATATAATCTTACCATGCTGACAGTGTGTCTTTGCTTTCTGTGATCATGGTCGTTTATTGTGTCATTGATGCTGTTATTGTCAGTACTTATTTGGCTAGAGAGCTTGGCTGTGTGCCATTTACCAGAGTAAAGCTTCTGGGCTGTCTCTGCTGCCTGTGCTGAACTATGCTGCAGTTGGATGCAGGTGTACACAGTGCTGAAAAATACATGTATTGATTAGTGTTAGAGCACAAATACAGCTACACTTGGGACAAACATGCTCTGCAAGTATCTGCACAGATTTTGTGTTTTACTCCATTAACAGCTATCGTATGATATGTTTTGATGTTAAGAACAGCAGGAATTAGAAAGTAAGTTGTCCGTCATTGTGATAGCATTTAGGAATGAAATCTACAAAGCTATCCCACAGACTGCATGTGTCAAAATAAAAGCAGATTTTCTGGTGTAACATTGGTCTTACAGTTAACAAAACTGGATGTTAATCTTAAAACAATGCTTAAATGTTTAATTTAACCTGCTGTTTGTTTGTTTGTTAATAGATTTTTTAAAAATTTATTTATGTATTCATTCATTTTTTGCATTTCTTTTTCTTACTTATTTTATGTTTTTATTTTTGTCCTCATGGTCTCATTTTATGTTGTGAAGTTCTTGTATCGTCTGGGTTTCTAATGACAAATGAAATTGTCCTTCCTTTCGGAGCGTTTTTTTTATTTATTTGTTTTTATTTCCATGTGTTGATGCTTTACGACTGTTTGCCAAAGCACTTTGTAAACTTCTGTTTTTAAAAGTGCTATAAAAATAAAGTTATTATTATTATTATTATCATTATTATTATTATCATTATTGTTATTATTATTTCTATTATTATTATTTGGTTGCCTTGTATTGTGCTTTGCAATAAGGTTTACAAGTTTATGTGTAGTTTTACACGTCATATCTTGAAACAGCTGAATGTTGTTGTGTCTCTGTCCCAGATTTGAAGAAATCAGCCCTCGTTCAGAAATGGAGAACATACCAAAGATCGGCAGGTAGACTCCAGAATTTCTTTCAGCTCCACTGTGCTTTCACCAACACTGACATTGGTGCCTGCACGTTCGCCCAAACTGTGCCGCAAACACCTTACCGCCAACAAGTCTTCAGTATGTATCAGATTGTCCCAGTAGCTCCTGGGGAGCAGCAGCTGCCTGGAGAAGCTGGTGGTTCACCCCTGAAAAAGAAACTGGGCAATGAGGGCCGCCCTCTGGTGTTATCAGGCATGTTGGGCTGTGTGTTGGTTCTGGCTGCTGTTGTTGCCTGGTGCTACTACTCAGCCTCCCTCCGTAAGGCACAGCTGCTGAAGACTGAGCTGTTGGATCTCAATAAAGACGGATTCATCATTCATAACCAGGCAGGAGCTGTCCTCTTCAGCATGGCCTTCAGGTGAGTTCATGAAACATGTTTTGACACATTGACGACTTGGAATTTTACTCTCCAATTTGAATCTATATTTTTTGTATAACATGTTAAAAACAATTTACTATAATTGATCACATCACAAAACCACACTTCACGCTTTGACAGCTTTTATGCTGTGTAGAAATTTGAATTGTTACGAATAAAAAAGCTTGTTAAGTGTTGTTTGTAATGAGGTACTTTCTCTTCTAATAACTCCCTGCACTAGATCTGGCACCCTGGATCTGGACTCCTGCTCAAAGGAGGGCAACATCCTGAGCTGCACTCAGTCTAATTCTGGAAAAATCAATTTCTTTATCCAAACGGTCCGACTAAAAAACACAGTGATGTGCTACCGTGTTCGCTGGGAGGAGCTGCAAGACAAGTGCCTCGTGGAGCATGTCATGGCCTACAATGACTCTCACTGGTATGGAGGGGCGGAGACAGCAACACAGTACTGGCCTATTAGGATCCAGGGAGAAGAGGAACCACAGCCCTTCATCACAAGCGATGTGTATTCGAATCGAAAAGCTTTTGGAGGGATCCTGGAACGCTATTGGCTGTCCTCTAATGCCACTGCCATCAAGATTAATGACACAGTGCCGTTTCATTTGGGCTGGTCAGAGAGAGACAGGACTCTCCGGTTTCAGGCCAGATATGAGGATTCTCCTTTCAGACCACCTGAGGGTCAGCCGGCCTTTCCTGAGCTTAGCTATAGAGTGTGTGTAGGGTCAGATGTTACCTCTATTCACAAATACATGGTGAGTATTGACAAACAGAGGATTCTAATATAATGGTAAAAGCAAACTAACAGATTTGATAATCCCCTGAAATTTTTGAAGATTTTTTTTTATGTTGAAGTCAAACATCAAGTACATTGCATATGTCTACACTTAGTGTATATTTAAAAAAAACAACTGAATTTATTCGCTGTTTTTTCCCCTGCAGTTGTAAATTGTTAGATTAACACAGACCACTGTTTAAATGTTACAAACTCCATCTGTTAGCACCTTTCAACACCATTAATGTATCAATTTGCACAAAGTAAAAGTGGTGTTTCTATGGGGTTAGGACTGTATTTTGTTCCCAAAGTACCAAGCTAACCATTCCCCCAGCTTCTTGTCATTTTTCTTAATTAGCTTCTTTTTTTACTGCACAACTAACACAAATGTGTGTTTTTTTTTCTGCTAACCTAACTTAGAGACCAAAAATGTTGACCCCTGTGTACTAAGTCTGTGCTCTTCATGAATGTGTTATGTTCAGGTACGTCGATACTTCCCAAAGCCCATCAAGGCTCCGTCCCCTGAGGTGTTTAAAAAACCCTTGTGGTCCACTTGGGCTCTCTACAAGACAGCTGTGACTCAGGAGAAGCTGCTGCGCTACGCCTCTGACATCACCAAACATGGCTTCACGTGCTCTCATCTGGAGCTGGACGACCGCTACACAGCTGATTATGGAGAGTTTGACTTTGACCCACAGAAGTTCCCGAATGCAAGCGGGATGTTTGAAAAGCTCAGAGAGGATGGATTTCAGGTGTCTCTCTGGACTCATCCCTTCATTAACTATGACTCCATTAATTTTGGTGTTGCTGTGGAAAAAGGACTGTTTGTGCGGGAGCCGAGTGGTGAGCTCCCGGCTCTGGTCCGCTGGTGGAATGGCATTGGAGGAATCTTGGATTTTACCAACCCAGAAACCCGTGAGTGGTACTCCTCACACCTCCGTTTGCTCAAAAGTCGCTATGATGTGGCTTCCTTCAAGTTTGATGCTGGAGAGACAAGTTACCTCCCTCGCCAGTTTAGCACCTTGGTACCATTATCTGACCCTTCGACCTTCACCCGCCGCTACACTGAGATGGCCATCCCGTTCAGTGAGCGTGCAGAGGTGAGGGTGGGTTACCAGAGTCAGAACATCTCCTGCTTTAGCAGGATCATTGATCGAGACTCTGTGTGGGGATATGAGCTCGGCCTCAAGTCTATCATCCCCACTGTTCTGACTATCAGCATCCTGGGCTACCAGTTTGTCTTACCTGACATGATTGGAGGAAATGCTTATCCTAACCGCACTGCAGGTACGGTCCAAAGCAAAGAGTCAGAAGTTAATTCTGTAAATGATATAAGTGTCTAATATCTGTGTTGTGTCTCAGGTGTTTTAGATGGAAAAAATGGCCTTCCTGACAGAGAGCTGTACATCCGGTGGCTGGAGCTGTCTGCTTTTATGCCTGCCATGCAGTTTTCCATACCACCATGGGCCTATGATAAGGAGGTGAGCAATGTCCTGTCTTCATCCTCTTCACCTCAACAGTTTGCATTTAAAATATTATTATGTTTGCCCAAATGAAAGATGTTTGTGGTAATTACCTCTGCCAAGGAGGTTATGTTTTTGGTAGCAACTTTACGGAGAAAGTTACAGACGGAAGATACAAGGAAGTGTACGCTTACAAATATTGCATAATAAATCATGCATTTATGTATCTAATATGAGCTTTGTTGTTTTAGGAACATTATGAACAGTGAACATACCAGTTTAAACACTAATAAAATTTAATAAAAGACACAGAACAATAAAAGTTTTGGTGTGAATCACAATATAAGGGGGGACATGAGCTGCTTGGCGGAGGTCTGCGCTCTCCGAGTGCTTTTCTAGTTTAACTTGCCTTTAGTAATGACTGTGTGTCTATATAAGCTTAGCAAACAATAGAAAGTCATGTGAATACTCCCCAGCAGTTTTTTTCTGTTGTTTTTTTGGAAATCTCTTAATCCCTTAATCACCTGTTCTTAACTTGACTGTGATTTGCTGTCAAATGAGGGACTGCAGACTCTTTCTTCTGTTTCTGCCTTGTAGGCTTTTTTGTACATTTTTTTACCCACTAGATGCCATAAACATTAAACTTTTTTGTGGCATTTTTAAACATGTAATATATACTTGTAGATCTCTTTTACATGATTTAATGGGATTACTGAACAGGCCATTACAGGAAAGCATTTTTAACGCTCTTCTCTGGTACAGTTGCGCAATTATGGAAAACAAATTAACCAGCTTGATGATTATTTCATTCTTCCCTTGAACATCTGCAGGTGGTAGAGATCGCACAAAAGTTCACAGAGCTCCATGAGACTCTTGTGGCCCCACGGGTGCTGGAGCTGGCAGGCGAGGTTCTTGACACAGGAGACCCAATTATACGGCCCCTCTGGTGGATCGCGAATGAGGACGAGGCAGCGTACAAGATTGACTCCCAGTTCCTGATTGGAGACGACCTGATGGTGGCTCCGGTGTTAGAGCCGGGCAAACAAGAGAGGGATATCTACCTGCCAGCTGGACGATGGAGAAGTTATAAGGGGGAGCACTTTGACAAAGGCCCCATGTACCTCACTGATTACCCTGTGGACCTAGATGAGATAGCTTTCTTTACATGGGTTCACTAAGACATTTGAGAAATAGAGATGCATTCACACACACACACACACACACACACACACACTGGATGCACATGTACATTCTTATGAGCACAGATACGAATAAATAGAGGGAAGTGGTTGGTTTTTTTAAAGGGAAATGACTACTAGGGATCAGAGTGTGATTTTAAGCATTAACCTCATGTCTCCTCTGACCAGCTGAACCTTTCTGTACTTTATATACTAGTGCCTGCATTTTTTAACTGTCTGTCCAGAGAATTAGGGCGAAACATGTTTTCACATCTGATTCTCTTGGTCCATCCTTGAAGAAATCCCCATCCTCATGTGCCTTCCACAGCCAATAGTAAAACTGATCTGATTGTATTGTCACCATAGTCTTCCACTGAGCAGACGTTAAATAACAAATTTTCTGTCCACAGCTAGAAAAATGGTCATAGGGTGAACGATAGCTCTATTTTGTCCTGTGCGACTTTTATAGCAGGGTAGATAAAACAGCTGTGTGATAAGGTATCTAATATACTTTGCTTGATGGGGTTGGGCAGTGAATTGGCAATAAATAGGCACTCAGAGGGCATGCCTAACCTTATCTCACCATGGCAACTGCTGTATTTAACTAACTATGTTAAAGCTAAATGCATTAATTTGCTTTGCACTGACAAAGACTCTTATTTTATTTGCCTGCTGTTTATATTTATCAACCCTTGTTTTTTTTTTTAGATTTGTGGGTAATATTACAGTGAATGTACAGTAAATTAATGTAATACTGGTTTTAATTTCAGGCTCGTTTCATGGTCAGCTGCCTTTTTATTTAAACATTCCTTAACCTGTTGTGCCATTCTGTCATTTTTAGTGCCAAAATCTATCTACTGCTGTAAACTCTTACACATCTGCACAAGTTAAATTCACAGCTCAGGGTAGATTCAAAGGAATATATTTGTTATGCTGGAATTTTTATTGATCCATGTAAAGATGTAGGGTTATAACTCTATTGCTACTGATTTGCCTCATAAAACAGGTATCCTTCGCCATGACCACATGTTTTAAGTGCCATCCATTTCTGCCTTGTGACTTTATTTGCCTTATCAGCTGTTCCAGCATAGATACATACACACAGCGATACGGCTGATGCTTTGCACCTTTGCAGTACTGTTAAGATATACACAAGTAGTTTTATTCAAAACTGAGACATGAGCCATCTAAATATATATATGTCTACTCTTACACAGTGATTGCTGGCATGAGAGTAAAGCACATTTAAGGCTGAGCCATCTGAATGCCTTGCTTGAAAATAACCCTGTAATGTAAGCTAGAATCATTCATGTTCTCTGAATGTTTGATTTATAAGAAATGACTTTGTTATGTCATTCTGGTTTGTTTTGATGTTTCAATGAAATTATGTTGCTCTAACTGTAGTGTGTGTTGCTTTCTTGCATGTTTGAGAGTTCCATAAGAGGGCGCCAAAGTAGTATATTCACAAATCTCATCTTAAATAAGAACAATCAGGTACTTCTTTGTTTATTTTGACTCTTGAAATACAGGTCGGCAACAGCAATACAGTCTTTTGATGAAGCTATCTAAAGTGAAGCTCTTGATAATGCTTTTTTGTGTGTGTGTGTGTGTGTGTGTGTGTGTGTGTGTGTGTGTGTGTGTGTGTGTGTGTGTGTGTGTGTGTGTGTGTGTTTGTGTGTGTGTGTTTCCATGAGGATGTACACTTGGTTTATGCATGGTTTGCAAGTTTTTTTTCTATCTTGTGTTAGCAGGCGTTTTTCCTGGCTGGTGTCATGCTCAAGATATGAAGTTTTATTTGTGCTACAGTATTTTAACCATACTTTAACAGCTCATGCGTAAATCTAGTGTATTTTTTAATGTTATCTGTCCCTGAATGATAAGCTTATTAAAAACATTGATAAAAGGGAGAGCCATGGGTCTATGTTTTGAGTAATAGCCTCACTGGCTGTTGGAAATCGGCTAACAAATGGTCAAACTACTTCATAGTTAATATGCTGCTCGTTAAAAGCATCGAGCTGCTACCTGTTAAAATTATTGTAATTATTATACAATAAGGTGAACCCTATTTTATTATCTATTTTCTGATTAAAAGCCTACAAATGCTGACATAGTGAGAGTTGGACCTTTTTTCAGATGGGGAGGGGATCCAAAATGCCACGTAGCTGATAAAACTTTATAAAATATCAAGTAATTTTGTGTTTCTCTTTCACATAACTAAAATAATGCCCCATAACTGTCAAATACATATTTAACAGATACAGAGATTTCAGCATGATCAGCTCCAAATTTTTAATCGAAAAGTTTTGAATTAAATCAGGACAATCTGGACCTAAAAATCTCCCTTTGATTTGAATTTGAATTTTAGGTAGCAGTAATTGATCAATTGATTGATTTATTGAAGTTTATTTTGAACATATAAAATAATAATAATAATAATAATAATAATAATGATAATAATAATAATAATAATAATAATAATAATAATAATAATAATAATAATAATAATAATAATAAAGTAAAGAATACAACAACAAATGACAAAAAGTTATGTTCAAAAAGTAGTGGGAATAAGTCGAGACTTATCTAGTCCCACCCCTTCTCCTACACTGATGATTTTATTATATAACACAATGTTATATAATAATATTAATCGTTGCAATAAAAATAATCACCACAATGAAAATAACAAAACAACAACAAAACAATAATGATGACGATAATAGTAACTATGATTGTACATCCCTGTATCCCGTAAAAACATATTCTTTATATTCTGTTTGAAACTGTTTGATGTTTGGACATTGTTCAACTCCTCACCCATACCATTCCACAGTCTCGAAATGTGAAATCATTTTCTGCTTGTGCAGATTTAAGTTATACTTCCCTCTTAATTGATTACCCCCTCTCGATCCCCAAACAATTTCTGTATATTTTGTGGTAGAAGGTTGTTTTTAGATCTCTGCATAATTTGTGCCGTTGTCGGCATTGTTGTCACAATGTCTGTAAGTTAAAATAATTTTGACTGCAAGAAGAGTGAGAGAGTATGATCCAGATAACTGACATTATAAATGACCCGTATTGCCCCTTTTTGAAGAATAATCAGTGATTTGATTGAACTTATGTAATTATTATATATATAAATATATATTTATTGTAAATTGAGCATTATAGATGGAAATAACCAACTACAGGTAATAATTTGCAACTTTGATTCTTTTTATTTTTTCCTTCTGCATTAAAAAAGCATGCCCAGAAAACAGGAGAACATAGAAATGAGATGGTTTTTGTTTTTCATAAATTTTTCAGAGCTTCAGAGGAAAAGTGTGATGAGGGCAGTAGATACCAGCAGGAGGAGGAAAAAGGAACAAGTGGATCCTGTGGGTGTGCCACTGTTACACAAGTCGCTGCTACAGCATTTGAAAGCGCCAATATCACATTGAGATTCCGGAACGCAGCTCTTGCCAACACCTGCAAGACATGATGGGAAAAAACTCTGTTTCAACTAAGGCAAAAAGTCAACAGACTCTTAGTGCAGCAACAGACTATGTTTGACATGAAATGCTTCATGTTTGCTTTAAAAACATCTGAAGAGGAAAAAATATCCTACCAGCAATACCAAAGGAACAATGGTCAAATCCTGAAGGACAGTTCACAGGATCACAAGAAGAAGAAGAACTTCCTGGTCCACAGCACTTCAGCCCATATGCTTTAGAAAAAAAGCAAAAATCAGTCAGAATGCCAAAGCCATTATAAAGGGTTTTTGAAAGCATGTATAACTTTGTTCATCAATAAAAATGCCCTTACCTGCGCACAGAGTCACAAGCAGGACTAGAGGTCCGTAAAGCTGCATCATGAACTGAGACAAAAAATGCCTTTTAGTAAGCTGTGTCAGAGAAGAGCTGGAAAGATGACAACTCTGTCAAATGCTGCCTTTTATACTTTTGCCACCCTGTATTCTCTGAAGTAGCATCATTTCCTCAACAAGTCCCCTCCCTCTCCCTTGACAGAAGTAACTTAATGTTATAAAAAAAAACCCCAACTGATACTGTGTAAAAAATAAAGCTTAACTGTCTCTCTTAAAAATGCTCTGCAGTTCCACTTCTCAACAAGTCATAGCGTGACAATAAACTTCTAAAGATCAACAAATTGTTTCTGAAAATGCTGTCCCATAGCCGTAAAGGTATGGACAGCGAAGGCAATTTTTAACCTTCAGAAAATTTGAATACCTGTGAAATATAAGCAAAAAAATTGCCCTTTGGTGTAAATTACAAAACAATTGTATGTGAAAATGAGAACATATGAGAAATGACTAAATTGATGGTTAAAATGAGTTATCAACTCATAACTTTCATGCTTTTTCATTGTGTTGGGGTGCTAATCTAACCTCTTTTATGGACAGCTTTTTGAACAACATCAGTAAATCTTTAAATAGATCTCGGCTTTACTTGCATCAAAGTCTTACTGTTTTCCTAAGACCTTGTGAGCTGGGCCATGACACCAGGTATCTCAAGAGATCTTTTTCCATATTTTAAATTAATCTGTATTTTCTCACAAAACTAGTAAACCCAAGACAAATAAGTCATTACAGTTGAATTATATTTCTGAAACTAAATCATGTGGGTCAGTAGAAAAAAAGCAACATTTACATTACTTATAAGTTTCAAATATTGAACTTCTGACTTGATAGCTTTTAAGATGGAATAGAACAGAATAGAAAAGTCTTTATTGTCAATACACAAGGTGCAGCGAAAATTACTTTGTGTTATACATGAATAGCAGAAACACATGAATTCACACATATAAAGAAAAGCTATTTTAAAACTTTCACAGTCAGTTTCTTAAATTGCCTCATGTTGTGGGTGTATCACCTGTCAGTTCTAAAAATCATCTTTGTAGAAGCCTGAGAATAAAGCTTCACACTTTCAGTCATTTCCTCTTTGTAGTTGAGGCCAGAAACTGAAATATGTCCCCCGACGTGCTGTTGGCCCCTGTGTGGTTACACTCTGAGCCCAATCCTCCTACAACCCTGTGATTGCTGGTTAAGCACGACTTAATTCCTGTTTACAGTTTTACATCTGCAAAATAGGTTTCAAAATGCAGGCCATTATAGTCAGCTTCTCTTATTTATTTATCAGTTCCTACTGATCTGTTACCGTAGATGTTCACAGGACAAGTCTTGGCCCACTGTCACACTGCACTGGGCTGTGTAGCTTTACCAACATTTTCTTAAAGCATCTGCACAATTCTTTAATATGTTTTTAAATTCCTTTGTTCCAACGGTTTTGTTTGATGAAAATATGAAAAATGTTGATGGGAATTCCTTTTTATTTGTGTTGCGTGAGGTCGACTGAATACAGTTTTTCAGTGGCTGATGCCGATTCTGATTATGAGGGAGCAGGTTGGCTCTAATTTAAACCAAACAGTTTTACAGCTCCAATGATTTTTTGGGAAGAAGTCGGAGAAATATTGTCTTGAAGAAATTTGATATCTTGATAATGCATTACAAATCCAAGTGCAGTGCTGTCATCGTTCGGTGAGGCTGCTTTTTAAATCAGTTCAAATTAAGTATCTCAAATGTTGAATCTGCAATTTCCTAAGGACTGGCATAGCCTATGGCAAGTGAATGAAATAATCCACACAGACTCACAGCCATCAGATTGCGTTTGACTGGGAACACCTGATCGTCACAGGTGCAGTCATTTATTGATTAACCTGATAGAAACACCTGTGCACCAGGACAACAACGTCAGTGCAGAGCAGGCCCAAGGCATAAGCGAACTAAGTGCCTGCTTAGGGCCCCACAGCCAATAGGGGGCCCCAAACAGCAATAGAATAATAATAATAATAATAATAATAATAATAATAATAATAATAATAATAATAATTTTTATTTTTTGCATGCATGAACGATGCTTTCTGTATGATCAAATATATATCATTGTAAAAATAAAATAAAATAAAGTAAAAACATTTTAGTGCTGCTGCTGATGTAGGCCTATGATTCTTACTGCCGATATGTCAAAGCTCTGCTACCGTTATTTGCTGTGCAGTGTGCACTGAGCTCCCAAAGCGCATGTAGTTGTGGGGCAAAACAATGTTGCAAAAAAGGACATATCCTTCAGGAGCAGAGAAAAGAAAGAGGAAGAAAGAGAAAAATGCCAAGATAAAAGGTGTGTTTGCATGTCATGGTATGGTAATCAAAGAGATTTGTGAAGGTGTTTGAATGATTAACAATCAATATTATTGGCAGGAATAGAGGGCCCCAAAGTCAAATTTTGGTTATTGCACCATTGAGGCTTGGGCCAGCTCTGGGTCTGTGTCAAGAACACAAAAAATCTGCATCATTTTAACATCCCCACTTGCTCTTATACTGACACAACATTTTCTTGACATGAGAATACCTTTTTTTTGTTTAACCCTTTACACCAAGCATAAAACACTGTTTCTCAATCCTGACCTTAGTTACAGACTTAGTTGAAATATATGCCACCATGTCTGCTGTTTAAACAATCGCACTCTGATTGTCCTCAAAAATAATCAGTGATGAGTATTCACCTTCACTGTCCATTGCATTCAGTAACTGTACAAGATACAGGCTTTCCTTCTCTGTAGCTGACAGTGCAATATATTCTGTTTCACATGTGGATAAAGCAACTGTAGGTTGTTTCTTTGATTTCCAGGAAATAGCACACCCTGCCACAGATAGACTGAGGGGTCTTTCTCACCCAAAGTATGCTTAAAAGGTCCGGATCAAGGACCAAAGGTTTACAGTGCCGCAATGTGCATTTGGTGGGTTAGCGTTCACAGGGGACTTTAGCTAAGAGAACCAAATGGTTAAAAAAAGAGGGAAAATTACTGTCTGTCACTCACTCATTTGGAGCACAATCTTCATTGTTCCACAGCGCACAGAGAGTGGCTGACCAGAGAGAACAAAGGGCGTCTTGCTTCACCAGAGGTGGCAGAGACGTTGTGCAAGGAGACGCCGGGCATTAATGCAAAGGAATGTCTTTAACACATTGTCAGCATGTTTGTTGAACAGAAGAACACCCAGGTATTTAATATTATAGCAACCCTGCAATAATGTTCTGGTTCTGATGTTTGGTGTTATGTGTCATTTGTTTTTAGTTATTTATGTACCTGTGGAAATAACACGATTGTAACTAATGGTGCTCCCTCTTTCTTTTATGTATTTCTTACTTGAGAGTCGTGGCAGCTTTAAATAAACAAATCTTACCTGTGAGTCAAACACACATCTCCTGCTTTTTCTTGAATCTGTGAATTGGCTTTGTATAAGCGCATTGAAAGAAAGGGTCTTTCCCTGGCCCTAGGGTTTTCTTCCAACCCTGTGTGTCCCGTCACAATTAGAGCCCAGGATCCTGTCATAGAGGGCCAACAGCCTTCACTGTTAAACTGAAGTTTGCCTGACAGTGCTTGCTCTTGTAGCTCCTTATAGTTCTACTTTTTAATAGTGGAAGTTCGAAACAGAAATTCAAAGCGCAGCTCAAACTACAGACCAAGAAAGCAGTTGTTCCTTGTTGACATAAGTTTGCTTTTTAGTTGTTTCATTTCACCGTTTCATTATTCAGAAACAGCTTAAACTACATGGGAGGAAAGTATGTCCTTCCACACTCTGAGGAGCTATTTTGCAGGACTTGTTTGTGTAATTTGACTTATTTATGATGCTGTGTTGATTCAAAAACATTTAGACTGCAGTTGTAGGAAGTCAAAACTTTCTAGCCACACAAAGAAAATTTACCTTTCTTCAATTTGAACTCGGGACCTATTTCTCATGAGGCATCAGCATTTACCCGCCACACTAAGGTGGTATTTGTTCAGGTTCGTATGTCTCCTTTGTGTTGAATCAAAAGCACAGGCCAGACCTCTGTGGAAGCAGCTTGGTCATGCTAGCTTTAAATGAAAAATGAAAAAGTGCTTTTAGAGAGTGTAACCGTCCGGACAAGAGAAAGTGTATGGCAGCTGGTGAAAATTCCCAGTATCCCCAAAAATCCTGGAATGAAAGGGGTTTACTTTCAAAGAGAGTGTACTGTCTGCATGAGCATACCAGGCTACCAAAAGCACTGGTAAAACAAACATATTTGACATGTCATTAGCTCCTGCCATATCAGCAGAGATTTTCTAGCCACAGACAATAATACTATTGGTTCTATACAGTAAGTTGTTCTTGCAAATATTTGAGCTATAACAGGAAACTAACTTTGATATAAGCTAGTACAAAGTTAAGCTAAAGGTCCACCGGGATGTCAGCTTGCAAGTTCTGGGATGCCTACATTAGCTATAGACCTTTTTCCCAGTACACGAAAGTTAGCATTCTGCTCATTTCCGGTGTTAGCGTGTGGTGGAGCCACTCAGCATCGCCCATGGACGGCCATTAATTTTTCACGAAATGAACAAGCTCGCGACTCGTTTTTTTGAAAGGTAATGTAAAATTTTATGCTTTGTGCTGTTTTACAAACTCCCGTTCTTCATAATACTGTCCGGATTTTGTACTTTACTTTTCGGGAATTATGTTTAATAGGTCATTACTGAAGAGCAATGGTTACCATCATCAGAAAATTTCCAGACCTATTAAACATAATTCCCGACATCTCTACATTACATTTTCATTGTACTTTCTGTTAGGTAAAAGATGATGAACAGGCCTCTTCCAGGAAGACATCTACTGTGTGTTTAAAGGGAATTGTGACATTTAATATAAGTTGTAAAATAAGAATGACGAATTGTCAATATTTTAGACCACTGTTTTAACCTAGAATCTGACTGTAAAATATCACTAAACACTCCCATTTCTTCACACTGGCCCTTGAAGGATTCTTAACCAGAGAGAGCAAGTGCTGCACTTTCAAGTCAAGAAATAATGAAGTCTGAAATCTGTGATTTGGCTCCTTGAACTTCCTCATTGCCACTTGATTGTAAAAATAGCTTCTTATGCTGTTTTTCCTTCAGAATGAAAGTGGCCATCTCTGGTGGTTACTTGCAGCTTTGGAGATTTTATTTTTCCTTTTTGCACTCTACAATCAGGACCAGAAAACAGGAAAGCATCAAGATAAAACATTTTTTATGTTGTTGAATGTTCAGAGCTTCAGAGGAAAATGATGACAATGGCTGTGGATGCCAGCAGGAGGAGGATAAGGGAGCAAGACGGGACGATGCTGACACCAGAACCGAAGGGGAAAAGGGAGCCGAGACCAGGCGGCAAGAGGTCAGGACCGGAGGGTGTGGCACTGTTGCACATGTCTCCCTCACAGCATGTTAAAGGGGTGATACAACCATCCTTGAATATGCAGCCTTTGGTGACCACACCTGCAAGGCATGAAATAGTAATAATAATTAAAAAAAAAAAGTCCTTTAGTGCAGTATTTACAATATGATCTCCACTGCTTCATGTAAGACCAAATGATTCCTGAAGTGGAAGAAAATCATACCAAACACATTGTTGGAGAAACAACGGTCAGTTCCTGGAGGACAATCCAAAGCCACTGAGCATACTGGAGTGGTGGGTCCACAGGTGAAGCACTTCAGCCCCCATGCTATACAATAATTCAGAGCACTGTTATATGCGCAAGAATCCTTTTTAAGGTGTTAAGTTTTAGGATATTTTACCGGTCACCACACAACAAGAAAGAGCTTTCAGTCAGAGAAATTAATTCACGTAAAACAATAAAAGAAAAGAAAGAGAAACAAAATCACAGTCCTTTAAATTTCTGTACGATACCAACTTTAATTTTTATGTTGTAATGTTCACCCAAAATACGTTAAGCATGAATGAATCAATCCTACCTGTAGACAGAGTGACTAACAGGACCAGAGCTCCATAAAGTTGCATCACGGACAGAGACAACAAAAACCCTTATTTAGCCGTGTTCCAGGAGAATGAGCGTAAACTCCTTCAAATGCTGCCTTTTATACTCCAACCTTTAAGTCTTCTTCAAAAAACAGGACAGCTCCATTTAAACACCAAGCCCCCTCCCCATTCAGGGAAGGTAAGTAAATAATCGCAGAGACAGACGTACAGATGCAGTCATGTAGGTAAATAAAAGAAATGAATATTTAAAATGACCTTTGTTAGCAGATTAAACATCTGCTCTGATTGCCACATTGCCAGCTATAAAACGAAGCTGTGACTGGCTCTAATCAAAGTTTTCATGACCTCCTCACACAACATGCTGCTATTATTTTTTGGGGGATACAAGTCACATGCTCAGGACCAAAATCATCTGACTCTTTGAACTTTGCTCTGCTCTTTATTTGATCTAGGAAAGTTAACAAAGTCTTAACCAAACCTGTTTCTCTCTCGCTTCTCAGAATCCGACTCATACAGACGTGAAGAATTGAACACCCAAGGCAAAGTTAACCTTTGGAAAATGTTTATCGTTGTCCACCCTGAAATGGAAAACAAACAAAAACCTATACTGTTTAATGATCTTGGCCGTGAATGACACATTGAGATGTGAAAATGAGAGCATGTGACAAAATTTGGAGACGAATGCCCTCAACAACTTCTGATCTCAATGCTGTTTGCTGTTTTGGCTGTCAGAGGGCTAACATGTCCAGGTAAAAATTAGTAGCCTGTGTCCATGAAGAAATCAATAGGTTTTGTTTTAAGTGGGTTTGGGCGTTAATTGACATTTCAAAGTTACCGTCTCCCTCCATCGATCTCACTGGCGACATCTGAGGTGATGAGCTGCGAATACAGGTAGCAAAACTGGTTATTCTTAGTTGATGGTTGTGCTCCCCTTTTCAGTGTTTGCTGTCACCTGAGAAACATATTTGTCCAGTTTTTGAACTTACACTTTTCTTTTCATCACCTGTGGCCATAAATCTCTTTGTTATTTTTGGCCTCAGTAAATATTTACTCCCACCAGAGACCAGAGAAGCTGCATGTACAAGATGGTTGTCGAGTGACACTGGAAACTAGGTCATTACCTTTTCATTGTCAATGGCATTGAATGGTCAAACTTTGCAAATGATTTATTTATACAAAGAATAAGTTCATTACTTTCAGCTACACAGGTCCTGGTCTTAACAGCTTCTCTTTGTGTCTGTGGCTCAACGTTTCCACCACATATACTTCCTGTTGTTTTTAACCAACCGCAAATAGACACTAGTGTCATTATATAAAAACAATTGTAATAATTTCCATCTTCCTTGTACTTACGAATGCTGTCACGCTACATTGGGCTGCATAGCTTATTCACAGCTCTAAAATATCCTGAGGCATTAGTTTGTTATTTTGCTTGTCAAATTTGGGTTATTGTGCACCAACGTGTGTGACTTTCAAAATGTGCCAAATACATTCAAGAGTACAGAATTCTCCATTCCTGGTAAAGAGGACACACTTCCACAGAAGTCACCAGACAGAAAAGGATATAGCTGACATGTTTGGGGAAAGCTCCTGTGTCGTAAGATTTTGGGTAAAACAGCGCAGTCTTAGAAAATTAAGTTACACTGTGGTGTTTACTTGAGAGTGAAGCTCTCTTTTGCCTCAGCAAGACCGCAGTTTTGCTTTCAAAGTGGAGCCAGGATATCGAGCACAGGTTAGTTTAGCTTCTCAGTAAACTTTAAAAATGTTAAGTGGACACATCAAATAAAACAAAAGTCAACATCTACATTGGATATAATGAAAATAATACTAAAGCATCACTTTACCTAAAGCATTTCAAGATTACTGACTCTTATATTGAAACCTGTGGCACACTTAGGGGGGACCAAATACACTAACAGGGCAGCTGGCAGAACAGAGTCAAGATAAAACAGATGCATTATCGGGCATACATGCAAAAATATTTACATGATGTATGTTGTGTCAGTGGGCGGCACAGTGGTGCAGTGGTTAGCACTGTCACCTCACAGCAAGAAGGTCCTGTGTTTGAATCCGGCTCAGGGCGTTTCTGTGTGGAGTTTGCATGTTCTCCCTGTGCCTGCGTGGGTTTACTGCAGGTACTCCGGTTTCCTCCCACACCCCAAAAACATGCAGAAGTGATGTTGGGTTAATTGGCCACTTTGAAACTGCCCGTAGGTATGAATGTGAGCGTGGATGGTTGTTCGTCTCTATATGTCAGTCCTGCGATGAACTGGCGACTTGTCCAGGGTGTCCCCTGCCTTCGCCCGAAGATGCTGGGATAGGCAGCTTCCACTTTGTAGTGGATGTTTGAGGCAGACTGTATTTGTATTTGAGCAGACAAAATTTGGTATATAATTTGTTTTTGTTCACAAGCCTATTGACACATCATTAATTTTGAAAAATTAAATTAAAAGAAAATTATACAAAATAAAATGGGATTAAATATAAGAATCAGCTTCTCTCCACAACTCAATTACTTTCCCAGCTTTAACTTTCACCTGAAATCATCCTGACAATCTGAGGCCCATAAAGCATGCCACTCTGTTTCCACTCCCCTCTATGTACTGACCAATATGTTTATATCTATGTTCTGTGGGGAAGAGGTTTAACTGCACAAGCAACAGTGATCTTTATCTTATCAGCACAGCAGCAACTCCACATGTCACGATGAGCTCCCTCTGAAGTTATGCTGCAAATGCCTTTCTGCATTGTCAAAATTACATACCTAAAAGTAAAAATGAGAGCATCTGCAAACAAAAGCAGTTGAAAAGGTGAGGTGATCTTCATAGTAGTGCAATGACATTTCTACAGTGGCTCTCTTCCTCTTTGTCGTGCGGAGTAGAAGATTTAATGACATTTTGAGTAGCCATGGATAAAGGCAGTGGTGATATGCTTGAAGTTACAGATTTGGCTGCAGTATGAAGTGTCCTTGAGTCAAGAGTCAGATTTACTTTAGATTTGTTAAGATTATTTTGTTTAGATGACAATATACAAACTGCTCTTGCCTTCAAAGTTTGCACATGTGCATGCAAATATATTATCTTGGGGAATTACCTCTGAGTTTGTCTGCAGATTCAGTCTTAAAATCATCAAGTTGCTTCTATACAAACTTCTTATTAATCTTTTGCTCAGTGTCCATGTCTTCTGTCTCATCTAACGTTAAAGGGTTGAATAATAAGTCTATTGTTTGCTATTAAAGTTTTGGACTTTTTCTAAATTACAAAAGGTTTAAGTGCTTTTTTTGTTTGTGGTTTGCTTTTACTGGACTTTTATTGTCTTGAATGACCTTTGCAAGACTGTACATGTTTTATTGAATTATGTATTGTATTGTCTTATATTGTATTGTTTGTTTTATTTGTGGACCCCAGGAAGAGTAGCTGCTACCTTGGTGGCAGCTAATGGGGATCCGTATGAATAAAGAATAAAGAAAGAATAAAGTAAGTCACACTGTGGTTGCTCTGCAATAGCTGCTGCAACTGCAAGAGACACCCATTTAACCACTGTGGTTAAATCCACTTCATGTGTGTGTGTGTATGAGAAAGTTACAGAGATAGAGGGATCCTGCAGGCTCAGTGACCACAAACTGTTCCGAGAAAGAGGACAACTCAAACAAACAGGGCTGCCGCCAGAGAAACAGGTCTGTTCTCACTGTTCATAAGGGGAAGTAGAAACAGAGATACACTTAACCCTTCACTTTTCAAAACAAACAAACAAATTCTATTAGCTCAATACGAAGGATAGAAAATAATTGTGTTATTAAAGTATTTTATTTTGTGACATAAATGCAAGAGAGAAAGAGAGAGTAAGAGAGAGAGAGAGACCGAGAGGTCCTCACTCTTTTTAACTGTGCTGTAAGTGCCTGCTTAAGGATTTATGAATTAACCAACAAAGACCTGTAATGAGGAGGTTATTATTAAACAATGCTCGTCAGACTGACATGGATACATGAATTCAATGATGGTGAACTGGAACCTCAAAATCCTTTAAAATACCTCACTCATTTTCTAAAGAGCTAATCAACAATGTTGTTTTAACCCTGCATAGTTTGTATCTGATATGAGTTTTAAAAATAAGGACAGTCACTTCTGGTGATGTATCTGCCCTCACAGGAACACTTACATGAAATTTTGACCGCAGGACATGTCACTGGCTCTCAGGGTTTAACTCTTCTTCATTAATTATCCTGGTAAATCTTTTCCTTTCCCTGGTTTTAAGCCCTCTTCAATTAGATATGAAATTATTTTAATGAACATCCCATTTAGGGTTAATTGTCAACAAAGCAGGGTGTGAAAACTGTTATTGACAACCTTCAAAAGAGGACAGACACACAGCAATGTGTAAACATCCAAACTCAAGGCTACAGGTCAGTAAACACAGTGGTATCTTGAGGCCCCACAACGATGAAACTCCTGGTGTTGGCCTGGACATGTTTACTTGTAGAAGGATTTTTTAAAAAGCAGATTAACATTTTAAGTGTTTTTATTCATCTGTAGTTGTACAAATTGGGACAGAAAAAAAAGTGCAGCACAGATATTAGAAAGCACCAGAGCTTCAGAGAAAGAGGGCAATGATGGCTGAGGACACAAGCAGCAGCAGCAGGACACTGGGACCAGTTGGAAAGGCGCCGTTACACAAGTCCCCTTCACAGCACGACACGGCACCTACACATGCTATGCTGGTTTGGCAGCCCTTTGTGACCATGTCGTACCCTGAAAAAAAAAAGGGAACACTCAGAAACCCAGCGGTCAGCAAGCTTTAAAAAATCGGGAAGACATCAATCACTCACATTTATTGTATATACAACCAAATGCAGCTTTGCATAAACAGTGCAGTGCTTTACAAAACAAATAAAATGAAAAAAAAAGTTCAAAACACCTATTCATGGTCAAGGTTAACACAAACAACAAAATAAATAGATAGATAGATAAATAAAAAACAGGAACTAAGCATTGAGGAACTGAGGAAACACTGTCATGAGTGCATGAGGAAACACGAGGTAAACTTGGTTAAAACAGAAAATACTGTCTCATCTGCGTACAAACTGATTTTGGTGAGACCTTGGGCTGGTTGTCTGCAACAATAGTATTAAACAAAAGACAAACTTACCATCTACTTTGAGAGAGAAACATCTATTAAAGATGACTGGACAGGATTTGGTGTCCGTGCAGGATTTGGGGTCTGTGGCAGTACATGTGTAGCATCTTAATGCACATGCTGTACAGAGACACAAAACATGGACATGCAATCAAAAATCAAAAAAGACAAGCAATGTACGTATCACACATTCCTTTTGCATTTTCATCGCCTATCACAAACACTCACAGCTTCTTCAGAAAAGAGAAGTAAATAAAACCAGAGTTCAGAGCAGAGGCTTTCAGTCAGTTTTATATACAACTTCAAATTGTTGGCCACTAGTGAAAAGTTCATGAAAACAGATTGTGTGGTGGTATGCAAATTAAACTATGTAAAAGCTATATTCCATTGACAACATAAGGAAAACAGCAAATATTAGAACTGAAAATTGATATTGGTATGTGATACATATATATTATTGTAAATTTAATGCCAGCAACATTGCCAAAAAGTCAATACAGGAGCATTATGTGTTGCATTATCTCTCCCTTTAGTGACACTCTGTAGACACCTTGAAACTGCAAAGATCAGTTACTGGAGTTGTGAAATTTTCACCCTTGGCTGATATAGGATCTCAGCTGCTGAACAGTTTGACATTTCTTTTGTTGTATTTTATATTTCCTGATGAGGCTTATGTTATTAATGAGTGACAAGTCAGCACTGCAGGCAGGCAGGCAGGCAACAACACCCTCTTCTATTCCTTTACAACAAGCCTATTGTAATACTTGCAGAATGTGGTTTGTTTGGCATAGTCTTAATGAAATATGCATGGTCTTCAATAATACGGTATTATCAGGATAGCAGCATGTGTTCCTATGAAACCTGTTTATGTTGTCCTGCATTTATGGTGCATTCTCAGAGCTGCCCATACACATGGAAACTTATGTGTCTACAATCTGATTTTTTAAAATTAATGCTGATAAACAAGCTGTTTTTCTCTTGGTTTCAGTTAATCCTAAAAACCACTAGTGTCAGGATAATGTCTTCACATGGTTTCCTCTTAGCACTGTTCAGTTTCAACCTACATTTGTGGACGCAGCATTGGATTGTGTTCACAGACAATGGTTTTTAGAAGTAATTTTGAGCTAATATTGTGATTACTCATTTACTTTTAGTGGAGTTTCGACCTACAGCCAAAAACTAGTGGCCATTCATTACTCTTTTTTTGTTGCTTGTTTTTTTTGTGTAGAGATTTCTCCAGATTCTTTGAATATTTTAAAGATTATTTTGTACTGTACATGGTGAAATCCCCAAATTCTTTGCAATTTCATGTTGAGGAATAAAGTGTGTTTCTGAAATTGGTAGACTTTTTGCTTTGTCCATCTTTCTTACCATCTTGACAAAGAAAGAAACTCCCTAGAATCCCCTTTTTATACCCAGTCATGTGACTAACCTGTTGTAATTACGATAATTAGTTGGCAGATGTTCTAGTTTTAGTGTTTTTTAAATTCCTGTCTCAACCTTTTTGAGACATTTTGCTGGCAACCATTGAAAATTAGCTCAAACTGTCACAAAAAACACAAATTTTCAGTCTTAATGTGTTGTCTTTGCGGTTCTTTCAATCAAATTTGGGGTTAAGGTGGTTTATCAAAATCAGGATTTCATCAAAATTTAACAAAGTGCCCCAACTAATTAGGAAATTGGGCTGTAGAATTTAGAGTAGACAAACTACAAAGAAAGTCTGTATTTACCTGTAGAAAGAGTCATGAACAGGACCAGAACTCCACAAGTCTTCATGGTGGGCACGGAGGAAACAGATTGTTGACCAGTCCAGCAAGCAGAGAGTTTAGGGGAAGTTTTTCACTTTCAGCTCAGCCTCTACCCAGATTTCATTCAGCTGATCTTGAACATTTGCATTTCCACACAAAGCCTCTCCTCCCAACTGACCTGAATAATGCTGGCCCTGTAGTGACCTCATTATCCCACAGGTCGCCAAATACTCTTTCTGGAAAGGGAGGAAAACACTTTCTGCTGTTTCATCATTTCTGCCACAAATGATTAAGAGATATGAGACGTTTTTTCACCTCTGTCTGGACAGACGAGGAGAAAACTTTTTGTTCCTCTTAAATGCTCCAAAAATACACCCTGGCATCCTGAGTAAGACACTTACTCAAGCAGAGCTGTCATGCTGAATCAGAGATGTTTGAGGTAAATGGAAAACTTTGACTTACAGTGACCTGACTTGTTGATCCATAAGTGACATTTGGTTTTTGACAGGGTCATCAGTTCAGCAGGAGGCAAAATAACAGAAAGAGGAAGTAAATGTTTAAAATAACACAACACCACTGCACCTGGCACTATCCTGGTGTTGAATTTCACAGGTTAATCCACTTTCCTGTTGACTTTGGTTGTTTAATATCATGGCCCAAGTTTCTGTGGGAAAAGCCAAAGCATTTCTACATGCCAAGGCCCTGGCTGGGATTTGAACCCAGAACTAGCTTGCTGTGGTGCAGCATTATTAACCTCCACTCCAAAATACTAGCCAACTGTGTTTTATTCTTTAGGGTTTATTCTGCATTGTGGTCATTCAAAACTATTATCCAAGGTTCTTTTTGAGTAAGGACAGAATAGGTGGATTTTGAACTCATGACCCTCTTGCTGCAGAATGGGTGGATTGAGGCCACCACCATTTTCTGAATGTGGGAACTTCCTCTATTTAGAACTTATCACAGTATCGCATAGTTTTAATGTGGTTGTGATAAATGATTCGTTGTTCCAGCTTAAACTTAAAAATGTCCAAATGACTGAGCTCTGTCACTCCCTGATGGATGAACCTTTCTTTGCAGGGGTTGTTCTGTGTTAAGAATTTGTCATTGTAGTGGACATTGAAATGAAGTTACAATGTCCGGTGATTGTTTTGACAAACTGCAACTTGTGTGCTCTGTCAAAAACCAGGATAAAACCACTAATAAATGTCAGACTAACAGGGGGCAGTAGCTTTTTCACTCTGCCATGGTCCTGTCCTTTTGAAATGGGGTCCTTAAAGCTGAAAAATTGTATATGTTGTTCATGTGTTATCACGTTTAAACTATAATCCTGAATTTTAATGCTAAGCTGTAAAAGTCTGGGACAGTGGTTCTTCAGTATTTAAAGGAATGTGAATAAAATGACACTTATTGGGATATTCAGAAAAAAATAAGCATAATATTGTTTGGTCAGTGTTGTTATGGCTTATGATGTTTATTGTTCTTTTGAGTCTTTGTTTGTTGTAGTTATTTTTTGTTGGGGATTTATTTTTTTACGCTTTTCTGTAAATCTATCCACCAATTTTTCAGTGTTTAAATGGTTAAGGCTTCAGATTTGTAATTTTATTTTGAAAATATATAACCGGAAACACCCTTGCCTTCTGGTTCGCGTCATCTGCGCGCCTGTGTGTGAGCTCAGCGCATGCGCCGCTGTTTTGCTGTAAAGCCGGGCAGCTAAACTCTTGTTATGGCCCGTTTAGCTCCTCACGTGCACAGATTTCCAGTCATATTATTGACCTAATACTGCAAATCTATCTTTATAACAGTGATTTGAAACATGTCAAAGCCCCAGAAAAAGACGTCTGCCGCTCAGACCTCTATTAGCAGGTACTTCGGGGGACTGAACAGTAAAAGTGCCTCCAACCTTCAGTGTGGGATTAACCCAAATCCTGCACAACACCAGCTTTCAAGAGGCAAGGTGAGGTGTGCACCAGCAAACAGACCTCACGCGCAAACTTTTGCAGATCATGCATGTACAAACTCTAAGTCCTAAATCGCTGCTGCTTTTATCCTTCAGCAGAAACTTCCTCCTGATGATAATTTAGGACTGCCAACAAAACGGGCCAAGCTGTCTTTACAAGGAGAGGTAGTGGAGGAGAATTTAAACTGTGAGACTTCTTGGCAGAGCAATAAAGGTAAGAGCTTTACACAAGACCTTTACATCTATTCTCAACCTTTAAAAAGTATCACATTTTCAGCTGTCTGGATATCAAACATCCAACACTTAGGATTGTCTTTCAGTATCTTACAAAAGTGAGTACACCCCTTACTTTTCTGCAAATATTTAATCATATCTTTCATGGGATAACACCATAGAAATGATACAAACTTTGATACAATGTACAGTAGTCAGTGTACAGTTTGTGTGACAGTGTAAATTTATTTTTCCCTAAAAATAGCTCAACACAGAGCCATTTAGATGTACAACAAAAGTGAGTACGTCACTAAGTGAAAATGTCCAAATCAGCCCCAAAGTGTCAATATTTTGTGTGGTCACCATCATTTCCCAGCACTGCCGTAACCCCCAAAGGCGTGAAGTTTACCAGAGCTTCACAAGTTGCCACTGGAATCCTCTTTCACTCCTCCATAGTGACATGAGCTGAGTGGATGTTAGAGACCTTCCTTTTAGGATGCCTCACAGATGCTTAAAGGGGTATTCCAGCGTAAAATTAATTTAGTGTCAAACACACCGTAACACTGAGTTAGACACCCCCTTCGAGAGATAAATGTTGCCGACCGCTTACTTCTCTAGTTATACCAACTTTATGAATGAACACAGGATAGCGATACACAGCATTCTGAGGAGTCATAAACAAACCTCAACCAACACGCCACTCTATAGCCATAAATAATGCTCAGAACAGCACCTAACTTCATCAACAGTATACCATAGACTGTGGACTATGGACAACTTGGTTCCGCCTACCGCCAGTATACAGATTTGAAGCCAAATAGCTCTTGGCATTTCCAGGATATTTCTTCATTTCCTGAAACCAGCGCTGCGCAGTAGCGATGCGCGCATTCGGCCGCGCAGTCACAGAGAATCGCTGTGATGACGCTCGGCTCAAACAGCGTATCCCCGGGAGAGCTACTCAATCCCTCAAAGCCCATAGGCTGTATCAGGTGTCAATCATAGAAAACATGAACCCCCTAATAACTTTTAAAAACGGAGCTTCACCGAAAAAAGAGGACTTGACCACAAACCAGTCTGACAATAACTACGTCAACATCACAAGCCACAGCACTAGCCACCAAACATCTTTTTAACTTTGCCTAATTTCTTCAGCAAAGAGACTAAACACAACTCACCTACTCTCTTCCAGCAGCTGCTCGTTTGTAGCGAGACCTTGGGCCAGTCCATTATGGACTGCTGCGGGGTGACGCAGCTCAAGGAAGAACATTTATGATCATTTCTTCATGGAAATGCAATCTGACTGAGACGCTAAGGCAGAAGAACTACCACATCTGCAGGGCAAAATGATAGATATGGTGATTGTTACTTCAAGGAAATGATAAAGAAATGATTATACATGTTCTTCCTTGAGCTGCATCACCCCGCAGCAGTCTGTAATGGACTGGCCCAAACAAACTACAAACAAACAGCTGCTGGAAGAGAGTAGGTGAGTTGTGTTTAGTCTCTTTGCTAAAGAAATTAGACAAAGCTAAAAATATGTTTGATGGCTAGTGCTGTGGCTGGGACCCTAATTAGGTGTTAAATGTGAGGGGTGTACTCATTTTTTTGAGATACTGTATATGCCTCATAAACATGGAGAACTGTATTTTCTCTAAAGGGACAATGTCAACATTGCCTAAGGGTGCAGGCGGCCTCTGCTCCTCCACCTTGGAAAAGCTAAAAAGTTTCAGTGTTGTGCACAGTGAAACTCAAAAGGAGGAAAAGAGGACAGAGGACTCCGGCAGTAAAATCTGTGAGCAAGGAAGCAGCGTGAAGCCGCCACTGGACAATACAGATCCGTGCAGGATTAAAAACAGGCCACTGCGGATTGAGGACAAGAGTGAGGATGGAGAGGAGGAGGACAGTGAGCCAGGGAGTTCAGGGTCAGCTGCAACTAAACAGGTACCTAATATAGATGTTGTTCCCTTGGTCCAAATCAGCTGGGGTAAAAGTAGGTCAAAACCTCCACCTTTATCTTGTCACTACTCCCAAGTCCCTTTATCTCAAGTATGTTTCCAATTTGACATATTAGTATCTTTGCAAGCTATACAAGTGGTATCCTAAGTCTTTTATTTTTGCTCTTTTTTAAAAATTTCAGGAGTTCCACTTTTCTCAATTTGCCAAGCCAGGAGGAAAAGGAGGAGGAAAAGGAGGAACGAGTGCAGATGCTGGTCCTCCAATAGAGTCTAGCACTTTCTCTCGACGTTCGAAGAGTGTGTACACCCCCCTGGAGCAACAGGTCATCCAGCTGAAACAGCAGCATAAAGATGCCTTGTTGGCTGTGGAGTGTGGATACAAATACAGGTTCTTTGGAGAGGATGCTGAGGTAAGCTCTGGAACCATTTGTGTTTAGGATCCTTTCCATGGAAAATTCACTGTGTGCATCCAAAATATTGAATGAAAGTCATTGTTTTAATCAGTTGTAAGAGAAATTGTGGATATATCAGCTGTTGAATTGCAGATTCAGAGTCATTTCCTGTCAGGGACTTTTCCCTTGCAGTGTTTTTTTGTCCCTCGTAACACATTTCTGTTTTGGAATAACTGTTAGTGAGGTTATTAGTTATTATTCTTTTACCATTTTCTCTTAACATATTGATCATTCCTGAAGTGTAAACAAACATGATTTTAATCTAACACTCACTCTTGCTTGTGTGTTTTCGAACAGATTGCAGCAAAGGAGCTCAACATCTTCTGTCATCTGGATCATAACTTCATGACCTGCAGCATCCCCACACACCGACTGTTTGTTCATGTCCGACGGCTGGTGTCACACGGACACAAGGTATGACGCAGCTACTGATTAGTATGTAGAAGCTGTTTACACTTGTGTTGTTTCATTATGTCTATCCTTACTCTTGATTTTAGGTGGGTGTGGTGAAACAGACCGAGACATCAGCCATTAAGGCCTCAGGAGCCAATAGGAATGCGCTGTTCAGTCGTCAGCTCACTGCTCTGTACACTAAGTCTACCCTGGTGGGAGAGGGTATCCTTACACACTGGAGATATCTGTTTGTATATTGTTATTCATATCTACATGTCTACTATATGTCCTTAATAGTTTTTTAAGATGTGAACCCAGTCTGCAGGCTGAGAGGTGAAGAAGAAGAGGGGGCCTGTGGTGACGTTGTGGCAGATCCTCCTGACAGTTTCCTGCTGTGTATCAGTGAGAACTGGGACAAACTAAAGAAGCAGCTCACTGTAGGACTGGTGGTGAGTCTGATGGGAGTTATTCAGTCAAAGTTGTGCATGTGTAAAGACAAACTATTGGTTGGGGAGTTAGGTTTAAGCAGATTGATGTTTATTTCACAAATAACAATTCAAGCTAAATAACAGCTTATCTTTGCAGCTTAAAAATCAAGTAAAATAATTTTTTATTTTGATTATTAAAGGACCTGAAACAGCCTGTGAAAAACTACTGCAGACCTTTCTTTCTTTGTGCATTAATTTCATATGTGTGTTATGATGCAGGCAGTTCAGCCTTCCACTGGAGATGTATTACTGGACAGTTTCCCTGAGGGTAAGGCCCGCTCTGAGCTGGAGACTCGGGTCCTAAAGATCAACCCTGTGGAGATCCTTGTGCCCTCTGACCTCTCAGAACAAACCCACAAACTCCTGCAGAGTATTGCCAATGCAAGGTAAGCCCCTGTCTTAACACTAGAGGGTGGTATGCATCCATTTACTACACAATGGTGTGTTCTCACCAGTGTTGAATTCTGCTCTTTTACTCTGTGAATTTGAGTGAGTGCATTTCTTTCTGAATCAGGATTACAGTTGTTTTTGTGGAGCCCTCTGGACTCAGCCAGCATGAGGAAATCAATGTCAGCTCTTTGAGGTTATTTGACAAAAACTCTAAGCACTCTGGTTTTTCAATGCAGTGCTACACAGGGTCAAGGCAAGGTCTCACCTTGGTTTGTTTTATGTGAAAAGGTCTTACTCCCACTTTCTGAACTAACTAACTGAAGTTGTTATAATACATACTCAACAGTGAAAAACTGTTTTTAAAGGACACATAGACCATTATGAACACCAGGAGAGTAACATGGTAAAGTTATCCACTGGCTCAATAGGCTCTGGTGTGGTAAAATGTATTTGTGAGTTGTGGTTGTCCAATGTCATTTTTTCTTTGGCAAATACCAATAATGAGGAAGGAAGTTGGCTGATTTTATACTGTTAGTATTGTACTGACAAAATAACATTTTTTAACAGTTCTATTCTCAAGTGAACATTTTATCAGATAAATTAAGAGAAGGTAATATTTGACTCACTAGAATACCACCACCAGACTCTTTTGGATTTCTGTCCAACACTCAAAGTATTATGATAGAAAAAAATCGGGCAAGTATCTTGAATATAAAAATATAAATAGAGAGTCATGTAGAAATCTATTATTCCATGCACATTAAAATCTAATCTAATAGCAACATGTTATAGGACTTTGTATGAATTAATGGAAATAAAAATACATGAAAAGAGAACTACACGAGGTTATGTTATAGATTTCAGGACATGACATTTTTTAAACAGTGTTATTCTTTTGATCATAACAGAGTTTATGATAAAAAAAATTGCAAATAATATTTTAGATTGGATTTGTTGTCATATAGGATGGGGAAAGGTGTTTCATTTAGCAAGGCTATCGGTGATATTGGCATTATGGGGGCAATGCTGATGTGATGCAGGTTATGTCAAAATGCCGTTAATCGGTCAGTCCGGTTGTGAGCAGTACTTTTTACTCACTGCAGCCTGACAGTGAAGAATACTGTGTAAAAAACTGAAGGAACATGTCCCTCTTTCAAAATGACTGTAGAGCAACATGTCATGAAAAATAATACACTGAATTATTTTCTAGTTGTGTAATACAAATTTCAATCTTGACTAATCTACAGGTAAGGATCATACTTATAATACAGTCAGAGTTGATCACACTGTATTTAACTTAGTGAAACACCAGTTCACAGAGTCTCCAGGTAAACAATGTTGAATTGTTTTGTCAAGTGTGGCCAGCAGTCCCAAAGCTAGTACCACCAGCGGGCAGGTAAACATATACAAGCCTGTGATGGTAACACATTGATCTGAAGAGGCAGTCTGTCATCTGTGCTTCTTTATATTCCAGTAGAAGAGTGTTGTTGTGCTATGATGTTAGCTATTTACCAGGTCTACACCCCTGGCTAGTGGCTGGTGCTTGTGCTACAGCTTAGACACAACATTTGACCGGCACTTTGGCCCACAATAATCAAACCGTAAATCTGAAGCACAAAGATAGGCTGGCAGATAGAGTCTTTATGGTAATTGAAACCAGTTCATTTGACTTACATTTGAGTGTAAAAAGGAGAAATAAGAAATAATATGACATGATGGGGAGTTCTCAGGTAGTCCACCTGAGTTCAGATAGCTTTTTGCAACTTTCTTTTCACTGTGACTCAGTAGGGAGACACTCTCCAGGGGTGCACACTTGATGTTCGCTTATTTTTTTCCCAACTCAGACAGCCTCAGATACAATTTGAGCTACATTTTTCGAAGAAAATGACCATTTCAAGACAGATCATCTAACAGCTGGTATAAACAAGAGGAATGTGTTTGCATGCAAAATCCCTTTATTAATAATACAAATAACTGGGCTGTGTTTCAAAGAGAGGCTTCAAATCATGTAAATCTAGGGCCAGGCAATATGGGAAAAAGTTTATCACCATATTTTTTTTTCGTATCAGTCGATATCGATATATATCAGGATATAAAAACTGAAATTTAACAGTGCTTATTGGTAGCATGTCTTTTGCAATACAACAAGCTACAGCATCTGTGAGGTCTTCGTGTCTCTGACGTTTTGACGTGAGGCGTTGCGCGAGAGAAAGTGGACTGAATGGTCGGCTGTTTCGGCTGCACAGGCACCACGGGCTCCTTACTCCACTTGGGTTTGTGACCTTTTGCAGTGTGCATGTTCTGTGTGGCACTGCTTCAGGTGGTGAAAAAGATTTGAGGTATTCCCCGACTTTGTGAGAACATGTACTCTGACATAATTTTCAGTGCACATTACTCTGCTCCATGTCCGACCTCAAAAAAACAAAATACCTCCACACCATCGACATTTTCATGCCAGTGTTGTCAACAATGTCGTCATCTGTTGAGCCTTCATCTGCATTTCTGCCAGGAGTAGCACTCATTTTCTTCTTTTCTCACTAATAGTGCTGTCGGCTTCAGGTGTTAAAGTGCCATGGTTGCGTGTAGCTGCAGCCTGCTACTACGAAGTTGTTTACTACTTGGTTCTAATTCAGCACATTATTGGTTCAGTGCGAAGCAGACCTGGAGCAGCTCCCCTTTTCATTGGCTATTTGTATAGTCTACCAAAACATGGCAGAATGTCGACTATCGAAAATGATATTGACCATGTTTGATATTAATATTGAGGGAAATTAATTTTCAACACATACTGTATATTGTTATCGTTTTATCGCCCAGTCCTATGTAAACCTTTACTTAAACACATTGCTGAGTATTTACACTACAGCTTACACCATCATTGAAAATTATTACAGTCATTTAGCCGTAGTAAAACCATCATGAGCACAGCATGAGCCCACAGAGTACAACAGGGAGTCGACAGCTTTGATGCTGGACTAACAAGCATCAGCTGAGTTGCTGATACAGATACAGTTCACACATAACGCGTCAGGCAGCTGTATAAACTGCAAGATCAAAAAGAGTTACACAGCTTGGCCTTTGTTCATCTGCTGACTAACAGAGGCAGCGACGGTGACTATAAAGTGATGTACTCCAGAAACCTGTTGCTTCTGATGTGTTACCAGCAATCTGCACCCAGTACATTCACAACAGTGGAGACGGTTCCTCTGGGTCTACATGTGATTGCATTAAGCTGTGAAAATGAAACGAAGGAGTGGAAGGGGAGCCGAGCGGATGTGATTAGCAAGAGGTGGTCGGATAAATGGAAGGGATGTCTGCTACCGTCTTCCTTCTTAGTCTTTGACTCCTTCATGGTCCACATTTCTCATTTTCCTTTCTTTATTTTCCTTTTTCGTTCCCCCCTCTGTTTAAATTTCATCCTAGGAAATTGGGTTCATTTATATTCATGCCTTCCTTTTCCCCTTTATTTCTGTCTCCCTATTCTCCTTTTCTTCAGCACCCCGTGTTGAGTGATAATAGCAGAGATGGGCCTGTAAAGGCCAGTCCAATTATTGTGTTTGAACAGCACTGCTCTCTAGCGTTGTGCTCTTCAGAGACAAGACTCCTCTCAATTTGTAGCCTGTTTCATATAAATACAGGGCACATTTGTCAGTTCAGCTCAGACAGAAAATTTATCACGTTTCTGCACACACACACAGAGAGCTCTTTATGTTAGATCCTTCCATTTTGAAAACTCCACAGATCGTCTCCTTTGTTTTACCCCCTCATTCTGGGTGTATTAGACTGAGAAGGATGCCTCTGTGAACTGCATAAATGTTACAAAATAGATGTTTCATGCATATTTGCTTTATCACACTAACCCATTAAAAATGCTAAGAATGAGCTGAAGTGAACGCTGTAAAATAGGATTTTTTTGGCTGCTGATGTAAGCCCCACATCTTCAGCATCTCCTGGGATTGCGAGACAGGCCCCCTGGCAACAGGATTTATGTGTGTCCATGGAGCGGCAGGTAATGAGTCCCTGGGAGGTTGATGGTATCTAGGGTGCAGTATTGGTTGTTTTACTCATCCACAGCCTGGAGTCATGAGTCAAGATCAGAGCAGTGTAGGGGTGAGAGAGACTGAAAAACTCTGGCTGATGCTTTTGACTTAAATGACCTCATGTTTCCACTTTTTGAAAAAATAAACTAAATCTATGACATACGCTTTTTGTGTCAATATATTACATCCTTGGTGCATGAAAGGCCTGAAGTCACGCCTCTGGATGGATCTCTCTCACACACGCTTTCACACATGAGAAGACTTAATTTGTTTATGTAGGACTAGATTTGATTGGGTACTCTCAGAGTCCAATATTCTCCCTGAACTCAAGGACCTTAATCCGTTGTCCACGGTAACCTCTGATCCACGGGTCGTCACATCTTGGCTTCAGTATTTGACCATCCATGTTTTTGATTGATTATCACCATCACAGTGCTCTTAAATCATTATTCAAGGAGTGGCATTTTTGTCTTTATACTGTCCCTTTTATAGCCTCTTAGTAGCAAACTCTTCACATATTTCAGGCCGCTGCCTTTGAAAACTCTCATTTCAGCCTCTGTCTGAGATGCTTGATTTAAGCCACTGTCACTTTCAAATGGACAACGAGAGTATCTCCAAATCTATGTCACAGATTTATGGACAATATTTGAAAGTATTTTTTTGTCTCCTGAGGATGGACCTTCATGACTTATATGGCCCCTTTTCATCCTGTAAAAGTCCATTTCTTTGACTTTTAAGTATAGCAGCTATCTCCTCAACCATTGTGTGGACTTTCATGAAAATTTGAACAGGCATGCATTGTCCCAAGAAGATGCATTGTAATTATTGTGGTTTTGTCTAAACTTTTCATTTTGCACCATCATGTGGTCTAAACTGTAGCTTGTAAAATACTTTTAATTTGTGACCAAATACTTGCAAAACTAGTAGCAGTAGCTCATTGATGTGATTGGTGCTTAAAAACCTTACTGTACTTAGCATCTAAGTGCTAGCATGCTAACTCAATTAACTATAATTATGACCATTTAAAGCTCCTGTGAGGTACTTTTGGTTTGTATCAGTTTTGGCACCTCCCATGTGAACTCAGTAATACTGCTATACGTAAGCTGTATGTGTGTGAACGTGGCCTTTTCAGACAAATACCTCATCCTGTTGTCTTTTAACAGTGAAATCCATCACTTAATGTGGGTATTTGCAATGTAAACAGGTAAAAAAAACATGCTTCTGTAGCTTGCTGTCAGTCAACTGATTTAATAGTTACTCCCTCACAGCAATCCCAATTTAAGGTCCTCTGCTGTGTTGCTGATGGTCTTGTTTGCTTTTGCAGGTTGTTAAGAGACATCAGTATCCGGATGAATATTGTGATTAATGCTGATGCATGGTGTGTTAACAGCATTAGATTGGTATCCAACTTAAACATGTGCATGTTTATGTTAAATGGTTTACAGCCAGGTTCATTAGCTGTAGTCTTCTCTTCAGAAGTTATTTTTGATGCTGCAATAATTCACGTAGAATAAACAAAATTTGAAACCCACATTATCTGAGTGTTTATAGTTGTTATTGAGATTAACAAAGCCTTTAATTTTGGCCAGAATTATATAAAAACATACAAACATATTTTCATTTGTTTGCAAATCTGAACCAGTAATAAGATGTCTTTAACTGTGAAATTGAAACAACGGTATAATTCAGTAAACCCCAGCGTAAGGAGGGGTCCTGTCAGGGCTCTGCTGATACATTTCACTGCAGCATCCTGTCCCTGAATCAATACTAGTGATTGTCACTGGTCTTGTAAACCTCATAATATGTTTCTTTGAGTGATTAAATGATTCATAGTCACAGTTTCACTGGAAACACAACATGTAGCTTATTGATTATTGCTATACACGCTTTTATTCCCATATTGACCAGTGATTGAGGTGACAGATGATGATTCTTTCCTCTGTGTATTTGTGTGCGAGTGCATATAAGCATCAGGAAACAGAGAAAAGAAAATCTTTAACACTGCGTCCAGAGCCATGTGTTTACCTTGGTTGCCCTGGCAACAACAGAGCAGACAAAGCAACTGAGTCCTTGAAAGTGGCAATCCTGAGAAAGTGAATAGAGCGTTAGGGGGATGCGATAGTGCTACAGGGGTATGCAGGGAAATATTATGTGTGTGTCTGTGTTTTGCATCTGTGTTTTTTGAGTTGACTGTCACATGTAACAAAGCTGCATCTGATTTTCCTCTCAGAATAGAATCTTATTAAAGATCTGATGTTGGTTCACCTACAGTTTGTGCAGTAACAATCACCTCTCACTCCTTGAATCAGTGCCATGTTTTTTTCTCCACCAGTGCTCAGGCGGATGACCGCGTGAGAGTGGAGACGAGGGACAGCACAGAGTTTGAGTTCGCCTCTGCAATGAATACAGTCACAGAGTTTTACTGCCACGCCCAGGAGAAAGGTGTGTTTTTGTGTTTCTGTTTCCCTCAATCTTAGACTCATGAATTCAGTGATTCTGAGACAGCTATTCTACTGGTAACCCTGAGCATACCTTCAGAGAGCATCTGAGTTTTCTCTGTTAAAGAGTAGTATGTGCATCTGTGTCCTCCAGGCTCCCGCTCTCTGTCCACTGTAGCGTCCTTGGAGAGCGCAGTGATATGCTGCCTGGGGCCCCTCATCCATTACCTTCAAGAATTCAACTTGGAAAGAATCCTAAGGAGTGAGAGGTACTTGTAAAGAACTGTATGCACATACTTACTGCACAAAACACAGTATACAGTAGTTCAGCAGGTCAAGTCCAGTGGAACTGAAACAAACAGAAAGTAGTATTTTTGTTATTGGTAACACTGTATGTTAGGGTCCTTGTAGTTCTATTTCTTTATCTATCTATATGTTATTTATTGATCTATAGTTAATACGCTCCTTAAAAGATGTACAAGATGCTTATACACATTTGTGTTAATAAAAGCGTTAAAAGCACATTTGTTATTGCCTCCAATACACTCACAGGCTCTCATTAAAAACATGTTAACAGTGTATGTATATACCTGTCAAACATCAACACCTTAATCTTGTAGCGTCTACTTTATGTGAATAAAAAGCTTACTGATGTAAATGACATAAATGTCTCATCAGCAATAATAAATATGTTAATTATGATTTTAATAACACTGAGACACTTGAAATTGTATATAAGCATCTTATAAGATATTACGAGTGGCCTGTTAACTATTAATAATTAGAATTGATAATAGTTTGCAAGCTGCAGCTCTTTCCAAGAAGTAATAAACGGTTTTAGTTTGACAGGGATACAGGTATTGCACCATATACAGTACATTACAGTTCATCTCATGTTTTCATTTCTCGCACCTTTTTTTCTCCTACACATTTACAACAAAAAAGATTAAGTCTTTTTTTTTTTTATCAGAGATTATATTCATTTGATCATGCAGCTGTATTAAAGCATTTTTTTACCCCGCAGCTCATTTAAACATCTCTCGTGTACATCAGAGGGAATGACCCTGAGTGCAGCCACCCTCAGGAACCTAGAGATCCTTAATAATCAGGTAAGAGAACACCTTAGCTGGTATTTGTGGTCGCTGGTCGAGCGAAGTAAAGTGGAGAGGTGGGACTAATGTTTGGAGGTTTTCACTGTAGCACATTCCTATATACTGTATAGGCTGGTTTACAAAATTTGATTGGATAGAACAGCTGCTTTCATCATAATGTCTGCGGGGTTTGAGAAAAAACTTATATTGTAGGTCTTTATAAAGTACGACGGAGTATTAGGACCAAATTTAGAAAAAAAAATGTAAACTTCGAGATTAAAATCGTTAATTTACGGGAATAAAGTCATTACTAACAAGAATAAAGTCATAATAAAATCATTATGATACTTATGACAATGTGGTGCCGATGTGCCAAAAGATTAAGTATCTCCTTGTTTGAGAAATCTAAATTGAAGCAGGCCTACATTCTCATGAAATGCTCCATGGCTCTCATCATAACAACTGTCATCTTAAACAACAGGTTAGAATATAAGGTCTTTATTCTGACTTTAATACCGTATGTGATTACTTTACTACAACTTTACTCTCTTAAGTAATTACTTTATTATGATTTTATTCTCTAAGTAATGATTTAATTACAACTTTATTCTCGTTAGTAATGACTTTATTCTCGTAAATTAATCTCAAAGTCTTACATTTTTTTTTTCTTAATGTGGCCCTAATACTCCGCTGTAATAAAGGAAACTGTTGTAAAGGGGCATTATCATTCTCTTCCTTAGTGTAGCAATGCATGGAGGTAGTATGCTGCTCTCACATTAATTTTTAGTCTGTCAGTTTGTCTGAACTATTATGATGTCGGGCTTTCTATATGATGTGGCTAAAATCTCACATTATATACAAACAAAACGATAAATATGTTAAACCTTACTCTTTCCAATGATATATGATGTAATAACAAATATTATTCTGAGCAGTGCTTTGTGTTATGTGCAAATAGTCAAATGTTGGCTTGCAAACATGCAAGACCTGGATGATGAATGCAGTAAACATTTATTCAGCCAATCACTAGCATGCTAGCATTTCCAGAGTAAGCACGAAAGCTCAGCTAATGCTTATGTCAGCATTGAGTCTGATGCAGCCACAAAGAGCCGCTTCAGCAGACTGTGATGTATGTTGTAGATCAGAATTAAACCTCGAATGTATTTGTTTTCAAATCAAGTTGTGTCCTCAGACAGAGATCTGTCTCTGTAGCTGCTATATGCTCCACCATGTTAACCAGCTTGTCGCTGACTGTGGCCATCTGCTGTTTTGTAGTGAGCAGTCAGTGTGTGGTGTGTTTTAGAGCTTAATAGCTGAATATGATACTTTAAGAGCAGTGAAAGCATCTCAGACCTACCATGGGATAGGCTGCTACATGAGCCGAAAATCATCATGAGGCACTCTAGCACATAAAAGCAAAGATAAAAGCAAAATCCACATAAGGATGTATTTTATATTTCATTTTTAAATGTGATTCGTATCTATTCTTTCATATTATAACATTTCTGTCTCTGATTACTTCTGTTTCTCTTGCAGAACCCTTTTTATAGTTATGGTTGAGCAACAGACTGTAAAATTTCAATCCAATCGTTGTCTCTGCAATCACAACTAAATGTTCAGTGACTGTTCAGGCTTGTGTAGGCGCCAGCTCCAAAGTTCAGCACATGTGGAGTTCAAACTCAGTTCAAGCCTCCTCAACCCAACAGCTTGTGGCTCCCATGACCCCCCCTCCTCTTATTTTTTTTGAACATCATAATGAGGTTTGGGTATATTCAAGTGATGCACTTAAACGCTGTGTTTGTGTGTGTCTTCTTTCAATGACAGACAGATGGCAGTGTGAAAGGCAGTCTGCTGTGGGTGTTGGACCACACTCGCACAGCGTTTGGGAAGAGATTGCTGAGGAAGTGGGTGAGCCAGCCCCTCACAGACCCGCAGTGAGTACAGTACCGACCTCTGACGGAGCACGGCTGTCAGTGCTGAGCTGAACTGATGCAGCTGCTCTCTCCTGCCTTTCAGCTTCACTGTGCCACTAAAGAAATATGAACAACATGAGTTTATCTGCTCTGTTGGCTATCTAGGTCTTCCCTTTGCAGAAACTCCCTGAATTCAGTGTTTAAGGCAGGGACATCTTTACCCAAACTCTTTTACAAGCGTTTCCCTGCATTGTGTGTCAAAGTTCTTGTGCAAACATGAAGAATCTGCTCTGAACAAACTCAAAGTGCTGGTCTGCTCATGCTTTCACAGACTACAGAAAAAAACGCACAACTGCACGAAGGTCAAGACAGACTTCTTTCAAATGACCATGCAGCTTTACGTTTACTTTATTGTGTCAGAAGGACAGGAAAGAGAGCAACCCAATGACCGCATTTAATTACCTCCACCAAGGAGGTTTTGTTTTCGGTAGCGTTGGTTTGTTTGTTGGTTGGTTTGTTTGTTTGTTTGTTTGTGAGTTTGTTTGTCTGTTAGCAACTTTACGGAGAAAGTAACAGACGGATTGACCTGAAATTACTGTGATCCAGAACACACAAAAATAAGGGTGTCATTGGAATTTTCAATGCTAAAAGATAACCAATGGGCGGCACAGTGGTGTAGTGGTTAGCACTGTCGCCTCACAGCCAGAAGGTCCTGGGTTTGAATCCGGGTCAGGGCATTTCTTGTTTTTAGTATGGAGAGGGAGGGGGAGGGAGAGAGATTAGGGAACGAGGGTGAGAGAGAGACAGGAGGCAGCAGGAACAACAGCAACAACAACAACAGCTCATGTAATGGTGAAACAAAAAGAAGTTCAGTTTACAGGTTTAGGATATGAGTGATAATGGACAATGTTGAATTAATTGAGTGTGATTACAGTTAGCAGGCTTAATCGTAGTCAGTTCTATTTTGTATTATTAATGTCAATAATGACAGTGAGGCTGATGTTCATGTCTGCAGTAACAGTAACAGCAACAGTCCAGAGGAATCAGAGAGAAGAAGGAGCTCAGGGCCGGGGGGGGGGAGGTCTGCGGCAATGGTCCAGAGGAACCAAAGAGCCAAAGAGTTGGAGGAGCTCAGGGCCCAGGGTGGATGCAGCTGGGGTCAGGCAGTTCCGCAGCAGACCTGTTTGCAGCATTAGTCCAGTGGCAGCTAAAAGACTCAATATAAGGGGGGACATGAGCTGCTTGGCGGAGGTCTGCGCTCTCCAAGTGCTTTTCTAGTTAGTAAAGTAACAGGCAGCTGGCATTATCATTTAATAAACTCAGAATCAGGTGGCATTTAATGACCTTAGTGATGTGCATAAATAAGCTTTAGAACACAGATGACTTTTAATATTGGCTTGTTCCTGTCCTGTATCTCCCTGTTTCATTTTCTAATGTTGAATATAATAATGATTATATTTCTGATTTGAGTTTGATCATTTAAAGTTATTTTTTTGTTTGGATTTATATAAACTTAAAAATGTGAAAACCTCTTTTACATCCTTGCAAAGCTGTTGTTACTTTTTTCGGACGCTGCTACATGAAAACACCAAATGTGTTCCTGAAATCAAACTGCTAAAAACTGACTCACAACACTCCTGCTTCAAACATCCTCTCTGTTCAGCTGGGCTATTCCAGTCTTCTGACCTGCAGCGGAATTTTAGTATCCATATATTGATTTTCTTTGTGTGTGCATGTGTGTATATATGCTTGCCCTCTGCCTATGTGAAGCACTCTGCCTCCCACAGTGGAGGGATTATAGCTGCGGATTGAGCTCTGCTCTCAGATTATACAGATAGCTCCCCTGCAGGAATTTGACATGAATAAAACCAAGATTACACCCTGGCACATTAATTCCAACACACACAATGCAGCAGCACATTGCATAAACACTGATGTATGTGCACACACACACACACACACTCTAGCCCACACACGCCAATGTGTCTTTTCTATTACATAACTTTGCAGGATGATCTACTTTTTGTAGTGCATTCTTTGCAGATGGTGTGTTCACAGAGTAATTTGTATTTGTACTCTTTGTGCTCACTCACAATAAATACAATGCTTGATCTGGGGCCCTAAGCTTTCTAATATGACAGGGTAGGTAATCACTCCAACATCAGGCTGAAAACACGCAGGCCTTCCTTTTTTTTAGTAAGATACAATCCTGGTGCATATCCCGGCCACACTTTCAGATTACAGCCAGCAAAGATATAAAAATACTAAAACAAAATCTGCAGACCTTGTCACCTTGTCAAACCAACTTACTTTGGCAAACATGCATCATTTTGAATTTTAGACGTGTAGCAATTTATCAATCAAGCATGCTTTAATTTTACCGCACTTGTCATGCCCACAAATGCAGCAGAAATGTCAAAGTGGCAAAAAGAGTTCAAAGGTTTGAGAAATTCAGCCTGATATAGATAACAGAGTGTGATTTTCTTCAGAGATGACTGGATTTTAAAACCCCAGCTGATGGTTGAATCTCTGTTGCAACTAATCAGCAGCAATTTGACATTTAATTGTTCTGAATGTCTTTTCCGTAATACTGCTCTTTTTAATCAACACTAATTCTGCTCTGTGAATGACAAATTCCTCTCGCTAGTGGCTGTGACTAAACGTTTAATTTGTGTGACTTTGTTTCGATTGGATTCCTCAGTTTCTCTCTTTCGCTCCTTTCCTGCATAAACCCACAGGTCTATCTTAGAGAGGCAGGATGCTGTGAAGGAGATTCTTGAGTCAGACTCTACGTCTCTGAATTTGGTCAAATCTCTGCTGTCACACCTGCCCGACCTGGAGAGAGGCATCTGCAGCATTTATCACAAAAAGGTACGCAAAAGAAATAAAAATAAGCACACACACACAGAGGTAATGCTTTTTTCATAACTTGGGTCTTCTTGTCCAGAGCTGTACCTGTTTCTGTCACTTATGATTGTGTTTTTTATCAACTTCAGCTAGAATCGAAGAGCGTGGTGGCAGTTAAAAAGCATTAGATTAGGAGCTAAATTAGGAGAATCTTCCCCAGGTGGTAAAAATCACAGCCCCTTTTTTCCTGTTATTTCTGCACATGCAATAAAAACAAAGAGTGTTTTCTCTCTTCTTGAACTCTCATCCTTTTGTCTTTCTCATCTCTCTTTTTTATGGCGTGCTCTTGATTAACAACAGGGAGCGGTCGCCTCGGTGGCTCTTACCTGATTGTCCTACACAATCTCATTTCCCATCGGAGCCATTCTTTGAAATGTCAGAAGGCTTCATCCACTGGTGTGTGTGTGTCTGTGTGTGTATGTGTGTGTGTGAGAGTGACATACAGAGATGAGAGAGCCACTCTGGTCTCAGCTCGATGTCTTGTCTCATGTTCAACTTCCTGACTCCTTCATATATTGTCAAAGGGAAATAATCAAATGTCATCCAACACTCACACTCACACTTGCACTCGCACACAGGGACCTTAATTGTCATTTGGCCCGTCTGCAGATAAATGGCCCTGTGTGTAATGGCCTGTGTCTCTATGGCTCCATTGACATAATGAGAGGGAGGACATGCTTATGGTCTGCAGTCTGTTTGGGTTCATAACGGAGCATCACTGAGGCTGCTGACACAAAGGACCATTAAAAGTGCAGCGTGTGATTGATGCAATAAACCATAGTCAGTGTGACTCCCATTAACCTCTAATGACCTGGCACTATCTGTGACATCACTAATGGCAAAATGAAGTCAATATAATCTAAAATATTACCTCCTTTTAGGAGTAATTTTACGCAGAGCATCGATTGACCGTTTGGTTTAACGATCTGGTTCTATTTTTAAACACTGATAGAAAGTAAACATAGAAAACAGTGTGTGTGTGTTAGATGATAAACAGCCGGGGTTTCTCTCTGCATATAAAGAGTTATAAAACATCATAACTCTCATAACTATACCGTGTTTTTGAAGTTCACCAAGAACTCAGTCTATGTGTTGTTAAAAAGTGATTCTTTATTTTGCATTCAGGTATACTTCACTGTAAACCATACCTTTATAGGGCATGGCATGGATGCTATGGATACATCCTATGAGACATTTAAGGAATATTAAAAAACAATATTTTTTATTTATTTATTTATTTATTTTTATTAACCTTATTTTGTCTTTATTGTTCAGTTAGATGTGTTTCACTCCTCCAGGTTCACAGTTGCGGATAGCTCTCAGTTGATGTTGTAGTATTTGTGTGACTGTTATGAGAATGAACTCCGGGTATATTACTGACATTTGGAGATAGTATTCCTCACTCACAGCCTTGTATTTTGGGCTCAATGTGAGAAAGTGTTGCTCTGCCTCTTCCTGCAGTGTGTCACACTGAGAGCAGAGTCTCTCCTCTCTCCTCCTTTGGCAGCCTGCTCTTTCTGTAGCGATCTGTCTTTACAGTCAGACTGGACTTTCTGTGTCTGAACACAGTCAGGATTTCTTTTTAGTTTTGGGCTTTTTATTCAGCTCAGATGATCTTTTTGGGATGTTTTCTGATTTTGATGGTTGATAGCTTGGTTTGGTTGAACTGGGGGAGTTGTTGTGCTCCTGAGGCTGTCAAGGCCCAGTTATGGGATCCAACTAGAGCATTTGGAGCAGCTGGCTGAGGGTGCTCCTCTCTGGCTTTAGGTCTTTGGGGGTGATGTGATGGTAGGTCTGGAGTGGAGTGTTTTTTTTAATGTGGGTTAAATTTCTGAGTTCTTTTTAGTCTCCTCAATGCTGTAAATAAGGTTCTTACACAACTCAGTGTGGGAAAACTCAGTTATTGTCTGGTCTCATTTGTCCGAGTCCTGATTGAATTTTTGTCCTCAGGTTTTCCTGCCAGATTAATTGTTTTTCTAATACAAACAGATTTTTTTTTAATCCGGATTTGAATTGAGATGTCAAATTTGATGTATTCTCAGATTGAATAAAAGCCCATCTTGGTTTGTATTTCTCATCTTTCACAGCCATATTGGAGCTTTCTGTGGAGCTGATATTGAGGCGGAGATAGGTGTAGGTTTTGGTTTCTTGTTATTTTGTAGTATCTGAAAATAAAAAAATGACAAAAGCTTTTCAGGCTCCCGGACAGCCGATTGATTTTCCAACATGCAGCGATGCTGCAGGAGAACTCATAGTGATATAAAGAGGATGAAAACAAGGGAAAAACATGCCACTGCTACAAACATGAGGCAAGGGGACGGATGCAGAAGAGTTAATAATACTGGTAGGCTAATGGGCTACAGTCAAGTTAGGTCAATAGTTCAAGGGCAGGACAGCTATGTTTATTTTTTGGTTGTTAAAAAAAACTGAAATTTAAACAGATAAATGGAATCCAGCCGTCATTGTAAAGTCAAATCTCCATTTGGAAGCAATGATTTATTTTCACACATTTGTTTTCATGCTATAAAGCATCTATGAAAAAGGAGGTCAAAAAAAAAAAGTCGAGTTGTGTGAGGTCAACACAGTAGAGGTAAAACCCACAGGGGAGCCCAGTCAGCTTGTCGTCTTTGCTGAAAAAGCTGTTGGGAGATCCTGCAAGCATGCTAGGCTATCAACTGCTGCAGACAAGGTCTGAACTCCCCCATAATTCAGGTCATTATGAGACTGTCAGTTTTACTTTTGTCAATTCCTTTTATTCTTATTGTTTCAGCTGTACTTCTTTGTTGGTCCGTATTTTTGGAGAGGATGGTTTTTGCTGCAGTGTTTTGCTGCTTGTGCTGCTGCTAATGACTGGGGTTTCTCAGAGCTCAGCCTGTAATAGTGCATCTATCTTTAAGCTTGGCAGTTGTAACCAGTACAGATGAGATTTAAGGATCTAATCCGGCTTGCTTACAGCATCCCCCAGTAACAACATAACACACACAGACACACACAGAGACACACACAGACACAAAGGAACACGGAGAACATGATTTTCATTTTGTCAGACAAAAACCTGAAGAACATATTTATTATTTTTGGTTTATAAATAAACAGTACATCCTGATAGGACTGCTGCCTACCTCCCAGTTCAGGTCAACCCTTTAATCTTCATCAGATATTCTGCATGTGCTTGTTTGCGTGTTTCAGTCCTCCACACAGGAGTTTTACCTCATTTGTAGCAGTCTCTCCCGCCTGGGGCTCGAACTGCAGGCTCTGCTCCCAGCCATCCAGTCACAGATCAGCTCAGGTCTGCTCCGAGGCCTTCTGTTGGACACTCCTGACCTGCTGGCTCCATCCCAAAGCTTCCTAAAAGTGCTCAATGAAAAAGCAGCCAAGTGAGTACCCCCAGCAGCTCAAAAAAGAGGGACTATTTTGCATGAGATGCAAAAAAAAGTTGAGTACAAAAAAAGGGCTTGAAAGTCTCTGCAATGCAGTGGAACACAGAGACATAGTAGAAGGAAGAAACCATCCAGGAAACTAAGAGTCAGCAGTTTCTATGAAGTTAAACAGCACTGGTGTGTACACGAAGTAGTCAGGACCGAACTCATGTTAAAGACTTGGGTCACTTGTGTAGACTCATAGTAGTCTGAGGGATGTAGAATTTAGGGCTCGACTTGGAGTTACTTTTAATGCAGATTAATTTTCCCTCTGACCTGCAGGGTTCCATTATTGAATCTGCTGTGTGTTATCTTAAAGGTCAGGGGATAAGACAGAGCTGTTCTCAGATCTGTCTGGCTTCCCGGTGCTTCAAGAAAGGAGAGAGCAGATCCAAAATGTCATCAACGAGATCCAGAACCATCGCAAAGAAGTCCGTCTGACACTGAAGGCCCCGGCGCTTGAGTACACCACAGTCTCTGGACAGGAGGTGTGTGTGTGCATGCATGTGTGTGTGTGTGTGTGTGTGTGCATGTGTGTAAGGCTCTCGGTGAGTGATGCCCTGCTTTTTGGTCGTAATGAGGATGATGTGGTGTCTTTGTGTGTAAGTCTATGTACCATTATGCGTGTGTGTGTGTATGTTTTTGTATGTGTGTGTCAGTTTTAATCAAGAGTTTCTTTGGTCTGTGCTTCTGTCTGGTTTATTAAAGCCTTCCTCTTTTGCCCTCTTCAGTTTCTGATTGAAGTGAAGAACTCACTGTCGTCCACTGTTCCCCGTGACTGGATCAAAATCAGCAGGTGAGCCCAAAGTTACAACACATGCACACACATATCAGTGCACCAACTTTGACACCTACATTATAATCTGGATTAGGTCTGAATTATATTTATGGATGGGTCGCCTCGGATTAGGGTGCATTATACTGATGGACAACGTAGAGGGAAGCATTATCTGTATGACTTGGTCGATATAAAACTTCAGATAAGAATGAAAGGAACTGTGTATTTAACAAACTTACAGTCATGGAAAATACACGTTTCTGTCTGTACTGGCACATTTGTGGTACATATAACTCAGAATCCAATCATTTTATTATGGAAGCATTCTAAGAATCTTGACAAATATCCATAAATTTTAACATATCCCAACTCATTTCCAACTGTATTTTTCTGATAATTCCAACTATCACTCATACCCAATCAGAAGAGCCAGCCAATTGTGCGCCCCATAGTGCCGCACCTCTAAAGCGCAGTAATTTATTAGACATATAGGTGTCACACTGTGGAGTATTTACTCTCACCTCCTAAGTACAACATCCTCCCTAAAGGCATTCAAAAAACGCTTAATAGCTATATTGATAAATTGAGATATTGACCATCTATACTCGTTTCTTTTTTTTTTTCCTCCCTACCTCACCAGCACCAATCCTCACATACTTTCCTTGTGAAAGTTGTCATGTCAATTGTAACTCTTTATTGTAACTCTTTGTACTGTAAATATATATATATAAGGCTCCACCTTTTGTGCTCAGCTTTTTATGGATTTACATACATCTCTATGACTACAGTATTTAACAGCATAAGAATAACAACATTCTGCAACTTTTTTATCCTAGAAAATGATAAAATCTTCCAAATCAGAGTGTGTAATGCTTTGGGGTGTCACTTTTTTGACAAAAAGCCCTTAAATCTGGCTGCTTTTGTGTTGTATTCTCAGCACAGATATCATGACAGTGTCACACACACAAAAAAAAAAAAAAACAGAGAGGAAAGGCAGGAGGTAAGAGTGATAGTCAGCCAGACTGGGTTTATTTCTGGAGTAAACTATCTCTGAATATGGTGTTTCTTCCCTCTGGCCTGGCCTATGAATTCTCACCCTGACTTTACACTATAGCTGTTGCAGACTTTCAAATTGAATTTCTCTGCTCCTTTTTTTAAACATAAATTAAATGACAAGTGTCACTAAAATTATTTGCAGTTTGAAAATGCCTCTCTATACCTTCGATCACTGTGTAAAAGGACACTCCTTTTGAGTCTTTTCCATCGAATGACCTTTCAGCAAATAAAGAAGCAGACTTAATATTTGTGTTGGGCCAATATCTTTATTATAAATCAATATCCCAGAGCCACACAGTTTTTTCTTAGCTGTCCACACAGTAACAAGCTGATGATCACAGCACAGCGCTGAACAGCTAAGGAGCAGATATTTCCCCTGAGTGTTACAGACGAGCAGAACAGCACTAAAGGGAAAGTGAATATTGGACTTTAATTGTCAGGTAAGTTTAACAAGAATAAAAGGATTGCTAATATTCACAACTGATGAAGTCCATTTAATGAGCGGATAACATCCTCATTAGCTCAGTCGGTGGCATGTGACAGTCACAAGACTGTGGGATGGAGTCTCCATTTTATAGATAAATGCCACTCAAGAAGTCTTCACCAAATACAGAGTGGTTTACTTCCAAACTTTAAGTCATCCTCTTCACCACCACCTCCTCCTCCTCCTCCTCCTCCTCCTCTTCTTCTCCACAGCACCAAAGCTGTCAGCAGGTATCACTCTCCTTTCCTGGTGGAGCGCTACAAGAAGCTGCTGCAGCTTCGAGAGCAGCTGCTGCTCGACTGCCAGAGAGAGTGGACCAATTTCCTTGAGTATGACACATACACACACACACACACTCGCACACAGACACACATACACTTACAGCTGATAGTGAAGTCAAATGAAAGTACTGCTATAAACGCCTAAGTCTCTGTCTGCAGTAATTAGTCTGTTTTAGTGAAGCACACCATCAGTGCTGTCTGCTCAAAACACAGAATGCTCTTATCTTAATTTGCATTTAAAAATCCCCCCTCCTCCCCCCGGTCTCACCCTTCTCTCTCTCTGTAGTCATTTTGGGGAGCACTATCACTCCATGAAAAGGGCCATTAGTCACCTGGCAACCGCGGACTGTCTCTTTTCATTGGCCGAGGTGGCCAAACAAGGAGACTACTGCAGGTGATGTCCTCTCATTCCCTTGATATCAGTGTACGTATGTGGATATGTGAGTTTGTATTTGTGAGTGGGATATTTTGTGTGTGAGTGTAAGTGCGTGTGTGTGTATGTGTGTGAGTGCATATATATATGTGTGTGTGTGTGTGGGTGTCCTGTGTCGTGTCCTATAGTCTCAGACAGGCTGTGTGTAGGAGTGTACACCGGGCTCAGCAGCGTGCTCAGCCAGAACGCCAACATCTCTCCCACTCACTCACTCACTCGCTCACTCACTCAATCACTCTCACACACACAAACACACACACACACCTTTATATTGCTTTCTTCACCGTTTTGTGTGTTTTAGGCTTACTTCCATCTTTGTCTTCATGCTTCACTTTTCTCTGTATTTGGATGGTAAATTTATTCCCACACAGTTTTTTTTTTTTTTTGTTCGCAACTTTTGCCTCTCATTGACAACTTTTGTCGCACAAAAGTTTTGAACTTTAGTGAATGAGAACTGAACTCATTTCGATTTTTACCCAGAGATGAAGCAGGGTTGTAATAATAAATAATAATAATGCATTCATTCGCTCACACAGTCACACTTTGGTGGTGGTAAACTACCTTGTAACTGCTCATTTGTGTGCAGTTATTTTAAAGGCAACACCAACAGCCAATTAGTATACAGATGGAAATAGGGGGGCACACTGAGTGTTTAAAGCTAAAAGGTATAAAACCAGCATGCTCCATTTAACAAGGGATGGACGTAAAAATGATAGTAATAAACTTCATTTATATAGCACTTATCAAAACAGGGTTATAGATTGCAGCACAAATTGAAACAAAGTACAAAGAGGAGAGACACATAGAAGGGAAATGTGAGGAATAAAATGACTAAATATTCAAAAGTGTTAACAACATAGTGGTGATTTAACAACGTAAAAGATATGAAAATAGATAAAAAGATAAATAAGTATAAGAGAAAGATTGATTGGCAAAAAGGAAAAAGAAATAATGTAATTAAGAAAGGCCACAAAAAACATGGACCAGCATAAAGCAAGTTAAAACGTCCATATGTGTATATAGATATACATACATATATAAATACAAACTTAAAATACATATATAACCATATACATGCTCATATACACATATATACATAAATATATTTAAAGATAAAAGAGGCTACCAGTGATACTGCCTAGGCTCTGAATAAAAGCAGCTTATTAATGATTAAAACACATTTAGGTAAAATCTCCTGTGAAAGCACATCTGTAAAAAATAAGTTTTAAAAAGAGACTTTAAAGATGAGAAAGAGGTCGCCATTCTGATCTCCTCAGGGAGGTTGCTCCAGAGGGTCCTGACAGAAAAGGCCTGGTCACCTTTGGGCCTCAGTCTCGACTGAGGAATGGTCAGCAGAGCCTTGGCCAAGGACCTGAGGTCAGGACTTGGCACACATGGAGTGAGGAGTTGAGAAATGTACCAGAGTGTGCTTTAAAAGTTAACAATAAAATCTTGAAGTCAATTAAAGTTAACAATAAGATCTCAAAGTCAATTCTAAAACTTACCAAGATTTCAAGATTTTTTTTCTGTATAAAAACAACTCACCTTTGGAGAGTCTCCTCTGATGCATTAAACAAGTCTGCTCAGCTAGGTTGACATGCTAGTTCAGACTGAGGTTTTCATCAAAAATCACACCTAGATTTTTGCATTTGGCTGTAACATTTTGTGACAGAGAGCCGAGATGTGTCACCATTCCTGTTGAGCCTGGACCAAATATTATTACCTCAGTTTTATCAAAATTAAGCTGCAGAAATTCTGAGACATCCAGCATGTAATGTTTCTGTAGCAGTTATCTAATGTGTTAAAATCATATGGATTTAAAGACAGGTACAGCTGGGTATCATCCACATATAAGTGAAAATTTACATTGTGTTTATGGATGATGTGACCCAGGGGTAAAGTGTAGAAGGGGAAGAGAAGTGGTCCAAGAACCGACCCCTGGGGAATCCCACAGGTCAGCCTCACAATGGATAATTGTGATAAAAGATCTGTCCTGCATATGGCTAGAGTCCAGTTTCTAAACTGAGCCAGACATCCTAACCCAGTGTTGGAGGTGTTCCAGTAAAATAAAATGGCAATTAATCATTTTATTTTTAAATTGTCAAGAAGTTACAGCTACTGTAATGGAACAACAAGGTAAAATCATACAAATAAAGGACATTCAGAACAAAATAAATGAAGAAAATGTGAAACCAGGGCCGTTTTTATTACAGTGTATCAATCAAAATAATTTAGTTCGCACTGTGAACATAATCAGAAGTAAACTACTCACTAGATTTGATGAAAAGTTGGATTGGCTATTTCCTTCTAATACTTAAAGTAAGCCTTTTTTTTTCAAAGCCTGGAGGAAACAACAGAGAAGTTTGTTTCTGTGAGATAATTTTTATAATTTACACATCAGCATTGGTCCTTCGTGATAAATAAGGGTGTCTTAAAAGCCCTTTGGGCTGGGAATATTGTATATGCATGACACTATATTAAAATCAATCAAAATTTCCCTCTAGCTATCTGTCTGTCTGTCTGTCTTTCTGTCTGTTTGTCTGTCTGTCTGTCTAAAATCATGTTTCCTTTGCTGCTAAGATCAACTTCCTCCCACCTGTTTCAGGTATTAAAGATATTACACTCATCAAACTTGTCGCTGATGGTCTTGATCGCTTTTGTATGTATATATACTGTATATATATATATATAAAGTATCAACATGAATTTCAGTCTGTTTTATAAGTGTCTCCTGTGACTCCAGGATGTTACAGTTCCAAGTAAAAAAGTAGGATCTGAAAAATTTGGAGCTTCCCCTTTAAGAACCACAGACACCTAACTTTACAATAGGTTTTGGGCACATATCATGCTATCGCTGTAAAGTAATATTGCACTATAGTTGGGTAAATATACAGAAAGGATGCGGACTGCATTATACCGAACCGAATATTTAATTGGCGGCATTTTATATCATTTTAATTTTTAGATTTTTTTCTGTGTTAATTAACATCAAATGGGTGTTAATAAACATCTTAGCCATCCTTTTACTCTGTTTCATTACATAAGCTTCATGCTGATTTTATTAACTGAGTTTGTTTTCTGTGTTCAGGCCGAAGGTGTGTGAGAATCAGCGTCAGATAGTGATCAGGGATGGGAGACATCCTGCTATTGACTTACTGTTGGGAGAGCAGAACCAGTATGTGCCAAACCTCACTGAATTACAGGTACACACACACACACACACACACACACACACACACACACACACACACACACACACACACACACACACACACACACACACACACACACACACACAAATAAACCCAGTCTCATTCATAGAGCCAGGAACGAAACTGTGCCAAAAACAAAAAAAAAGTTTTCCTCCTCAATAACTCATTGAGACAGTTCTGAAACAAATTTGCATCATGACACGCGCACATAAATAAATACACACATGATGCAGACACACAGAGACTTGCATGACGCCACACATGCTTCCTCCCTCTGTGCTGCAGTGGGCGTGGGTTAATCTTGCAACAGAAGCAAAAGCCAATGTGAAGACAAGCCAAGCCTTCAATCCACCCACCTCCTCTGCTGTGCAGGACAGCATGAAAATTTCTTATTCTGTGTCTCTCCTCGGTCGCCCTCTGTCTGTGTCGCTGTTCCTCCCTCCTCCTCTCTCCCCCTCTCTCTCAACAGGGTGATGGTAGGAGAACCATGATAATCACTGGCCCTAACATGGGGGGTAAGAGCTCCTACATCCGCCAGGTGGCCTTGATTTGTGTCATGGCTCAGATGGGCTCTTATGTCCCTGCCTCTGAAGCCTGCCTGGGCGTGCTGGATGGCATTTACACCAGGTATGTATATTCAAGACAAAACAGTGGTATCCACCTATAAAATCATGCATGCCTCACATACTTTAGGCTGTGATTTAACACAAAGAAAGAGGGTCTGTATTGAGGAACAATGAATGATAAAGAGTAACAGGACCTCTTGTATGATTTACTTTGAATGCAGATGCAGAAATGAGGTCAAAATTTGCCCTGCAGCCTTGTCTTACACCACCCACCAAATAATGTGCCTATCACAGGTGAACTGATACCTTTCTGTCAGAACCGGCATTAACCTCCTCAGCATTTTGAGCTTCACTAGCTCTTCTTTTAGATCAGACCACCCATCACTGAACCTTGTAGCCAGTTCACCAGTTTTCTTTCTTCAGACCACTTCTGGCATGTACTGACCCTTGCAGACTCGCTCTGATTCACTGGTTTTAACCATCACAGAATGGACTTTGTCAAAGTCACTCACATTCTTACACTCGCCCATTTTTTCTTCTTCCATGGAGAAAGGGATCAATGTAGATTTCACTGGTTTGTGTTCAGTAATAGATGCACTGAATTCAAATATCAACACTCAAAGGGAAACACTGAGACATCTCTGTGTTTCTAGTGACCTCCTTTAGAAGAGGATTATGTAAAATCACTACCGAAATAGTCAGATAGATGTTTGTTAAAAAAGCATGAAAAAAAGAAGCAGCTAATTAAACAGACACAAAGGTTTTATAAAAGCTACTCTTTAAAAAGTTATGTTTCTGTCTACTCTGATACAGAAAAGTTTCTTATTTTTGCCATCTGTTTTCGTCTTTCATCACTCAGACTTTAAGAAAAACACATAAAACAGCATGCAACAAAGTTAATAACAGTTGAGGCTCAAACAAAAAATCAAAATGTAGCATACACTTAAAGCTCCCATGCAGAGTTTATAAATGGTTATGAAACAAACTGATATTTACGCAGACAACCTGAAAGAGTGATATACTATACTGTTAAAAAACATGTGATGAGATCTTTTGTCTAATAGGAGGAGTTGCAGAGATATGACAGGTATCACTTTGTTCACTAGGGGCGCTGAAGTTAACATCTACAGAAGGTTTCTAACAGGATTGTTTTTTAGGTGTGCCTTTTGTAGATTAATAAAATGCATTTTTCCACGACCTTTTCCAAAGCTTAGCTCCTGTTTTGGTGCTTTAATTGGCTTTTCATGAGGAGGGGATGCTAAACTCTGCTTACTGTTGGTAATAAACTGTCTATTGATGAGTACTTCCTTAAACACTACCCCTCCCAACCAGTTTTCCCCTCAGCTCCTCCTCTCCCCTCTCTGCTCCAGAAAGCCCCGCCCACAAATAGACGCTCCTGCTCGCTCGTATCGGTTCAATTAAAGTCAGATATAACGCAGATAAATACTTCAGATAATTACAAATGGGGCCCAGTCAACGTGAAAGTAAAAGCATTTGTGCTACTGTAGATGCTAACAGGCTACCAGCAAACACAATGTTTGCAGGACTTCTACATCTCAAGAAACACTTTTGTTACAGGCACTTGACTTACTTTGTTAAAGCGGTTTACCTGTCCAGCAGAAAGGTTACAGGGTCCTTAAGATCCTGAAGCATCCCCCAATTGCTGCATTGGTGTTGACCAATCTTTTTAGCTCTTGTCCGGTCTACCTCCATTTTAAGCGCCCACTTCTCTGCCAGAGTCTTTGGTATTTACTTCATTTTCTTGCTTGTGTTGGCAGTCGTGGCCAAAGGAGGATTCAAACAATTTTCTGTACTTTCTGGTTGGTTTCTACTGTCCGATACTGTACCAAGCTAACTTTGTTTGGGCTCGTGCACATTATTCAAGGATGTGGCGCGTGCCTTACAACATGAGGGAGCAGCGTCTGCCTCACAACCAATCAGGTTAGGGGAGGCTCAGAATGGCTTTCTTTACATTCAGAAAGAGCAGGCCGCTCAAAAATTTAAACTGTTGACTACACAGACATAAGAAAACACAGCTATGTCATGATATTACCAAATGTCATCAATAACTAATAGCTATTGACTGATACCAAAAGCTTTTTTGTGTATCCTGCCTACCCCATTTTTGAGGACAAAGTCAAAAAATCTGAATAACCCCTTTTAAGATGAGACTGACACCACAAATACAAACACTTATACTTACTTATTCATTACACAAAAGTAACAAAAAATACCATGTACTCTCCCTCATTTCCTCTTTTTCCTGCAATCCCTCAAACATTCATATCTGAATGATTTTGTCTAGTTTTTCACTATGTGGACTGTGACCATGACAACACCTGACAGAGTAGGACTCACTCTCACCTCTGCAGATCCTTTCTTAATAGTGCAATTAAGTATAGGGTAGCTGGCAAACCTTACAGCAGAGGCAACCTAAGGACAAAATAAGAGAATCTCTCCTCTTTCCAGAAAAATCACCTTGTGTTACCTTCTTTGTCTGTGACATGGCCTGGATGATTCCTGGGACTGACACCCAGAGTAATCCTTTCTAATCCCATAGTGTCTCTCACCGTTCTGGATGAGGTGTGTGAAAAATGAACACCAGTTGTTGCAGCTGTATTGTTCTGTCAAAATGTGGTACAATGCTGCTCTTTGTGTTGTATGTGCCTTCAGACAATATAGCATTGTACGAAAAGATCTTTTGTTCTCACCGGCAGCTGATTAATCTCATTCTGATGAGTCAAGCTGTGTGTTCTCTGTGTATTTTCCGGTCCTGATTACATATGAAGAGTGAAACACAGGCCAGTACATGGTCTCTGCTATTCTGCCTGAGTTGCGGTATGTGATTAGACCTAATGGCTTGCAGATGTGTGTAATTGTCTTTTTGTGTGTTTAAGCATGTTCTCATGTATTAACCCAGTAGGAGCCAAAGACCTGTCAGCACACTACATGCGTGTGTCCATGCCTGTGTGTCCTTTCCATCCATGAAAAAAAAAACAGCGAGCAGTTTCAGCCTTCAGATGAGAGTAATGCTGTGATTTTGGCTTATCCTCATGGGTAAAGGTCGGCTTTGATTTTGAGGTTTATGGTTCATATAGTGCTGGATTGGGCTGTGTGAACATGGGATGGAAGAACATTGTCAACACTGAATCAGTTGTAGAAGAAAGCTCTTATTCTGCCAGTCTTAGAAAAAAACATCATCTTGACTAAACCAAATTAAAAAGAGAAATCAAAACAGTGCCGGCTGCCAATGTTGAAAAGTGTTTATTGTTCGGAAACTAAATTCAATAGATTTTTATCTGTTTGTTTATTTGTTGTAGTGCTGTGAAGGCTACAGATATTTCTTTGCAGCACTCAAGTCCAGGGAAAATTAATCTACAGTGACCAAAAAGGGTTGTATTGTATGGTTTCACATCGCATCCCATCAGGTCGCATCTTGTTGTATCATATTGTTTCATGTCATATTGTATCATATGTTGCATTGTTTGTTTTTCGATTACATCCCTTTGCATCGCATTGCATTATATCACATCATTTAATATTAATCAATCAATCAATCAAATTTTTTTTATATAGTGCCAGTTCACAACAGTCGTCATCTCAAGACGCTTTTCAAAGAAAAAGAGCAGGTCTAGACCAGGGGTCGGCAACCTTAAACACTCAAAGAGCCACTTGGACCAGTTTCCCACAGAAAAGAAAACACAGGGAGCCGCAAAACCTCTTTGACATCTAAAATGAAGATAACATTGCATATATCTTTTTTTTTTACCTTTATACAAAGTATATAAAAAACTGTAGCAAGTTGCATTTATGAAATAAATGAACTATTTCGGCGAGTGTCTGTCTTCTTCTGTAGTTAAACCGCAAGATATCAAAATCTACCCGGATACAGCAATGCTGCTTTTTGATTGGCTGTTCAGTAGATATACTTTATTTGATTGGCTTGTGCGTGGCACGCAGCTTCTGAACTCTCGGAGGAACTCAGTTGATTTCCCCCAGTTCAATACTTGAAGAAGTGCAACCTGGTGGACATCACTGTGTTCATTTAAATGCGTGAGAAATACAATGTGTGGTGTGTGAGCGTGTGAACGGGTGGGAATGCGTGTGTCATACGCTGAATGCGTGAGACTTGAGAGCCCTGTGCTCACGCATCATCGATGTACTCCCGAGCCATGCAAAACGGTCTTTGCAAATGTTGCACTGAACGCCTTCCTTTTCAGTCTTGGTGAAGTTTTCCCACACCACTGATGTTTTAGGTCGGGATTTGGGTTGGGTTGTGTCCATGTTTTTCTCAGCCGCTGCCTCGGCCATGGCTGTTTCTTTTCTGTGCGTCCTGCTGATGTTTACACGCCGGTGTCCATGGACATATATAAAGACCCGACGAATCGATTACAGAATTTGTTGGCAACGGATTTTTTCGTCACGACGAATCTACTTAATCGATTCGTTGTTGCAGCCTTAATAGTTTATTTAATGTTACAAGAGCATTATAATCTTTGAATTTAGAATTACAAAAATAATAATAATAATAATAAAATAAAATAAAATGCAATTAAGTATTTATTATTTATTTTCCAAATCCATTAGGAGCCACAGCTTAGGGAAGAAAGAGCCGCATGCGGCTCCAGAGCCGCGGGTTGCCGACCCCTGGTCTAGACCAAGCTCATTGTTAATACCGTGTTTTTTCCCATTTTGTTGTGTCACATCACATCATTTCGTATTGTATTGTATCATATTTTGTTGTGTAGTATCATCACATACTATATCATACCACATTGTACAGTATTAAGCTGTAATGCTTCAAGCATTCTCCTGTTGTATCATACAGAATTTTTTCAAATTGTCACATATCAAAGTTTTATATCGAATACATGAACTCATTAGTGTAACCTCTAAATATAAAAGCTTGTGCATTACTTGCCTAAAAAATGCATGGGAATGCTGAAAGTTCAGTGCAAAACACAGCTGAAAGTGTAAATACATTAAAACTGTCCAAAGCCACAGTTTCCACTTGGTTATCAAATTATGAATATTTGACTAATTAATATGACATGTTGTGGCCTTTCACTTACCATAATTTGGGTGACAACTCTGGCCCCAACTACATGAATGTGGATATATTTCAAACCGCACATATTTATGTCCGATTAGGCCTCCCTACCACACCAAAACGGGAGTTTGGAACACTCAAACCGGATAAATCTGAATCTGAAAAAACAAATGGAGAAAAAAAAAAATCTGTTTAGGTGGATTCGTGTGGTTGAACTTTTATGGATCGATGACGTCAAACCGCAGCTCGCGCATGCGAATTAAAAAGATAAACAACAACAACGATGATGGCGGACATACGGGGTATTCTTTACGTTTGTTTTGCCCTTTTGGGGCTAATTTCAGCCTTGCAAGTGAACCTTGTTTTATACAATTACATCCACCAGTCAGCCAGCTCACAGAGGCGTCTGCTTTGTTATAACCGCCACACCGTCACATGGACCCGACGCACTAGTGTAACTTCCGCAAACAATGCATGACGCATCACGCTGTTACGATTCATCGGCCAATCAGGTAGCTTTGTTCCTGAATTTTTTTTTAAGCGGCACCAGATAGGATTGAGTTTGAAGGCTACGTGTGGACGCAGATATTTTTGAGAACGAACACGTGTGGACAGATACATTTATTTAGACGGGAGTACAAAAATATCTTGATAAATAAATATCTTTATACGTGTAGTCCGGGCCTCTGTTGCTGTGAGCTGCTGCCATGATGCCCTTATGCTCAGGTACTTGGATATAAACAAGCACTGTTAAAGTCAGCCTATTGTAGCGTGGCGTGGCTTGGTAGTTGTTTGATGTAGAAAATAGAGATAAAGTCTAATCAGACTGTGTCCAAATCCTTCACACCAGTTAGACAACAGAAGGCTAGTGATGCTAGTTTGGCTTATGTCCGCCACACTAAGTCGCTTACTGGGCATACAGTTTATAGCAGCACAGAAATGCATGTGTCTGCACATATGGGTCTCTGTGTTTTTAAGTCAGGACTCTGGCTTGGGTCGAAGATTGGCTTTCAGAAAAAAAAATCCTGGAGATAATTAATGTCCACAGAGAGAGCTCACACACACACACACACACACACACACGCCTACACACACTATCCGCTGTCCTCTCCTCACCTTCTCAGCTACCTTTGTCGTCCTCTCTGATTCTAATTGGACAGCTCAGCCTCTTTCTTCCACTCTGTGTTTGATCCTGAGGAGAATCTGTTTTGATAATAAACGTCCGATCAATTCCCTCTGCTGGGCAGAAGCAGCGGTGTGGATGCTTTATCCTGAGTGTGTGTGTATGTGTGCGTGTGAAACATGTAGTGTGTTTATGAGGTCGAGGGAGTGAAAGCTTTACTAGAGAGCAGTGAGCAGACTTTGGGTCGGGTTAATGAGTTGGTGTGTGGGTGTCTAATGGGATATCCTGTCTGAAAAGATCCAGATGATTGATTATCAATGAGGATAAGATGAATAATCTAGAGAGTAGAGTGAAGCTGCATGCTGTCTCCAGGTCCCCTGGTTTCATTTTCGTGCTGCAACACTTTTACAATACAAATGAATTGAGAGTAACTCTGTGTCTATGCAGCTGCTGTGTGTTTTTTTTTGTCTGTATTGAGTCCTGAAGGTTATAGAGCATATTCTTCCATCCCTCCATGGTTGTTATGGAAACTGCAAAAGGAAGCAGAATGTAAAACGAAATGTTATGAATATAACTTCTGTTCCCTGAAGGAGAGGAACGAGGTACAACACATATAGTATGGGATATCACGCCCCTGCGTGACCTGACTGAAGACACCTTTATTCACGCCTTTAAGGCAGATGATCTGTGGTGACGTCTGGGAGGCTCCGCCTGCACATATATACGTGTAACACCACAGTCATCCTTCAGTTCGATAGCCGCTCTTCACCGAGCTCTGCCGCGCAGCGGGGCAACCCAGTGTTGTACCTCGTTCCTCTCCTTCAGGGAACAGAAGTTATATTCATAACATTTCGTTCCCTTTCAGTCGATTCACTCGGTACAACACATATAGTATGGGACATATATACACGCCCCGCAGAGCAGCCACCGAACCGAAGTCAAACCTCCAAAACTTTTAGTGCATTGTAGACCCAGCAGAAAGGACAGCGTGAGCCACCGAAGGTGCTGTCACATCCAAACGGTAAAACCGAACAAAAGTGTGCGGTGATGACCAACTGGCTGCAGTGCAGATATCACTCACAGAAACCCCTTTAAACAAGGCCCAAGAGGCCGCCATTCCCCTGGTTGAATGTGCCTTCACACCTTGGGGCAACGGGAGACCCCTGCTGCCGTATGCTAAGGAGATAGCCTCCACAATCCAGTGGGAAAGCCGCTGCTTAGACAGCGCCTTGCCCTTGGCTGGATTAGCAAAACAGACAAACAACTGGTCACATAAACGCACACTCTGAGTGCGGTCTATGTAAGTGCGTAGTGCACGCACAGGGCACAAGGAATGCAACCTCCTCTGCTCCTCAGATGCAAATGGAGGGGGGCAGAAGCTCAGCAGTTCAAAACTCATAGAGCTATAGGCTGTGGGGATAATCTTAGGTAAATACGCCGCGTTTGGACGCAATGTAGCCTTAGATCCATCCGGAGTGAACTGGGTACAAGAGGGATGCACAGACAAAGCATGAAGGTCGCCCACTCGCTTTGCAGACGTCAAAGCAAGTAGCAGTGCAGTCTTGTATGAAAGAAATTTCATGTCTGCTGACTCAATAGGCTCAAATGGGGGTCCACCAAGAGCCTCAAGCACCAACCCTAAATCCCATGAGGGAACACTGGGTTTAAGAACAGGTCTTAGCCTGCGGACTCCCTTTAGGAAGCGCATAGCAAGAGGGTGAGCGCCTGGCGTCACACCATCAAAGCCAACATGGCATGCAGATATAGCCGCCAAATAGACCTTAATTGTTGAGAAAGAGAGACCCTTATCCAGCAGGTCCTGAAGGAATGTTAAAACATCCACAATAGAACTCTGAAATGGGAGTACATTTCGGTCCTGACACCACTGCTCAAACGCCCGCCATTTATAGGCATATAGGCCCCTAGTAGATGATGCCCTTGCACTCTGGATTGTTGCCACCACATTTGGGGGCAGACCCTGAGCCATTAAGTTGGACCTTTCAACAGGTAAGCATGTAGTTTCCACAGTTCTGGGCGCGGGTGAATCACCTCTCCTCCCGCCTGGGAGAGGAGGTCCCTGCAAAAAGGGAGCTGCCAGGGCCTCGCTACCAGCAGACTGATTATCTCTGCGTACCACGACTTCGCCGGCCAGCGAGGAGCCACCAGGATCAGGGAGAGCCCCTGCTGGCGCACCCTCTCCAGAATGGGCAGAATCATTTCCACTGGGGGAAAAGCATATAGCAGCGTGTTGGGCCATGGGTGAGCTAGCGCATCCATCCCCAGGGGAGCATTGCAGTCTGTTATGGAAAAGAACAGGGGGCAATGAGTATTTGCTCTGGAGGCAAAAAGATCTACTTCTGCCTTGCCGAAGCGGTCCCATATCTGAGCCACCACTAGTGGGTGCAATCTCCACTCTCTCACAAGAGGACCCCCCTGGAGAGAAGGTCTGGTCCAAGGTTTAAGTGACCCGGAATATGTGTGGCTCTGAGGGACAGAAAATGAACACTGCACCATAGCAACAGATAGTGAGACAGTTTTAACAGGGGAAGAGAGCGTGTCCCTCCCTGCTTGTTTATGTAAGAAACCACGGTTGTGTTGTCCGTCCTGATCAGAACATGATGGCCTGTCAGAACGGGACGAAAGTGCTTCAGAGCTAAAAGGGTAGCTAGTAGCTCCAGGTAATTGATGTGGAGTTTGCATTGTGCTGGCGTCCACACACCTCTCACTGCTGCGCCCTCGCACAGAGCCCCCCAACCCCTCAGGGATGCGTCTGTGGACACCACCTTGCGAAAAGACACCCTCCCTATCGGAGATCCCTGTTGTAGAAAACCGGGTTCTCTCCACGGGAGAAGAGCCGACATGCAAGACTGAGTTATCGTCAGCCTCCTCTGGAGGTGACGCTGCGCGCACAGCCGGTGAGACTGAGTCCAGCGTTGAAACGCTCTCATTTTTAACAGTCCGAGCGGCACTACAGCGATCATAGATGCCATCATGCCTGTCAGCTGTAAAATCGTCCGGAAACACAGTTTGCGTCCCAACTGAAATTGTGCAAGGCAGCGGTGAAACGCAGCCACCCTGCGTTCTGACAGACGTGCTCGGCTTGAAACGGAGCATATTTCCAGCCCGAGAAATGATACCTGTTGACTCGGAGTCAGTGAACTTTTCTGTAAATTTACTGAAAAGCCCAGTGTTTGGATGTGCGATAGGGTCAATGACAGCTGAGCCGCTGCTCGCTCTCTGGAGCTCGCGATTAGCACCCAATCGTCCAGATAGGCTAAGATGCGAACACCTTTCTCCCGTAGCGGAGCTAATGCCGCCTCGACACATTTGGTGAATGTTCGGGGGGCGAGTGATAAGCCGAACGGCAGCACCAGGTATTCGTAGGCTATGCCCTCGAATGCAAACCTTAGAAACTGCCTGTGGTCCGGATGAATTGCTACGTGAAAGTAAGCATCTGTCAGATCGATAGTTGTAAACCAATCTCCCGGTCTGATCGCGCCCAGTAGCTGTCTGAGTGTTAGCATCTTGAACCTGTAGGTTCGTAGGTATTTGTTTAACACTCGCAAGTCTAGGATAGGACGGAGCCCTCCTCCTTTTTCGGAACAACGAAATAGCGGCTGTACCAACCTTTGTTCGTTTCCGAAGCGGGAACAACTCGTATCGCCCTCTTGTTCAACAAGTTGTTTATTTCTTCCCTCAGCACTGCTGCTGCTTCCTCTGCTACAACTGTGTGTATTACAGAGTGAAAGCGAGGCGGTCGGACCCTGAACTGTAAGCGGTAGCCGATGGCAACAGTTCTCTCTACCCACGGCGAGACTGCGCATGCGCGCCACCGAGAGAGACGAACAGTCAGTCGACTGACCTCCAGTACTGTGGGGGAGGGGTTGTCGCCCCCTAGCGTGCCGGCTGGGAACGGCAACACTTTCTCGCCCAGACTTGATTGATTCATGATGTTTTGAGAACAAAACGAAACCTTTATTTGATTCAAAGAACGTACATTTGTGACATTCACACAGTGAACAACAGGCGCCATTATTGGGGCATGTGTATGTGAGGGGGGTTGTGCTTGGGAGACTGTGTTAAGGGAGTGCAGCGCCTCTCGGGACCGGACCCCTGAACGAACTTTAAACGCGGCCTCTTTGGCGGCAGAAAATGAAGGGCGGCAGTGTCTCCGTGCTGCTGGCCCTCTCGAGTCGATCCCGAAGCTAGGATGACTGCTGCTTCTTCTTCCTGGGCGCCGAGTCCCTCCGGAAGCTCGGTGGCGGACCCTTGTTCCAAGCCGAAGGGCGTGGGTTCTGACCGGGTACATATCGCTTCACCGGCTGGGGCCCCAAGCTGGCGGGCGCTGCAGTCCTCTTAGGGGGAGGCGCTGGTGCCGGTTTGTGCGGATAACCCTGTTGTTTGGGCCTCGCATCACGCCTGGGAATGATGCTTCTCAAAGCTTCGGTTTGTTTTTTCCTCAGCTCAAACTTAGCTTGAATGTCGTCGAGGGACTGCCCAAACAAACCGCTGGCCGACACAGGCTCGTCCAGATAAACCGCTCTGTCCCTCTCCGGAACGTCGGAGAGAGTCAGCCACAGGTGCCTCTGCGCCACCACCGTGGAAGCCATGCCTCTACCGAGAGACAGCGCTGCACAGCGGGACACACGGAGGATGTAATCTGTGGCGACCCTAGCTTCATTGAGGAGAGGAGTAAGCGGACTGTCAGGAGGCATACGCGAGCCGAGTTCTGCCAGACACATAGCTTGATATGTCTGAAGCATAGTGACGGAGCTCAGTGCACGAGCCGTATTTGCCTGTGTCCTGTAAATTTTATCCAGCTGTGACGCTGAAAATCTACAGTGCTTGGATGGGAGCGTGATGGGGCCACCGACACCGTGATTCTGGGCCGGGGCCAGATAAGCTGCCAGGGACGCCTCCATAGGCGGAGGGTTCACCAATCCAGCTTTTTCAGCTCCATCTAGATCCAGAAACTGTCCACAACCGGGCACTGTGGCGCGGGTGGACAGCGGCTTGTTCCATGTCGAGGTTAGTTCCGCGACAAAATCCGGGTACATGGGCAAACTGTTCTTAACAGTCGTCGGTTCGGGTGGGAGAAAAAACCCTGTGAACCGCGACGGTTTTTGAGCTGGAGGAGGAGAGGGCCATTCTACCTCCAGTTTCTCAGCTGCACGGCGGTACAGTGAGAGGAAGGATGTGTCGTCCAGATCAACCGGCGCAGCAGCGGCGGCATACTGACCTGAAGACAACGGCTCCAGCTCATCTTCCGAAAAACCCTGCACGTCCAGGCCGATGTCCAGCACGTCATCGTCCTCCTGGTAACAAGCTAGCCCGGATAGCGGCTGGCCAGCGCCCTCGGAGGGGCCCGGCTCAAACCCAGCTGACCCGTCAGCACACTCCACATGGTCTGCCCAGCTTCCAACTGAGCCTTCGACCAGAAAGTCCTCACCACCGGACTCGGACGAAGCCGGGTCTCTGGACTCGGAAAGGAGGGGGTCGTGCAGCGCAACAGCGGTTTTTCCAAGAATTTTCTCCACAAACTTGACCCGCCTTCCCAGGGTTGAGCTCCGAAGCCGGTGACAGGACTCACACGACTCGGGCTCAGTCAACGCCCTCCTGGCGTGGACAATCCCCAGGCAAACGGGACAAGCCTCGTGAAGATCCTTCTCGTGAAGGGAGAAGCCGCACCCCTGAGGACAGGGGCGAACAGAAGACTTCGCCTTCACCTTCATGGGCTTAGAGCTCATAACGAGACTCAAAAGCTGAACGAAATTAGCGCTCCGCGGGTAGCCGTAGGCTAACACCAACAGGGGCAGTTGAGCTAAAGTCGATCAAGCAGTAGCCAGAGACAAGACCAGGCTAATTTAGCAGCAGCTAGTTAGCCCGACTCGGTGTAGGTGTTCTCAGCGAGGTGAAGAGCGTAAGAACTGAAGGATGACTGTGGTGTTACACGTATATATGTGCAGGCGGAGCCTCCCAGACGTCACCACAGATCATCTGCCTTAAAGGCGTGAATAAAGGTGTCTTCAGTCAGGTCACGCAGGGGCGTGATATCCCATACTATATGTGTTGTACCGAGTGAATCGACTGAAAGGGAACTGTTTTGAAAAGGACCTTTAATCGACCATGGACTTCTAGCAGTGATTACAAAGTGTTTTACTAATGTCTTTTGTAAGCTCCACTTTCATATGTAATGCAGCTTGTGTGTGTGTGTGTGTGTGTGTGTGTGTGTGTGTGTGTGTGTGTGTGTGTGTGGTGTGTGTGTGTGTGTGTGTGTGGGTGTGTGTGTGTGTAAGTGTTGGGGGCTCAGGAATGTGGCTGATTTCCAGAAAAACCTCACAAACAGCGGTGAGTGTTTTGGTGCCAACCAGTCTCTGTGTAACATCCTCACCCTTGTGGGTGTTGTATACTGAAGTAAAACATGTTGAGTACGTGGGAAAACGTTGTATCCTAAATCGACTCAGTGGTTCCTCACAGTTTTTATAGAGAACTCTCACAGTGCCGGTGCCAGCTTGTAGGCAGCTTTCAGAGCAGGTTAAGCCTTTACTGTTCTTTAGTATCTTTTGGCAGATATCCTCTTACTCTGTCTGATTGAAAGGTCCAGGTTTAAATCACAGGAAATATGGGAGAAATTTTGAGGAAAAATATTAGTGACAAATAAGTCTCTGAGTCCCTGCTCTCTGATCATCTTACTGTACATTATTTAAATGAGATAGATTTGTATGTAGCCATATCCATTTTTGGATTTCAAAATCCTAGGTTAGTTTTTTCCTCTATAAAAAAAATATTTGGCTGGAAATAAAAATCATGACAGCAGAAAAGAGGCAAAAATACAAAATAAAAAGGTGGAAGTTGTTTGATTTAAAGAAAAAAAAAATCAAACAACAATTAAGTCAATTAACAAGAGAGAGAATATTCTGCATTTGAAATAACTTTATTTCTCCATTTGTTTCATTTTTACCATCAAAAATGTCAAAAAATGCAAATTATTTTGTAATGTCTGCAAGAGGGAAAAACAAAAGGATTTTTCCATTCAGGCGATTCCACTCCAATTTAAACATTCTTATGATCAATTTAATCAATTTCTGCTAAATGTGTTTTGCAAAATGCTGCTAATTACAACACACTGCACCTTTAAATGAACTTTTAATCATGTTAACAAGATAGCAGCCATTTGTATTAGATGTCCAACGCTTTTGAATAGTTTCTTTTCTGACAGTTTAATCAGTGAGGCAGGCTAAAATGCTACAAGTGAAGGCATTTCCATTCAAAGAAGAAAACAACATTACAAAAGGAATGAACATCTTTGATAATTTGCAGAAACTATCTGTTCAGGGCTGATGATTCGTCTTTGTGCTTTTGAGCTCATCGATTTTCAGAAACGCCGGATCTTTGCTCACTTGCTCGTGTCTTGTGTTATTGTAGGGCTTTGATTTTGGTTTTCTGAGGAAAACGGCAGCTTTGCGATCGGTTAAGGTCGATTCATTGGGAAACCAAATAAATGAAGAATCTGATAGCTCTCAAGAGTCTCAGTAAAGACTTGAAATGTGTCTAAACGTGTTTCCGGGAGCAGTGTGGGTCGATAATACATTGACTCTATTTTCAGAATGGGTTTGTTTGGCGGGAAGAACGTACTCAATGAGAGCAGCAGGACACCCAGCTGGTGCAGTTTGCTGTGTTTTAGCCGTACATCTCCTCATCAGGGACAGACGAAGAGTGTGAACAACCGTCCTCCCTCTCATTTGATTTGGTCCGCCTTTCTGCACTGCAGTATAGATCGGACTGTCATAATTTCCCCTGGGTTTAAAGGCATGCATGCACACATGCACTATAAATTGGCTTAACAATGCAGGAACATGCCTGCCACACCTCCATCCGATACGGCGTGTGGTGTAACCATAGTAACTCCGGAGCTGGAGACTCATTCATCGACAGGTAGTGTGTTGAATGTCAATCAGGGCAGGAAAAGACAGATTTAGAGGTGAGAAACAGACTGGCAGAGATGTTGCCTGGTGATCCAGCTGGAGGTTTTACCCCGTGAGTCACTGCTCTGTCTGACAGCCGGGCTCTTGCACCAGCCGAGCTCTTACACTGCCTCTGAGTTTTGTAAAGAGACCAACATGTTCACATTGTAAATATCAAACCGTAGATATCAGTTTACTTGGACTTGACAGATGGCAACAAGCTGGTTAAACTTCTCCATCAGCAGAGCAGCTTGTTTATTCTTAATTTTGTGCCCCTTTAACAGGTTAAAAGAACGTAGCTCAAGCAAACCAGCTGCAGCACATTACTGAAGTTAGGAACTTCACTCTTCTTTTCCTGCCATTTGTGAAGCTCTCAGTAAAACTAATGTGAAAATAATTCTGTCAGCACTTTCTTCATAGTTGAGATGCTGTTTAAATAACGGTAAATGGGTAAGCTCTTTTTAGTCACGCCATTTTGTCTCTTTTGGCACACTGAAGTTAAGCTACCAAAGAGTCGTCTTTCTCGCTGCAGCTGCTTTGGTGGAAAACATGACTTAACCTGCACTGTTCTACTAGGCTGTTTGGTCAACTTCAACACGCTGCTTTTCCTTTTCTTTATAATATCACAAATCAAGAGAGGAAAATATCATTTTTTAGCTCCTACATTTTTAGACATTGTGTATCTCGAATTATCTACTGCTTGGTTGCATGGAGCAAGAGAAGACATTTTTAAGGTTTGGTCTCACATGGCTGTGAAGATTAAGGAGATGGTCTGATATACTTACCGATTTTTCACAGAATCGCCAGCTTTCTTTTTATTTTATTCTATTCTTTATATAATATTCTTGTCAGACCAGAGAGCGGGGGTGGGGTGTATTTTTTTTCTTATTTTTGCTTTATGTTTTATTTTAAAAAAGTGATTGAAACTGTATTCTGACCCAAACTTGCTATAAAAAATATTTGATCACAAAAAAGGAAAACTATTATGTTAGTTTTTTTCAGTATCCTGCAGCTTTAATTCAAACATAGTCAATCCACATGTCAGTACTAGTACCAGAGCTGCACCGTGGTGAACAGTGAATGATTTAACACAAACTTCATACAACTTTTCATAACTCATACCAGACTTGGTCAAAGGAGTCTCGACAGTCCCACAGATATCTGACCAATGATTTTTTAGCCATCAGCAGTTCATATTCCACTGCTGGTACCAGAGGAGTTGATAATGGACTCGGAGCTTCACATAGACCCGGAGGCAGCTGTTAAAACAAGAGAGCTTTTCTAAACACTGATGTAACAGCCTACACAGAGTCCTGAATTCAACTCCATCCATCAAGCGGGACCAGATCACCCAACATCAGTGTCCTGCCTCAGAAAGGCTCTTGTGACCGACCCTGCAAAGCTCTCCACAGTTTCACAGTCACTTAAAGCTTAAAGCTGCAACTTCACTTCATCCCTTTCCCTCTGCTCTGTTAAGAAAAAAGACCCTCAGGGTGTTTTAGTTTCTCTCTCTCACTTTCTTTGGACTCCTCCCTTCTCTCTCTCTCTCTCTCTCTCTCTCTCTGTCTTCTCTTTGTGAGGCACTCTCCTGGAAGAACAGGAGGAGCAGGTTCATGGTTAGAAAAATAGCAGATTCTCAATTTATCTGTCTGTGGGTGGGAGTTGGAGTTTGTGGAAGAATGACAGCAGTTTGTGAATGCTCTCAGTGGATCCAACTTTGAAATTATATCATTAAAAGACTGAAATCTTAAAACTTTGCATGAAACGCTGCTGTTGGTGTTTTATGTTGATACAATAAAGTTGGTCCTGAAAACTATTTGTGTGCTGCATCAAATACAGAACTAACTCTCCTATTTCTTGTTTCCTCCTTTTCTTTCTTGTCCTATTTGCCGTCATCAGGATGGGCGCATCGGACAACATCTACAAAGGCCGCAGCACGTTCATGGAGGAGCTGACTGAAGCCTCAGAGATCATTTCTCATGCAACAGAGCGTTCGCTTGTCATCCTTGATGAGCTTGGACGGGGCACGAGCACCCATGATGGGATTGCCATCGCTTACGCCACTCTGGAGTACTTCATTCGAGATGTAAGTGTGTGAATGGAGACTATCACTGGAGAATAAGAGAAGTGTAATTATGTGAGGGGAGACGCTGATGAGATGAGTAACAGTTGGTCTTTTTGCTGAATAACCTAAAACTCCTGCGATAAAAAAAAAAATCACCTCTGCTACTGAAACTTAAAGCCATCCAATTACAAGAGGCCAATAGGTGGTGTGTTTTGTGTGTGTGTATTTGTGTATATGCAAGTATTTGTATCTCCTTGTGGGCTCTGCAGGCTGTGCTGGTTGTTTGTTTTGCAGTCAGGGATGAGGCCCCGGAGATGCTGCAGCAGCAGAGCAGCTCTTCAAAACTGAGCCGAAATGTGGACAAGCTTGATCTACAACATTAATATGCTGTTAGAGAGCAAACTGCAATAGGAAAGGAGCCAGAATTGACCCGTAGATACCTTGAATGTTCATGCTGAAGGATGTATATTTTTACTCCAGGAAGCCTTAATTTAGTACTCTGAAAACTAACATAATGAAGATAATGACAGGCTAACTCATGCCCACCTTTTGTGGCCAAGAATGTGATCGTGTCAATTACATTCCTCACTGACATAATCTTCACTTCTTCTGTCAGCTGGGATTAAATTAGCAAGTAAAGTGTGTCATGATCCAGCATTTAGACCATAGATGAACAGAAACAGCTACAGATAGATGATCCAAGATTGAAATACATCTGTTTCCCACAGAGTGAGACGGAGTGTGTGTTTGTATGTTTCTGTTGGGAATATGTGTATTGGCACAGACAGGTGCCCTTGGGTGTTGCAACATGGTAAATCACCTGCTCAGTCAAAACAGAGACTTGTAACATGTTGTACCCTTGGAGTGACAGAGAATGGGGTTGCTTGTGCTTCAACAGTGGGTGGGAAAGTTAATGTTTTCTTGAGGAGAAATTATAGTAACTGGATGAACCAATAAGTGCTGACGAACAATCTCATCACTACACATGCAAAAGTTATTATTACACTACTCGATGTTTGACATGCTCAGACTGGAGCGTCACAAAAACTGCAGTTCCTAGAATGTCCACTTGGGGCCAGCTTTAAAAGCCATTAAATCCCAATTGAGGCTGATTTATGCTCGCCATATCTATGAAAATATACGCGTCCGTTTCAAACGATGGTTATGTCACTTCCCACATACTTCCATGTGTCCTTTACGCTGGCACGGATGTTAACTATTACATCCACCAGGGGGCAGGCCAGAGTTGAACGTTTTTGACAACAACAAACAAAAAGAAACATGACGACTGTGAAGGAGCCAGTGATAATGTATATTTCGAAAGGAGATAGAGGCAGCGTTGGAGGAGGAGGTGGTCGGTCAGGCCACTATATCCCTCGCGGTTGGAGGACAGAGAATTCTTTTCTGTAGTCATACCGATAAGAGAAATTGACTACAGTCCTCAGAAAGCCCCGCCATTGTCTTCTTTGTTTCTCTCTAGAGATGTGTATCGGGTAGTGACAGCAGCAACAATGCTCCCAACGGTTTCTGAAGCTTCAAGGATATGTACAGGAATACAGACGAAAAGAACGTGAAGCACGTCCTTATCCGGATCTGTATGTAACGTTGAGCATAAATGAGCCTTTAGACTCCAAGCAAGCCAAACCTGTTTACAGGTTAAAAACATGGTTTCAAGATGAAGCTTGTGTAGTATTTTTATATCTGTTTATCACACATCTTTAAAAGGCTTGGAGTTACACATAACTGTATCATTTGGGGCACAGTTGAGTTGACTGACAGGTGGGTTGTTGCAGCTGCATGCCCACATCAGATTGATCAAAAGTTAAACCCATTTTGCTCAAGTAGATCAGAGGTCTTGTAGTCTTAACAGCTGGATGATATGTGAGTGCATAGAGTCCTTAAAGGGTTTGATGCTCTCTGTAAAGAAGAGATTTGTTAACTCAGATGTTCCCTCTGACCTGAGGAAGCAGGTTTATTAATCTCTCACCCACGTAACTTCATGTCCTTTTTAATGCCTTCGTGGATATAGCTTCACAAATCACCAATTCGAAACTCGGGCCTCCTGTTGTTGACAGAGTTCGCCTCCAGGTGCAGCTCCATCTTTAGTCCACAGTGACAGAGACTGTTGTCGGGTATCTGGAGTTAAATAAACTCACTCTTCTGTTCCCTTTAACGTAATAAAAGTTTCTGTGAGAGCTGGTATTTAGGTATTTATTTATGTTCCCAAGACCTGAGTCGGAAAGCTCACCATCGCCCCGAGCTTTCCTTGTTCAAATATAGATGAGTAAAGATTTAGCTTTGAAAATCCCCTTCCAATTTTCATGTTTTACCAGTTCCACATTAATCTTTGGACAGAATCTCAGGATTATGTAATCTTGCTGGATAACGTAGTCTGAAATGTGTAAGTAGCAGCTAATGCATGACAGAGCTGCTGCTGGCAGGAGGAGGGAGCTCTCTAACCACCTGTTGTGTAACCACATTGATTTGTAAGAAAAGCTTTGCTATTACAGGAAAGACAAACAAAAGGGCACTAAAAAAGTTGTGCTTTAAAGCGAAAGGCATCCTCGGTACAGACAGACCTGCAGTCTTTCATACTCCCTCCTCTTCCTCCTACTCATCACTGTCCTCCTCCTCCTCCTCCTCCTTCTCTGCCCCGTCTTCTTCCTCCTCCTCACCAGTCTCAACTGTTCCTGTTGAAAGTCAGACTGCTACTCCTTTGACTCGGTTGTTATAGTAACACACCTTTGCATGTCCCCAACACTCACCTGAGAGGTAGTTAAGAATGTAGATGGGTTTCATAACTCTGATGAATAAAAGAGACAGCCTTGCAAAGAGAGAAGCTGGAACAGCAGAGGAGAGAGAGACTCACTCCAAAGAGGAGTAGCTCCTGTGAGAAGTGGCTGCTGAAATCACAATCATCACGTGTTTTTCTCAGTCTGTTTGTCTGATTAAATTCCTTTCTGGCTGTGATGTGCACCTCTTCTTTAGCCATTACTCATTCTCAGACTCACTTTTACTCACACTCACAGCAGGTCCTGCCATTAGCTTCACACTAGCGGCTCAACGCTGCACAACTCTCTTCACTCAAACCATGACTCAGCCTTGCATGTGGCTGTATAAACACTATAATTCTGCACTGTAATAGATGGCAGAATCAGACTTATGCTTCAAATTTGGTTCCTAGGAAAGGATTAGAGCTCACTGGAGCTCACTTTTGACTGCACACTGATGGGTACATTTCCAGTAGATCGTTTAACTCCACGTGGGTGTAAATGGTGGGGTGTGCTCATGCTTGTTCACAGAGCTCCTACAAAGCTCCTCCATGTGCTCTGCTGCTCCTTGCACTTCTGTGTCTGCTCTGTCTTTCTATGCAGCAAATGGACAAGTTTCTCTCTAAGCTCACTCTGATTGCTCTTTTACTTGGTGGTATTTCGACCCTCTGAAAGTTTTTAAATTTAACAGCATTGCAGCATTGCAGGCACAGTTTAACAAGTGAAATCACACTTCAGTGTTGTCCAGACACTCTGTGATTCTTTGTGGGCACTCATGTTGGCTCTGATTGCCTTTTTACAGTAGTACTTTTAATAGTGAAGGGACAGGGCACAGCTTGCTTGCTTTCTTTGCAAAACTCTCTCTATTGCTTACTGCTGTAACGGTGAACAAATAGTGGAAATGATTTTTTTTCTTTCTTCCAGAAGACGCAAATTGTCTGCATGAGCCCTGCCATATTTCACAGTTTGACATATGTAAATCCAGTTCTTAAAATCAAAACTGAAGTTGACTTAAAACAGCTGAAGACCAAATATTGATTGACCAACATAAGTTGATGTAGCAACCAGCAGTCTTCGTTTTCCTTATATCTGCCCCTACCAGGGGCTGAGAATTGAGTAGTTATTGTTCATATTTTTGGGTTTATAAAAGTTTGAAATTTAAAAAGTTTCAGTTCTTCCTGCTGTCACAGCTTTCAAACCCTGCCCTCTCTATATACTTTTTACTTTTTACTCTGTCCATGCACACCACTTGCTCATTATTCCTTTTTTGTAAAAACTGCATGAATAAATGTGTGGCACTCTTGGTCCCTGGAACAAATGATATTCAGGACTTGCTAAAATTATGGCACAGTCATGCCAAATGGTCCTGGTACCCTTCGAACCCCCACAGGGTGAGTGGAAAGATTTCTGATTTACATAGCCACCTGCTCATTGCTTTATCCTGCTTATTATCTGCAGAAAGAAAAATGTGGACAGAAAATTCAGTTTTTATCCAACAATACAGTCTGTGTCGTGTTGGACACTACGTATGGTTTATTATACAATCTATGAGTTTAAACTATCGCCTTTACTACCCCCATGGTTGTCAGTGTTAGGTCTGAATCCTTGAGCTTGCAGACTTGCAGAAATACAGACAAAGTAGGGCTGGGCGATATGGCCTCAAATCAATATTACAATATATTCAACAGTTCACCTTGACAATGATAAATGGATGATAACTACTCCACAAGCTGCTAACCCCCTCCCACATTAACTTTGTCTACTTCAGCCGCCGCTCCAGCTACTACAACTTTTGAACCGTCCTCCATCTCCTCACCTGTCTTTCCGTCTTTGTTATGGACAGGATGGGGTGGAGTCATGTCTCCGACGTAGCCTACCTACACACATCCAAAACCGACTTTTATTTATTTTTTGACACTAACTCGGTTATTGTTGTGAATTTTGGTATCAGTAAATTTTCAGTTTATCGCCCAGTCCTAAGACAAAGTGAATGAAGAGTGCTGTAGGAAGGCTCTGTCTGTGTTTGAAATGGGTATCCAACATAAAGCATGAATGAGCCCTAACGAGTATACTCTGGTACAAGGGGGACTCTATGTATTTTACAACAAGTCTATTTGTAGAGTTTGTAAGGGTGTATATATGTGCCGATACTGGCTAAAATGAGTTTGAAATTATGGGCATTTAGATATGGATTTTAGTCTAAGGGACAAAAGAGGAGAAGACTATGTCACTGGTAAGCGGTTACTCTGAGAGAGATTAATACAACACTAGAGATGCACCGATCCATTTTTTTCCCCGATCCAGTCCGATACCGAAACCTGGGCTGAGCGTATCGGCCGATATCCGATACTGATCCAATACAACTGTTGAATGAATGCATTGTATACCTTCCCCTGTGAGGCATTAGGCTTGACGTTAGCCTTGTTAAAATAAGGTAACAAATTAACACAGATATAAATACTTAATACTATTTATTAACAATTAATAGGCCTGTCGCGATAATCAATAAATCGCCTTATCGCTCCATTAAAAAAAACGAGGTCGATAACTTTGCCAGCCTCGATAATTTACGTGCGTTTGTTTTCCTCCTCTCTCGCTACCAAACACGCTGGATGAGAGAAGAGGTCTCACTCTGCCCATTTTTCTCGGCACCTGGGGGCGTTGGCTCTATAGCGGAATGAACGGAGTTAGTGAACCCTCCTGTCAGTCATTCAGTGTCTTTGTCACGAGGGGGCTGGCGCGCACAGGCACACAGCCTGAGGCTGTGGCTGTGTCTCATTTCAGAGACCGCATCGACCTAAGTGCCCTTCTGCACCGTCGAACGGTGCATTTGAAGTGTGCATGACGTCACGACGGTGCGAACGGTGTCCCGTTTGGCACGAGATGCTAAAAAATGCTAAGCGCGCTTAGCATGTTTTCAAGCGTGCATTTATCCACGCTTTCGTGCCGTCGGTATCCCAGAATCCTTTGCGTGCCGCTGCACAGCTGCGCATTTCAGGTGAGAGGCTGGACTCGCTTGGAGACGCAGCGCGTCTTCAAAGAAATTACAAGCAATCCAAAAACAGCAGACAGTCAGCTCAGGCTGTATGAGAGCATGATCTCTGAACTCACTAAAATCTGTTAACCAAACATTATAGATTTAGAGACGAACTGATCCGCTGTGTTACAACTATCAAAAACATTAGAAATAAGAAAGCTGACAAAACTACAGCAGAGTATCAGGACAACATTGAGTTTTTTTTCTTTTAAGATTTAGAGATTAAAGTTGTAAATTTAGGAGAATAAAGTCATAAAGTAAATAAAGTCATAAAGCTGCTTTTGTGGAGGGGGAAATGACTGAAGCTGGTCATCTGCAGGGTTATCTGTGGATGTATCAGCGGGTCATTCAGAGAGATTTTGTGGTTTGTGAAGAAACAATCAAACTGATGATGATCAACATTTGTGATCCAGAGGGAGTCGAGCTCCGACGAGCACCACGTCTCTGACACCGGCCGTAGCCTACACCTGCAGAGACACCAACACCTTATTATGGCATATGGATTCATATCATAAATTAAAGCTCAATGTCATTCACGGATATTTACGGCTGCATTGACAGATATATCCTCAGCATATTCATTTCTGCCTCCACAAAAGCAGCGATTTCCTTCAAGTACACCAGTTTTTTTCCCCGTGGAAAAGACGTATTTCTCATATATTCTTTTTTAAAGTCTTTATACGTATGACAATGTGATGCTGTTGTGCCAGAGGATGAAGTATCTCCTATCCTCCTTCTCAATAGGGCCCTCATACTCCTTCATACAAAACAATCATTGGATTAATTTTGTGGGAATGATCTGGGCTTGTATGTATCTACTATTTTGTGTCTGTGCAAGGTCGCACAATTAAAACAATACATGCTGCGCTCCGCAGCTTTTTCTAATCAGTCGTGACGTAAGCCTGAGGGCGGGGACATTTGGAGACCTTCGGAGGACTTCCTGGTGGAGTTGCCAAATGTCCCCGCCCTCAGGCTCGCGTCACGACTGACTTAAAGGAAACCCGCGGAGCGCAGCATTTATTGTTTTAATTGTGCGACCTTGCACAGACACAAAATAGTAGATACATACAAGCACAATTCATCCAATGATTGTTTTGTAAGGAGTATGAGGGCCATATTGAGATTTAAGACTTTAAGGACTTCGAGATTTAAGTCGTGAATTTACGAGAATAAAGTCATTAATTTATGAGAATGAAGTCATAACCTGTTATTTCAGAGAGACTTGTTAAAATTAGGGCCATGAAGCATTTGAAGGAACTGTGCTTCAGTATAGGTTTCACAAACAAGGAGATTCTTCATCCTCTGGCACATCAGCATAACATTGTCATAAGTATAAAGACTTTAAAAAGAATATATGAGAAATACGTCTTTTCCACGGGGGAAAAATATTGGTGTACTTGAAGGAAATCGCTGCTTTTGTGGAGGCAGAAATGAATATGCTGAGGATATATCTGTCAATGCAGCCGTTAATATCCGTGAATGACATTGAGCTTTAGTTTATGATATGAATCCATATGCCGTAATAAGGTGTTGGTGTCTCTGCAGGTGTAGGCTACGGCCGGTGTCAGAGACGTGGTGCTCGTCGGAGCTCGACTCCCTCTGGATCACAAATGTTGATTATCATCAGTTTGATTGTTTCTTCAGAAACCACAAAATCTCTCTTAATGACCCGCTGAAACATCCACAGATAACCCTGCAGATGACCAACTTCAGTCATTTCCCCCTCCGCAAAAGCAGCTTTATGACTTTATTTACTTTATGACTTTATTCTCCTAAATTTACAACTTTAATCTCTAAATCTTAAAAGAAAAAAAAACCTCAATGTTGTCCTGATACTCTGCTGTAGTTTTGTCAGCTTTCTCATTTCTAATGTTTTTGATAGTTGTAACACAGCGGATCAGTTCGTCTCTAAATCTATAATGTTTGGTTTACAGATTTTAGTGAGTTCAGAGATCATGCTCTCATACAGCCTGAGCTGACTGTCTGATGGTTTTGGATTGCTTGTATTTTCTTCGAAGACGCGATGTGTCTCAAAGCGAGTCCAGCCTCTCACCTGAAATGCACAGCTGTGCAGCGGCACGCAAAGAATTCTGGGATACCGACGGCACGAAAGCGTGCATACATGCACGCTTGAAAACGAGGCGGGGGTAGTGTGGTTTTGAGACCGAATTTGAAGCGCGCTTAGTATTTTGTGCCAAACGGGACACTGTTCGTGCCGCGTGGTGACCTCACGTACGCGTCAGATGCGCCGTTCGATGGCTGCTGTATCTGAAATGGGACACAGGAAGGGCACAGAACGGCGCAAAACGGCGTAAAACGGCTCAAAACGGCAGTGCACTCAGCTAAGCGCCGTTAAGCGCGCTTATCACGATGCGGTCTCTGAAATGAGACACAGCCACAGACTTTTGGATACAGTGCTGCAAGTGAGCGTCGTGAGTGAAAAGCAAGCTAACAGAATGAACACGACAGCTTTGGTGTCTAAACCGAACGCAACAGCCCAAGTGTGGGAATATTTCGGCTTTAAACCAGTTTTGTTTTCGTCAACCACAAAACTCCACGTGTGCGTGCGCGCGCGTGCGTGCGTGTGTGTCTGTGTGTTGGAGGAGCACAGCAGGCTGATGAGAGCTGTCAGAGCGGACTGAAGCTGCTCCTATATGTTTAGCGTTTAACTGACTGAGTTTTGCAACTCTGTTCGTCATTTTCGTCTCGTCCCATCAACGTAAACGCACTTTCGTCTCGTCACATTTTAGTAATCTCCGACTTATGTTTAGCTCGTCAACGTTACGTCTTCGTCGTGGGAGAAAAGGGAAATATTTTAGTCAACGAAAACAACCAGTGTTGTTCTCGTGTGTAAATTAAAGTTTATCACTTTTGACATGGTGTACTTGCATTATTATGCCATATAATATCATTATCTATAATTTAAAAAATGGTGTCAATAATATCGTTTATCGGCCAATAATTTGTAGCACAATTATCGTCCAGCAAAATTTGTTATCGTGACAGGCCTAACAATTAACAAATTGCACATTAGCACACAGCAAAAAGAAGTTAGACTGCCATGTAAACATTTAGTGCAAAAGGATAGACAGACATAGAATATAGTGTGAACAGAATTGCTGTGTTGCTGTGTATGATATTAATTAAAAGAAAAATAAAGACTGGAATCGGAACACTGGACCCGAGTCATTCATCAAATATGCAATCCAGTGAATTTGTCAATATCGGAGCATATATCCGATCCTAATATTGGATCGGTGCATCCCTAATACAAACAAAATATCCAAATTAGAAACATTTTCAAAATGCACAATATTTGTTTGTCATTTGGCCCAAGTGCTCTATAAAACTACATACAGTGCTCCTAGACTATTTGAACAGAGATGACTTAAACTATCAATCCATTCTGTGGTATTGTTAATGTATTAGAAAAACACACAAGCCATTATGAACCAAGAAAAGACATGACAAAGCCTCAGGGAGAGATCATAATCACCTTAACACCTGTTAAGGTTACCTGAGCCAATGAGAAAATGAGAATGATTTGCAGCTAAGGTCAGGGGTCAGTGACGCATGCATGCAAGCTTCATTCACCACAAATCTCTGACACACACACTTCACTCTGGTGGGAGCCTTGTTAGTGGTGAGGTGAGAAATGAAGGCTGCTGAGTTGAGTTAAAATTGGATTTGTGTGTAATTGGATGGAGAGGAGTAACAAGAATGAGAGACAGAGGATCTGTCGACACCTCTCGCCTTTTCGCGAGGATCAGTTTACTGAGAGAGAGGGCGCACACAATTTCTGACAACATATCATTATGAAACAGCTGTGAGGAGCTGTGATGGTCGACAGGTGAGCTGAGAGCCAGACACCAATTTGGAGCACCAAGAGCTCAAGAGATGTGTAACAGGAGGAGAAGAAGTGAACAAGGTGACACAAGTCAGAGTCAGTGTTATCTGTGGCATGTGGCAGATCAGAGGTCTGTCAGAGATGGTCTCTTGAAACTGTCAGGTCAAGTGGATTAAACACATTCTGTCCCAGCTGGGCCCAAACTCCTTAAGATTGGTTTCTTTATAAACATACAGCAAACATACAGCTGTAGATTTACAAATCTACAGCAGATTTTAGTTTACATTAAGGGTGAAAAAAGAAGCATTCCTCTTCAATCAACTTGGAGAGTGTTTGCTTTTTTTTTTAAGACTTGATCTGCCACCTTTGGTACCCAGACAATCTCATAATAGTTTCCTCCATACTCTGTGATCCTGTGTTTGGTTATGTTTGAGATAATGTGTTTAATTTTTCTGTTTATTTTGGGTTTTCTTGTTTTAGAATTTAAAGGGATATTCCGGCATAAAATTAAGTAGCGGTCAAACACACCGAGTTAGACACCCTGTCAAGAGATGAATGTTGCCAAACTCTTGCTGTCTTGTTTGCTGCTAACAGCACCTAACTTCATCAACTGTACTTATAGGGTCCTAGCAACAGCACTAGCCACCAAATTTCTTTAGCAAAGAGACTAAAACACAACTCACCTATTCTCTTCCAGCAGCCACTTGTTTGTACAGAGACCTCCAGGCGAGTTCATCGACTGCAGCGGGGTGACGCAGCTCAAGGAAGAACATTTATGATCATTACTTCATGGAAATGCAATCAGACCGAGACGCTGAGGCAGAAGGACTACCGCGTCTGCAGTGCAAAATGATTAAAATGATGATTATTACTTCGAGGAAATGATAAAGTAATGATCATATATGTTCTTCCTTGAGCTGTGTCACCCCGCTGCAGTCGATGGACTCGTCCGGAGGTCTCCATACAAACAAGCGGCTGCTGGAAGAGAGTGGGTGAATTGTGTTTAGTCTCTTTGCTAAAGGAATCGGGCAGAGCTAAAAAGATGTTTGGAGGCTAGTACTATGGCTGGGACCCTATATGTACTGTTGATGAAGTTAGGTGCTGTTCTGAGCATTATTTGTGGCTATAGAGTGGCTTTTTGGTTGAGCGCATGGCTCTGTGTATGACTATCGTGCGGTTGTTACTAAAGTTGGTAAAACTAGAGAAGCAACATTCATCTCTCGACGGGGTGTCTAACTCGGTGTTAGGGTGTGTTTGACCCTAAATTAATTTTACGCCAGAATATCCCTTTAAATTTCTCAATTTAGCAGCACCCCTTGACATGCCTTTTGTTTAGAGCTAATGCTGCTCTGTGTCTGTGTGCTGCTCACAGGTTCCCAGTAGTCAATAGTTATTCAAGTCCAGGTCTTAAATATTTTATTTAAAAAAAGTCAAGCTTGATAAGAAATGCAGGTGACATTTACAGCATCTTCAAACTGCTTAAGGCTGCTGTTTATATTTGAATGCTAAATATTATCAACCTGAAGCTCATTTATTCTATTGAATTTCTTCCAAACTTTTACCATTATTAGACCAATGATATTTCCGAGGATTGATTGTCTCATGATTAACTAATTGATTAATTGACAAATTGTTTCAGCACCAGTCAGATTAGATTGTCTGGCCCCCTGCTGTCAGTGCAGCCTGGGGATGGTCTGGTAATGAGCTGCCATTAGCACCTAATCAGACCATTATCCAGGCTGCAGCCTCCCTGTACTATCCTCTGTTTGTGTGTGCCTTTGAGTGTAGGTGGACAGGGTTGACAGTGGTGCAGGTCTGTGTGTTTGTTCCAAGAGTGTGGGAGTCACCCTGTATGTCTCAGTCAGGAGGACGAGGAGGTATTACTACTGACGCGTGACCTTTTTTAGACCAACCTATTAACGTCCGTACCAGGAGACTGCAGAAACCTGCAGCCACCTGTCTGCTGTGGTGATGTAACACTCAGACCTGTTTCTCCACGAGAACTTGAAAACAGCTTTTTATCATCACTGTCAACACCAGACTGAACTATTTTTATACAAACATTTTTAGATGATTGAATTCAACATTAGTTTTGGGGTTTCAAGTCTGATCAGATTTTTTTTTTTGTCAGGACATGGGGGGATTTTCACAGCATGTTCAAGCATCACTTCATCCTTCCAACTCCCAATTACATGTGATTATGTGGTTAAAGTAAGCAGGAGAATGCATTTGTTCTAGTCAAGAGCTCTCAGCAGCTGTCCTGAGAGTGCAGAGCTGAGAGGAGAAAACATTGTTCATGCGTTAGTTTGAGAGGCTGAGTGACTGAGGGCATGTGCCACCCACTTTTTGTCATTTTTACGTCTTAATCTTAATGCCAGAGTTCAATTATGTAGCCTGTGGGTGGCTTCAAGGCCCCGCAGAAATCCAAACACAGCAAGATGAGGTGAAGTGCCTGTACTATGTGAAATCTGTCTACAGAGCCTGAGAGAGAGAAACAGGCAAAGCAGAGAAGGCGATGGACTGACTGACTGACTGACTGACTGACTGCAGGGGTCTGCAAGAGAAAGAAATACTGATGGCGGGATGGGGTTTGTGCATGAATGTATGCATGTTCTGTATGTTTGTGAATAGTAGTAATAATACTTGCAAGCAGGCTTCCTGCATAAGCTTGAGCACGCTGCAGGGTGCTGACTGAGACAGTTACCAAGTAACACTGAACCGGAGAGTACAGTAGGTATTAATAAAAGCTCTTTGTTTTACAGCTACAACTTCCACTCAGTTGGAGTAACACAGACGGTGTTACATAATACAACATTTGTGGTGATACCCACCATTTGGTGTAAAGTTACTTAATATCCTTTCTTGTGAAAATAATTGGATTAGTAGAAAGAAATGTAAGTAGAGTAGAATTAAGAGCCCTGAGTTTATAAGATTATTAATCATAGAGCTGCACAAAGGGTGAAGATGCATATATTATTATAATGTGGCTCCAAAAATGTGTAATAGAGTTTGCTTTCTTGTGTGCACTGCAAAGATATCTTTAACTGCTGTTAGCTCCTGACTGACATGGAATTTTCTGCAGACACTAATGCTCCCTGTGCAAACATGCATCTGTGGAGTGTATCGAAACAGTGGAGTTATGCTTCCCACAAGGTTTTTTGATTGCTTGTTTCTCTGTTGTATTTTGCATAAATTTAGTTTACCGACTTTAATATGCTATCACTATGATAAACATGGGGGCTTTATTAGGATGTGTAAATAATACAACATGCAGCTTTTACTTTTTGCATTTTTTAAGGAGCATTTTTTGCTTTTATTGGTTGGAAGAGACAATGTGGGTAATAGAGAAAGTTAGTATCATGCAGCTCGGGGGTTGTGGCTTGAAATTGAGCCAGAAACCACTTGCGCAAAGACTTTACCCTCTGGGGTGAACACTTTGACTGCTGAGCTGTACGACGCCTCAATATTTACTGAATTAATCACTTATTTACTCTTCTATATCGTTTGCACCCTACGATCAGATCTCATTCTCACAGGCACTCTATAAAGCTGGCGTGTTGGAGACACAGTGGTGGTTCTGTTGCCAATAAAACCAAACATGGCAGGTGTAAAGTCTTACAAATGACATTACTGTGCAGCTTGTTCCTACTTGATTAGTTTTTACTAACCGGAGAAAGGAAACAGAAAAAGTGACAAGTTTCTCCAGCAGGCTGCTTCAGTGAAACTGCACTTTTCTTCCTATTGGTGGAATATTCTCATAAAAATTAGAGTAAGACATAATTTACAACTGTCTGATATTTTACTTTCCTCTCCTTCATCTTCAGGTTAAAGCTCTCACCCTGTTTGTGACCCATTACCCTCCCTTGTGTGAGCTGGAGCGGGTGTATCCTGAACATGTGTCAAACTACCACATGGCTTTCCTCCTCAACGACCCTGACACTGCCATGGACACTGATGGTGTGTGTGTGTGTTTTGACATTATAAGTCTGTTGGAAACTGTATATCTGGCTTGAGCCTTGTTAACACTCTGCATTTGTCACTTTGCCTAACAATAATAATACAGTATCTATGCTGTGTGTTTCTGTGTGAATGCTGTCAGATGGAGAAGCTCAGCCAGAGTTCATCACCTTCCTCTACCAGTTAACTGAAGGAGCTGCAGGGAGGAGCTACGGTCTGAACGTCGCCCGACTGGCTGACATCCCGGAGTCTATACTGCAAACTGCTGCACGAAAATCCAGAGAACTGGAGAGCATCGTCAATGCCAGGAGGTACAAGAAAGACATATTCACCCTGACAGATTCTGAAAAGGGGAATCCCTATTTTACACCTAAAGACGAGTTTATATGTCCAACTTAGCGTGGGGATCACTTGTATTGAGCATTTTTTAGCACTGGAGGAGTAGAGCCAGTCCTGTCACGTGGGTTATTTGGGATTAAGTCTTGATTAAACTCAGTAGTTCACGACTGAACCCCTGTCTAATAAACTGTAAAATCAGGGCATTTGCCTGGCAGGGAAGGTCTTCCATGTTCTGTGTATTTCATGCTGGGCTGATGTAGTACCGATCACTGCTAGCACATAAGTAGTGTTGTGTTGCATGATGGTAAATGCAGTATTCAGAACTTGACTCCTACTTAGGACTTACCATGGCCTAGCTCGTCTGCCACTCCATGTTGTTTCTCCTTCTGTCTCTCTAAAGTCCCAGTACTTTATGGAAGTATTACACTTATCATGTGGATTATCGCTTAAACACCAGCATGAGTCACAAAATATCAGGTTTCAGTGTTTTTGCAGAGCTACTCGAACACTCTGAAGATATGTGTCATGAGGAAATAAAACTTGGAGGAGCTCAGCTGAAACTAAATTGAATGTTTATTTTAGCTGCAACACTCAAATAAATCTAATTTTATATTTTTCTGGAAAATCAGACTGAGGCGAGATGACTGGTCCAGATCTGACTGAACCAGTCATCTCCTGGATCCCTTAACTTGTTTGGTTTTCAGAGATGCAGAGATGGCTTTGGATTAGTAATGTTTTATCAATCACATGTGTTTTCTATGTACCCGAGGGTTTAAACTGCCTACAAAGATCATTTTCACGCTATAATAAGTGATGTTGGCTGTTTTCAGAAAAAGCTTCAGAAAATCTTTTTCATCATGTCATTCTCAGAGGCAAACTTTGATGTATATATTCTATTACTATTATTTGAATATTTCAAGCCTTTTAGTTTGAATTTTGATCATTTTACAGCTCATGAAAGTGATCTGCTGGACTACTGAGGTCTTGCTCTGCTCATGGCCTCCAGCTGGTCTGTTTTATTGTGTTTAGGTATGTCTCATCTTACTTTTAGGAATATCCCACAGATTCTTTATGGGCTTGAGAAGTGTCACTTTCAACGAACCACTTGATAGTAGTTTTGACGCTGTGAGCAGGTGCTAAATCCTGCTATAAAATGTGTATCAGCATCTTTGTACTTTGTTAAACTTCACACTGGACTTCAAACATCTTGGATCCCAAAACCTTGATTCCCAAATAAATACACAGTTCTATTTACATCTGAAAAGATGTCTTTGGACCACTGAGCAACAGTCCAGCTTGGGTGAGACGTCTTTAGGTCAGGAAAGGTATGATATTAGGATTGTGACCGTTGATGCTCTCACTCCAGCCTCAGTCCAGTCCCTGTGAAGGTCTCTCAAGTTCTTGAATCTGCTTTTCTTGACTATCCTCTCAAGGGTGTTGCCATCCCTGTTGCTTGCTCACCTTTTTCCACTGCACTTTTTCCTCCCAGTCAACTCTCCATTATTATGCTTTCATACAGCACTCTATGAACAGCCAGTATTTTCAGCAATGACCTTGGAGGGTGTAAATGACGGTCTGACCCCTGGTTGTGGTAACACATTCTGAAAGAGGCTAAGGTGTACATGGTGCCTGTTCTTTCTGAATAGTGATTATGAAATATTCTTTTTGTAGGGTATTGATTTTACTTGTGTATTAGCTGTATGCCATAGTTATGAAAAATAGACTTTAGAAAACACAAATATTTAAGGTTGCATGAAACAAGTCTGTAAGATATTGTCATTTTCTTTATTAACTTTGATTTCTAGGTGTAGAAATGTAGCTAATTGATTTTTTTCATGATTAAGTGAATGCAAAAAGTGCACACTGATGAGAAAAGGTGAAAAAAAATGTGTATTTTTCAATACTGAGTTTTTGAATTCTAGGATTTGCTTTGCACAGGCAGGCAGGCAGGGTTTCTCCACTTATACTTGAGTTAGGAGAGGAAAGCTGTTAAATTCTCATTGTTTCACTGAGACTGTCAGAATGTCAGAATAATATGCTTTCTCCAAACAGTCTTCTGTCTCAGTAAATATGCTCACAGCATTTCCTCTCCCCGTTACAGACAGCTTTCTGGGAGCTAAGTGCTGCTTAGCCTCTTCCAAAGTAATCCTCACCATATGAGATATCTGTCAATGCACACACACACACGCACACACACACACACACACACACACACACACACACACACACACACACACACACACACACACACACACACACAGAGCTACACCTCTCTATCAGTGTAATCCTTCCTATATGAAATGTTTGTCCTGTGTTGGAGAGGAGCCCTGCTGAGTACATAAGAATCACACTCAGAGGAGTTGAGCTGCTGGTTGGAGGTTAAGATCAGGGATTTTGTGATACTTTCTCATTTCTGTGTGTGACAGAACAATGCACTTACACTCAACACACAATGGGCTGTGTGATGCCATGTAACAGATTTATAAACATCACTTCTGTGTCTTCTTGTGTCCCTCTCTCTCCAGGAAGAGTAAGAAACTTCTCTCAGATCTTTGGAGCCTCTCGGACAAATCATCTCTCATGGAGTGGCAGCAGATGAACTCTTGACACCACAGCAACAGGAGTCAACAACCTGAGAACACAAAAAAAGAAAGACTGATTGAATGGGCAAATTTTAAGAGGACTCAAGACTGATGGAATAAAGTAGCTGTCTCTGTTCTTCTCACCATAATTTAACCAACTCAGGATCAGATCACCACTTTTGTCTGGATTATGACCTAATTCTTATAGCATAATATTATACTATTAATTATGTCACAGCATCATGTTTGGTGATTGAATTAAACAATAAACATCTGGCCCTCATTTGACTGCTCCTATCATTTAGCATTACCGCAGTGAGAAAATTAGAGAGTAAATTGTTCAGCATGCATGTGAATATTGAGGATCATGTATAGTGAAAAGGTGATCATGCAAATTATAAAACGCAAAAAAGTTGAGACAAGACACCATCATTCTTATCTGGGTCCTCCCACCCCTTAACTATACGTTATCTCTTACTCACTTTTAGTGTAAACACTGAACATTTTCAGTTAAAGTATTTTACTGAGCCTTATTCTTTTCTGTCCCAGTTTTCAAAAATGCTTTTGAAAGTCTAGTCCTTTCTTTCTTTACATTATTTTTTTGCATGTGGTAAGAACCCTCATACACAACCTTCTTACATCACCCACACTGAAACTCAAAGGCTGGTCTCACAGCGATTGTGGTGTTATGCAAAGGAGGAGGCTGTGTAGCCTTGAGCCTTTAGTCTCTAACACGGATGAGCTACAGGGTTTTTCTCTCTATCACAAAACCTCTAGATTTTGTTATTTATATTCCAGCTTGTAGTTGCAGTCCTGGTCAAGCCATATGATGTCTCATTTGGCAATTTTTTTGGACTATTTTAACGGATTTCTTACATTCAAAACAGGAAAGCCTACCAGAAGACTTTTTTTGTGTGTGAACTACATCAGAACCATCGATTCCCTCGTTTTTGGCAGCAGATAAGGCAATTGTTGATCATAGCCTTCATTTGTTTATCTCTTTTTTTGCCCATTAAAGTAGTCATTCATGAGTTCCCTCTGATAACTCTATTATTAATGCAAAAACAAATCACTACCTTTGCCCCTGAGAAGATCTGCATTACATCTGCAGCTCCCTCACTCACTCCCTCACACAAACACACTCTTTCTCATGCTCCGCCTTTATTCCGCCAACTCCAGGATCAGCGCGCATCACAGGAGAGAGAAGGATAGAGAGACCTTGTGGCACAGTGTGCTTGTGTGTATGTGTGAGAGAGAGGGAGAGTTAACCACTGTCAAAGCCGATTACAGTTTATCGGGTCTGTGATTCTTTCACTGTCTGTGCACTTGAGGGTTCTCCCCTCTGTGAACGGCACGCCTCTCCTCTTCTCCTGCTTCTTAGTTGTTGTTCATGTACAGGAGCGTGAATTCTCTTCTCTAAGAGCAGCATGGATTTCTTTTAGCGCTTGTGGGACTCGGACAGCTGTACTATGAGTTCCTCTGCAGAAGCGCTCCCGTCAGCGGGGCAACTTTTCCGTGCGCCACGGCGCCCCTGATCCACGCGTCTCTCTGTGCCAAAGTTCACACGCAACCTCTGTATGCATGCGATGATGGGCTCGCGGTGAAAGCACCATTGTCCCTCTTATTTTTCTCTTCCAAACAGTACGACAAAAATGCAGAAGAGCGTCCGCTACAACGAGGGGCACGCGCTATTTCTGTCGGTGGTCGCGCGTAAAGAGGGGACTAAGCGCGGCTACCTGTGCAAGAAGACTACTGAGAACAGCCGATGGCACGAGAAGTTCTTCGCCCTCTACCAGAATATACTTTTCTACTTCGAGAACGAGCAGAGCGCGCGACCAGCCGGGATTTACCTGTTGGAAGGATGCACCTGCGAGCGCACGCCGGCGCCCAAGATGTCCACCACTGGGAAGGAAGCGCTGGAGAAACAGGTGAGATGTTCAAAGATATGGATAAGGGTAAAGGCACCAAACACTGAGTCAAAAACCTACACTCTTTTTTTTATCATCTGAAGGTACAACTTACTAAAATTTGCTCAACTCGGGTGACATAAACATGAAGCAAACTGGTGTAGCGCTGATTGATGATGTAACACATTCAGTCAACTCGCACCAAAGCTAATATCTGCTGTTTTATGATCATTTGTGGTCACTGTAGATATAGATGACCGTTTTAATGTGAAGCTCTTCGAAATCAGAAGACTTCAAACTTCTGGATCTAATTGTTACGTCACCCTCAGGACGAAGCCAATAAAAAAGTGGTTCGTGCAACATCAGCACCTCGCTTTCCACAGTTTCAACAGGCTCTGCAGTGACAAGAGCCTCAAGCGCATCCTCCCTGAGCAGGTGATATAGTCCCCAATGGTTTAAGATGTGCAAATGGGGGCAGGCTGGTGGAGGAGAGGGGTTTCCCAAAGCATTTCTTATTTTAATTCAAAAAAGAAACACTCACTTTTCAGCTGTAGTTCTGCTTTTTAATTTAACTGCTTTTTCGGATTTGTCCATATAAACTTTGTTTGGAAACTGAAGGAGAAAGTCTTTACATGTCAAATTCTTCTCTGTCTGACAAAGTGGAAGTAAACTATTGCAGAGGCTACAGCAACTGGCTCATGTATTTCACACCACGAATACTTACAAGTTAGGATGGCACATTTCCTCTTCACATCGTGTATATTTTATATGCTGTTGGGCCATCACTTTAATAAATCCATATCATCTTTACAGCGATTAAATATTGATTTTCACACCGCCATGTTTTTGGAGCTCTTACACAATCAAGATGACTTCTTTCTAGCTACACTAACTGCAGAAAGGCATTAAAAGTGTCTTTTAATATGTGAGCAGACCTAAACTATTATTGAAAACAAAGGTCTGCATGTTTGTACATATTGGGTTTTTAATCATAAACCCATAGATCTGCAGCTGGAAATCTGGGGGTAAATGTGTCAATGACCATGCTGCAGGAACATGCCATCTTGTTGCTAGGATACATGTGAATTAAGATTTCCACATGCATTTCATTGAGAAAAAAAGAAATGTCTGGTCACAAGTACACCATCAATACTGGAGCTCCATCAGTGAAAGAAGTGGCCGTAACTGGAGTGGGGGAAAGACAAGAACTTCACTCCATTAGAAAAGAAAACACTCTAGATTTTTGTCTCTGATCCCAGCTTGGCCTTAGGGACTGTATGCATCTGTCTGCACAGGCATTAATGCAGAGGAGGGAGCACTGACTTTTCACAGTTTGTGTAAGTACCAGGAGGACAATGAAGTGAATACATGTACAGCCAACCATTTAAGGAGTCAAAAATAGCCACCAATCATCATCATCACAGAGAAAATATCCCTCACCACACACTCCCACCTACTTGTACAGGAGAGGTCTGCCTCTTTAAATGTACAGTACATGGATGTACAATTCATTCCAGATGTATGCAAATGGAGGAAAACCAGACTTTAGGAAGAACATGGTTTTAATCAAGTCATTTATGAAGGGAGGAGGGGGCATCTGTTTTCATTGTGGATTTCTGGGGTTAGGTTATAAATCATAATGAAAGGGGGGGTGAATTTGTTTGCAATTCTGTTTTCAGCCAAAAACTTGGTTTTCCTAATGTTACTATAACAAGGAATGATAAAAATCTTATTCTACTGTCTTTTTACATAATCACAGTGGCTGTCTCACTCTCTCCACATCTGACTAGGTCTCACACTACAGCTGTGATGTTTAATTAGGGTTATTTTTAAATGAAGCTCAGCTGAATGGCTTGTGTGCTGCTTTGTAACATACTGTCCACATACAAAGCCACGCACAAGAGAGAGAAAAAAAAAAAACAACAGTTACATAAACTCAGTGTTTTAAGGCCTAGTGTGTCCTCTCAGTGGAGAGCGCAGTTCAGTCTGATCTGTCTTGTGCTATGGCTGGGACAAAGTGTGAGAAGGCACTTCCACGCTTCCATCTTGCTCTTCGCTGTTATTCTGTGCAGTCGAGTGAGTCTGCCAGCAACCTGCAGTATCACACCCCCACAGTGGGCCACAATGCAAGCACACAAATAACACACAGCACACACACTGCCTCTTTCTCTGTCTCTCTCTCTCTCTCTCTCTCTCTTTCTGCTGTACTCTCAGAAAAACACAAACCCTTCATATCATTTGACGAGCATTCAAACCAGTCTGAATGGTTTCCACAGCGACTGCAGATGTGCACTGCTGATGTGAACAGGTATGAGTTAGCCCGTAAAAAGCTTCAGCTGTGCAGCTGTGTGGAACTTTAAAAAAAAACAAAAAAAAAACAACCCATCATCAAGCTTCTGGTCTGTTATTGATCCCCAGAGAGAGGGGCAGTTCGTTAGAGGCCATGAACCAGAGGAGATGAGCGCTGCTCACAGTGCGGTCTGTTTCTTCATGATCACCCATATGTCAGAATTTTGCTGAGCGGTACAAAGGCCTGGTGCTGCTTATATAAAAGGTTTCTTTTTGCCAAATTACAGTAACATAACAAGCCAGCTCTTGCTTTTGTAGGACTTTCAAGGATTCGGTCTGGGAACCTCTGCAGTTGTCTTAATTACTACTTTGTTATAATTTTTTGAACATTCTGGTCTAATTGAGAAAAAAAGAAACCATCTTGATGCTTATTTTTCCTTGAATTCTTAGCCTGAGTGCTAAAATCTGAAGTGCCCAATGTGACTGCTGTATAGATTGTAGCACTAAGCAACCATAAAACAAACACAAAAAAATGCACATCACTTTATGTGTCAGATATGGCTGTGGCTCAGGAAGGCGAACCTTTTTAACCTGAGGTTTGAAAGCAAATCTCTTCCTTCTGCACCTGCTGTGCCCCTGCTGGGGAGGGGGCTGGTCAAACCACCAGCTAACATTGACAAAGCAAAAAAAGACTGCAATTTTGACCCAGAAATAGGATTGAGAATCATGTGTATGGTGGCTCGGAAGTGCCAGAATAGATCATATCTATATATACATACATGGTTGTGGAAAAACATCACTTTGGACTCCACCACTTGAATCCTTAAATGGTAAGATCATTCTCAGACCCCCTGTCAGTAATGGACCCTCTGAATTGCCCTAACTTTCTGCCATGTGGTGCCCTACTCTGGGCCACCAGATCACTCTGCATTCAAAATATGAAGTGGATAATAAGGTAGACTTTGAATGGATAACTACGAGATAAGCATATGTTTCTGTTTAACATTTGAAGAATTTAAGGCTCAGCTCACTCATCAAGGATGCTTTACGGGAAAAGTACCCAACATGTCTTTTTGGAAAACTTTTAGCATGTGGGATTAATTCATACTTTCAGGTCTGCAGAATTGACCTAAGTTCACCAATCTCTTTTTTCAATAGAGCCCATTTAAAAAAGGTGGGGCGGCACTTTATAGTTAAAATGTTGGTGCTGACTTCTTGATGTGCTAGTATGATTATTTCTCATTGGAGATCTCCCTTAGCTCTCAATGCCCCCCTTAAAAGCTCCCATTTTTCTCTTATTGGCACTTATCTGCAGCAAAGTACCAATTCTATTTCTCGGCAGCGTCTTTCATTTTCTCTGTATTTTCTTTTCTGGTATGCCAAGTCTTTGACCCAATATTAGTGTCAGATGAGTATTATGGCATCAATACAAGTTTTTGTTTTTGTGTTTAAATCCTGCAATACTTAAAAACAACAAACATACAATGAGACAGTAACAAAAAGAAGAAGAAGCAGACCGCAGTGTTTTTGTATGGATGTTTGTTTTCCATCTTTTAAAGAGTTGGATGAACGATGGGTTCCACTGCATGTTAGTGTGACAAAGACGTACAAAACTCAAGAACTGTTAGCATAGCTAGCCTTTTACGAAAAAGCCAGTCAAACTCTTTTAAATCACAAAAACTGACTTGCTCTCTGCTGTAACTATTTCCATGTGAACAACAGGTGGGAGAAGTCTTGTTGTCACCATGTGGTTGCCAGGCAACCAGCTGCACAGTCGAGCTGTGAGATGATAAATCAACTATTCAGCCCTAAAGGTACCTGAAGGACATTTCCCCTGGCTCTCAGTCTTAATGCTAAGCTATGCTAATCCCCTCCTGGCTTGTACTGGGTTAAATATTTTGACGTCATAGATATTTTTTTCACAAATATACTCTCAAGAAAGAAACCATGACTTTGAGGTGAGATTACTGCAGTAATGCTGCTCTGATTGATTATTTGCTGTCTGTCTGAACAGAGAGGCTCATAGCAAAGGACCCAGACTTACTTATCACCAGGCTTCTGTACTGTCTGGTCTACAAGGTGTTTTTGTGCCGCTTAGCTCAATATTTTATTCTTGGTATTAATGTGACTTTGTCTTATTTCCTGAAAAATAAATAAATAAATAAAAATAAAAATCTACACAGAAAATTAATTTCCATCTAGTGCACCATTTAGCAGGCATTTATTTACTTATTGTCAAAAGATGGGAAGGGTTTCCCAATAACTAACCATCCTTCTTTTTAAGTCTGGCTTTATTGTGTACTACTGTGGTGTCGAGCAGAAGGTCATGCTGTTGTTCTACCATGCTGTTCTGGAGAGTATTATAAGGTACGGAATCACAGCCTGGTACGGTAACTTGTCCAGCTGAAGACACAGTTAAACCGTCTGATACAACAGGCAATGAAAAAAATGAATGTTAAAAATCACGCTCCTCTCCAAACTATTTTTGAACAATCCATCATGACACAAGCACGGAAAATTCTGTCTGATCCAACTCATATTCTCCATGCAGAGTACCAGCTGCTTCCTTCTGGGAGGAGATTCAGAGTCCCCCGATGCAGGCTTAACCGTTTTAAAAAACTCCTTTATCCCAACATCTGTTGAGATCCTGAATGCGCAGATGTAGTTGCGACTTCTCTCTTAACTGACTTTTACACTGTCCTTTATTTATTCATTTATTCACTGGAACTGTGCAATAGGGCCGTTTGAATGTGATGGCGACAGGTTGTGACTGTGGTGTGTTTGTAAATGTTACTGTTCCTCTTACGACTGCAGAACCATCAGAGAGTCCATGTCAAATTTCAATAAGGAATATGAAATGAAATGAAATACTGACGGACTCATTGGGTGCTAATCTGATCCTAATCTGCAATGATTGAGAGAGAGAGGAGGGGGGGAGGAGAGATCATACTGGATTATAACTCTCCTTCTCTGATTAGATTTGATCAGTAACCTTATGCACCTTAATGGATTATGACTCCATTTGATATTTCTATTCCACCTGCTTTCAGACTATAGAAAGTTTATAAATGGGTGACTAGATCACACATAAATACCAGTGAGTGTGAGAGGGCCAGAGAGATAGGTTTAAATGAAGAGCGAGATCGCAAGAGACAAAACATATCCCATAACCTCAAGTTATTCGACTACTAATACAGCTTACATTTTTACAGCTTACAAATGTCACCTCCGACTTAACTAAAGTGATGTCCAAGTTACTTCTTTAATTAAATATCTGTCCTGGAAAGAAGTTCTGAATAAAAACATGGTTTGGGAAAAAAAGGTAGAAAAAGCTTTTATTTTGAAAATCAAATGTAGCCTAGACGATTGGTCTAAAATCAGGCTACCACAGGTCTAAAAATGAAAATTTTTTTAGACGTCTAAATTTAGACCAAGTTTAGACCAAGTCTAAATCTGGACTATATCTATACTACACTGTTTATTGCTCAACGGCTATCATAATTGTTTTGGTTAAGTACTTGGAGATCAGTTATGTAACTTTTGAAATAAACAGTTATTGAATAATGGATTAAAGTGCACCATCTCAATAAAAATATACAGAATCTAGACGGATGACATTAGGTCTAAAAAACAAACTAGCCGTCTAATAGACGACTATTGCTCAGTGAGGCAGTCCTCAGGTAGTACTGTTGTAGTACTGTGTTTTTTTTTGTTGACATGTGCACCAAGAGTCAAGCCAACATGCTTCCTGTGTGAAGCTCCAGTATAGGGCAGCTACTGTCTGCTGTGGAAACACAAGTAAGATAATAGTTAAAAACAAACCAGAATGCTCATCCACAAGTCAACTAGTTTAAGGCCACGTGTCAATGATGGGTCAGCACTGCCCTGAAGGTGTAGCAAAGAATAATGGCAGAAGAAGAGGATACATAAACACTCTTCATAAGGAGTGTGTCAAATAAACTTGAGAACAATCTTAAAACGATTGTTGAGCAGCTTGTTGTGTGTTCTTTTGTTGTCTCCTCAGAGTTTACAGGCTGGATCAGTTAGTGCACAACAGCAATTCTCAAGAAAACAGTAAAAGAGATTTATGATGTGTTTAGATGCCTCTTTGTAGCTGTAGCACTGAGGGAGTCGTAGAGCAAACTCTCCAACCCAGAAACTATTGCATTAAGGCAGCTGGCTCAAAATGATTCCTCCTGGCGATGGAGTGACAAAGAGTCCGATGGGTAATATGGAGGGGAAAGCTTGATTATAGTGTTAGATCATGTACCGTATGTGTGTACATGTTTGTGTTGACATTTTAACAACAGAGTAGGAGGACTCTGAATAGAAACAGTGGAGGAGGGCATCAATCTGTTTAATCTCTAGATAACCAGACAGGTAATCCCTGATCAGAGTGATCTGAGGTCTAGGTGCTACGGATAGCGGAATCCTTATAAGCAGCGTGTCTGTGAGAGTTTTGTGTATGTGTCGCAGTTTTATGCTTGAGTGTGTGTGTGTGTGTGTGTGTTTCTGTGTGGGTGACAGAGAGTGAGACGGCCCCACACTTTGTTATTAGAACCTCTTTGCAGGAAGTTAACAGCATGGAGGCCAATGAAGAAACAGCAGGATGTGGGATGTTGATTCAGTGATTGTCACATTAGCTGCAACATCATTAGTTGAATTCAGTGGTTACATAAAGCACTGCCTCTGCCGCAGTCAGATTGATGTTCTGTATCTTTTCACAATGACAAGTCTGCAGGATATTAAAAATCTGATCTTATGTTTTAAAGCTTCGCCAAACCTTTTGGATCTCTGAAATTACAGGGTCACACACAAATATAAACAAACTGATGAGGAACCATGTCAGAACTGACAGTCCTCAGGACTGTTTTGCTGTGACAGTAATATCTGCAGTGACTGAATAAAAAAAGGATGCAGCCTTGGTGACATCACTGACTTGTTTCTGAAGCATTTTATGGCAATCTACATACTGGAAACTTACAGTTATCTCCATAGATGTGTTAACCATACATACATGATGGTTTCAGTAAGGTCAGTTTGTAGTTACATTATATCCAAGTCAGTAAATAATTGTGAGTTTTCTTAAAAGTCACTCTTGGGTTAGGAGGAAAAGATGGCCACCGAGGCAGCAGAGGTGGTATCAAGGTGTCTGTGGGTCAGGAGAGGAGAACTGTGGGTGGGATAGAGCTGCCTGGACACAAGTCGAGACTTGTTTAACCCTGGATGGGTCTCCTGGGAGAGGGTGTCTGATTGTTGAAAGATCTGAAACATCCAATGACCCCAGGTTACATCACTGAAGATGTGCCTAGGAGCACTAAGTTTGTGTATGTTAAAGCCATAGACTGTATATAGAATGGACAGAGTCTGCCTCCTTGCTGGGTGAAGCCACTCTAAGAACAGCACCCTCTGTTGACGGGCTGCAGTATAGGTCTTCAATCCCGCCTCTGCCAGCAAAGCTTATCGAGCTGTGGACAAAATTTAGAAATGTATTACACCTGCTTGTGATGTTGGCATGTAGTTACAGTCAGACTGGTTTCTGCTCAACTCCTCTTTTTTCTGTGCAACTCCGTTTTTAAAAGTTATCAGGGGGTTCATGTTTTCTTTGATTGACACTTGATACAGCCTATGGGTGTTCAGGGATTGCGTAGCTCACCCGGGGGATATGCTGTTTGAGCCGAGCGTCATCACAGTGACTCTTGGTGATTCTTCCGCCGAATGCGCACAACGCTACTGCGCAATGCTGGTTTCAGGAAATGAAGAAAAATAGCGCAAATACTGAGAGCTTTTTGGCTTCAAATCCGTATACAGGCGAGAGGTGGAACCAAGTTGTCCATAGTATATACAGTCTATGTTTAAAGCTTAGCAGGTAGCAGTGACACCTATAAGTCTTAGCATTTCCATGATGCTGCATGATAACTAGCCCATATACTAGCCATATATAAGGTTGGTATCATAAAACCTCCAAACTCACATTTGTATTTTGCTTCTGTACAAATAACTCAAATAAGATAAAACCTGTTAACTTGTGAACTTTCAGATGGATTTATTTTATACCTCTAAATATAGTCAGGCTAGTTTCCCCATCATTCCAGTGTCATTCTAAGCATTGACTGTATGTCAGTAAACCCAGCGTGCCTCCATCTTCTCCCATTGTGAGATGTGAAGCCAAACTATGCATCAAGTTGCACTGGTGAAGCCAAGGCTTACACGGACGTAATATGACTGGTGGGACCACTGGGCTAATATCACTTCACTTCCTCTCACCAAAAAACTAATTCAACTTCCCAACAAAACACCAACAATCCCTACACGGTCAGTACAATCTACAGGAGATTGAGTTGATTTGAAGCACACAACTGCATCTGTCAGGATGGAATCAGTGGGCTTTATGACATGTACACATATGCTGCGAGCTTTTTGTGTTGCTGACTGTGAGTGTGAGAACAGTATGGATGCAGATGTTATAGTTTAACAAAACTTCAGACATATAAAAAGTCCTCATAGGCAGAAAAGGCTTTCGGTCTGCCCGGCTGAGACTTGACACCTGTCTGCTTATTGAATTCTGTATTGAATATATTACCTGTGGTTTTTATAGATATGATGTTTGGTGTGCATGAAACTCAGCCAACTGTACAATATCCTGAGGTAAGCTTTATATTTTTGAGTACACAAGGTTTTCATAAGAATAGCAGTTTGTTTCTTTGGTTCTGCCCTTGGAGCATTTAATGAAGCTACATTTGGCACAGAAAAGACATTATTGCCTCCGTGGGAGCACGACAGGGGCTGAGAAATGATGAGAGAGAAAAAAGAGACGAGAGGCAGACTGTGGATCTTTTCAGAAGACTGGTGGCTGGAAAAAAAGACCTTCTTCTATTTATCTCACTAAACTTTCCCCATAAATGACTATTTGAGTAACTGATTAAATCCTTTAAAGGGAACATCACATTTTAGGTCCCTACATGGAAATTCTGAATAAGCTCTGAACAGATGTTAATTTTTACAGATATTCCAGGGTGTCGTGTGGCAAACGATTTGTTGAAAGACTCCAGTAGTTTTAAAAAGTGATCAAGCTACCTAAAGGTTAGCATTATTAGCAAATGTCCAAACCCTGTTAATAGGGTGAAGAAGAGGCTGATAATTTGCTGCTGAAAGGTTTCAGGCATTGTGTTTCATTGTGAGATCTACCCACAACAGGTGGTTCAGCTCTGTTATGATAATCGTACTCAATTACTGCGCATGGCTCTGTTGCTGTAAGTCATTTTCTGTTTTCTTTTGTTTTAAAGGCCTTCGTATGGTGTGTATACTCCCCTTTACACCCACGGGAATCCAGTTTATAGATTTTTTTTATATGAGCTTTCCTTGAAAGTCTCACATACACACATGAATCAGATCTGCTCTCTGTTGTATTTCTTTATGATGGTAATTATCACCCAGTGGGACTTGGGATCAGTGAGCAGCCTTCGGTTCACCACAGCAGAGCAAAGGTAGAGGCACATCATACAGTAGCTTCTGTTAAGATCTTTGTGCTAAAATTCCCACTGAGGCTTGTTTGTTCTGTCTTTTAAAACAGCATAGCACATATAGGTTGAAGGGCAAGGATGAGAATGACACAAAACATGCACACACCGTAGCCGATGATTGATTTTACCTGCAACAGTAGATCATATCATCATCAGTGGCATTTCACTTATTTTCTGTACAAAATCGATAACATTTAGCTTTCTTGTAACCTACACAAGTAATATTTTGTGTTGATTCAGTTTGATACATGCACTCTACCGTCAAACAACTGTTTTTATGCAAATCAAGTTAAACCGAAGGAAGAACAACCCAACATTTTTGTTGTTCTATAACAATTTTGTCATTAAGAAGACACAGGATATACACAATCGCCAGTCACCTGTTACAATAAGTATTTTTTTCCTAATATCATATCTAAAATCTAAGCCCTTTCACAAGTTAAAAAAGCCGATTCATGAACCTGAATTTACAAAATCCATTTTTAGATTTTTAACACTTTTTAAGAACCTGTGAAATAACAAAAGCCAGACTTGTACTTTGAAGAACCACTTAAGAGCCAAATGACTTCATTCAGGAAAAAAAAGCCTGAATATCCTGTTTAGCGACGTTTAGCTTTATATGGTTACTAGTTTTTATTTTGTATTTCTATTTTCTTGATCAGTCTGAGTAGATTTCAGTGGACTCTGCTCTCATTGGCTCTTTCCGACAGTGACGACTTTCGATTGGTTTAGTGAAATAAGTCCCGCCTCCCCATTAGGAAATAGAGAAGCCCAGAAGAAACGACGATCTTCTGCAGACCGAAATGCTTTTAAATAAAGGATAGGTTTGTTTTAAAGAAAAGCACTCATTCAGATAACTCTGTAGTAAAATGGAAGAGACGGTTCTTGGACCTGTGCGACAGGAGTGTGACGACTGGTGAGTTTAAGCGTCATTAAATTGGACTTGGAGTGTTTGTTTTGGTACTAAAAACTAAATATAGTAGCTATTAGATCATCAAACAAAGGTATTTTATTTAAAAGATTTATTTATTGTGAGATAATTGTGAAGTAATATTGAAAATCAAACATATAAACATATTACAAATTAAAAACTTGCCCCTTTCAGTCCTGCAAACTACATGCAGTGTAATGTGAGGAGCAACCTTGGTAGAATTAAAAGGCCTCTACACTCTTGATTTGTTTTTTATTTGTTCCCATTTAGACACAAATATTACTCTTCTATGGTGTCTTGGCCAAACAACAGCATAAAAGTGTCACTTAAAGAGCAAGCCAAACAACAAACATAAGGTAATCATTTGCCTATATCAGTCAATCTATGATCAGCCTGGTCGGGTTATGCATGATCCCAGTTGAAAATCCCCAATACTAATGAAATGATCCAGTCTTTTGTGACCTTGTAGCTCAAGCCAGGATGATGGAGTGGAAACATCAAACATTTTTTAGAGAGGACAGAGCAATTGTGAGGAATAATTTACAAAGTTTGGCCATGAGACCGAAGGTTACAGTCAATGACAGTTTAAAGAGACAACAACGCTCAATTCTATTGTCATGCAAGGAAGACAGACCTACTCACTCATACAAGACGCAGTGATGTGTGCGAAAACCCTAGATTAGAGACAAATCACGATGCAGCGTGGTGTGCACAGTCCAATGTTTTCAGAGAGGATGAGGTTGCAGGCATATAAAGAACATCATTGTAGTCTTTTATAGATGAAAAGGTTGCTTGGGTGACACTTGTCTTAGCAACAACAGAAAAACAGCATTTATTTTGATAGAAGAAATCCAATTTTACCAGTCACTTTTGACAAAAAAAAGAGAAAAAGAAAAAGAGAAAACCAAGAAAACTCATCAGTGTGTGGGGACACATTCGATCACCTCATTATGAAAAGAAAAAACACGTCAATTATCTTAAACTGTCTTTCACTGATGATGACAAATCATCTTATTCTTAGTCTCAGCCTTAGTTTACAAAGATTTGCACGATGTGTTTTTTTAATAAATTAAAGTAGAGGAAAGACAAAAGAGCAGGACTACCTGTTTTTCTGTTCTGTCCTGTTAAACATGAGCTGAATACAATATATTACAAGTGCTTTATCTGAGACAGTAGTTTCTTAATTATTTAAACAACCCATCAGTGTTGTTAGTCTGATTTCACCCAAGTGGGCCTCAAACCTTCCACACTTTCCACATTTTTCCCTCTTTCTGCCCATCGAAGTAAACAACATCAAAGCAGTAAATTGCTTGATGCTCTGGCAAGGCTGAGAGTGAGAGTCAAAAAAAACAAGGTCCATCTGTAGTACGGCACAACACAATTTGGCCTCTCATCAGTGCAGATACCAAAGCAGACAGCAGTGTTACATCATTAGTGGTTATTTCAGTCCCTAATCATCAGTGGATCTCAACTGTGACTCTGTCATCTCTGTTTTTAAATATTTATTACACATGAGTATTTCTGGATCACCCAGCCATCGTTTGCTTAATGAATCTATTACCACGAAGTCCAATTTCATCTTTAATGCTTTAATCTTCCACCAAAAAAAAATGATCACTCAGAGATGCCATGAACCTGAGGCTGTGTGCATGTTTTTTTGGTCGTTTTTTTTTTAACTTGTAGAAGTTCAGCCTCTGTTGGACGGAGGAAAAGTAGTCAGACGTTTGGTTTCACAGCAAGCAGTTTCAAATGACTGACCCAAAATTGGTTCAGAATAATAAAATTTGCTGCCCTGTATTGTGCCCATGTCTCACTCAGTGATGGTGAAACACAATCCTTTTGTGCCACGCTGTCAGAATCACAGTCTCATTTTCCATAATAGCTGTTCCTCAGGGTAGATAGGGGGAAAAATGTTCCAGGTGAGTGTTAAATTGATTGTTAAAGAGTCAGAGAGCGAAGAAGACTCTGTGCCTTTTTGTCTTTTTATTTCTTTTGCTGTTCCTCTCTCTCTTTATTTGTTGAAATGAAATTTCTCACAGTACAGTGAAGGCCCTGAGGCATGGGAAGACATGGAACATTGGAAAGGGTTTGAGGGAGAGCAAGCCGCCAGTCCTGAATGATACTAGGGAGCGAGGAAGCGTCTTGTTAGTCTAATGAGGACACAGAACGGTGTTGCAGTGTAATTCTTCACCAAGCGTTGTGAATGTTTATAATGCCATGAGGTCCAGTGTGATGCAAATGTTCTGTAAAGAATGCTGTACCATTAAAATTTAAACGACTGCCTGAGGGCAAGTAGGTCACTGCTGCATCAAATAGTTATAGCGCACAGTAGGGGTGAAGCACAGTATAAATAAAAAAGCAGGATGAATACAGTGTAGATGTCAGATTTAAGTTATTGAAACATATTATTGATGATTGAAGCACAAGTAAGAGAACAGAAATAGATGGGACGACTGGATTCGACGATCAGTGAATGATGTGTGTAGTACCAAACAAAGTTACATTTACAGTTAGAAAAGTCAGAATCACCTGAACTTGTGTGCATTGGGCATGTTTTTAAATAAAAATCAAACATTGTTGTCAGTCAGACCTTATTCCCCTGTTTCTATAGACCAGGGGTCGGCAACCTTAAACACTCAAAGAGCCACTTGGACCAGTTTCCCACAGAAAAGAAAACACAGGGAGCCACAAAACCTCTTTGACATCTAAAATGAAGATAACATTGCATATATCTTTTTTTTTACCTTTATACAAAGTATATAAAAAACTGTAGCGAGTTGCATTTATGAAATAAATGAACTATTTCGGCGAGTGTCTGTCTTCTTCTGTAGTTAAACCGCAAGATATCAAAATCTACCCGGATACAGCAATGCTGCTTTTTGATTGGCTGTTCAGTAGATATACTTTATTTGATTGGCTTGTGCGTGGCACGCAGCTTCTGAACTCTCGGAGGAACTCAGTTGATTTCCCCCAGTTCCAAAGTTGAAGAAGTGCAAATTGGTGGACATCACCGTGTCCATTTAAATGCGTGAGAAATACAATGTGTGGTGTGTGAGCGTGTGAACGAGTGGGAGACTTGAGAGCCCTGTGCTCACGCATCATCGATGTACTCCCGAGCCATGCAAAACGGTCTTTGCAAATGTTGCACTGAACGCCTTCCTTTTCAGTCTTGGTGAAGTTTTCCCACACCACTGATGTTTTAGGTCGGGATTTGGGTTGGGTTGTGTCCATGTTTTTCTCAGCTGCTGCCTCGGCCATGGCTGTTTCTTTTCTGTGCGTCCTGCTGATGTTTACACGCCGGTGTCCATGGACATATATAAAGACCCGACGAATCGATTACAGAATTTGTTGGCAACGGATTTTTTCGTCACGACGAATCTACTTAATCGATTCGTTGTTGCAGCCTTAATAGTTTATTTAATGTTACAAGAGCATTATAATCTTTGAATTTAGAATTACAAAAAAAAATTAATAATAAAATAAAATAAAATGCAATTAAGTATTTATTATTTATTTTCCAAATCCATTGGGAGCCGCAGCTTAGGGAAGAAAGAGCCGCATGCGGCTCCAGAGCCGCGGGTTGCCGACCCCTGCTATAGACCTAGGCTCAGTTAATATAGACTCTCAGGACCAACATACGATGGAAAGACCAGGCAGAGGCGATCAGCAAATATACTTGTGTGCACAGCGCTCACTTCATACATTGTGTATTTATTGTAGAATGAATGGGGGACATGCATGTTTTGAGTTATCACAACCCTCTGAATAGAAATAGAAGGGTGCATCAAGAGAATTATGAGATATCGCTCATCAGGGTTAATTTATTCATGTAACACTCTCCGTCCCTGACAGTAAGTGACCTTAAGTATTCAGACAGACCTGTGTCATCTTCTGCTTGTAAACATGTCTGAAGGCTTTGTTTTTTGGCCACTCACCAAAAGGGTAATTCTGTTTACTGACACTCAAGGGGTCTTCATTACAAAATATGTATGGACAAGTGTACAGAGTGCTCTTTAACACAGCGTTACTTTTGAGTACGACCGCAGGCTTGCCCAGTAAATAATTAATGTTTTATGCAGATGCAGATTGTGTGTCTGCATAACATCATATCCAATGGGAAATAAACTACTTTAATATCAACAACCTGGAAAAGTTATTTATATTGAAACTGAAAACGGCGTGCTTACATCGTGCCTTGGAAAAGTATTATTTATTTGCCATTTATTTTGCCTACATTTGTGGACCATAATTGAACATCAGTTAAGAAAAAGCCAAAGGATTAACTCCACGCACTGAAGCCAGACTCCGCCTCTGCAGTCCTCAGTGATGACGTTAGTTACCGAGCTACATTTGATCTGCACAGTTCCTTTCTACTTTTGGGGAAGTTTTAGGTCTACCTCTTTGCGGAAAACCCAGTCTCAGGAAGTAGTTTGGTGCATAGGATGGTAATGGGGACAGTGGTACTGATCATGAGGATGAGGATGTATACAGTAGGTTTCAAGATTATGATGATTATGTTGCTACTGTTGCTTTGGTGATGCACAACTTTGAATACTGCATGTTAGCACCAGTGCCTGATTGGACTCAAAGTATTTAGGAGCACATTATGTTCCCCTCTATCTAGATCTGTGCTTGTGTTGCACTTGATCTAGATCAGCTGGACAAAAGCGTCTTCTAAATAAAGTTCTTACATGGTAACATATTACTACAATTGGGCTTAAAAACACAATATTTATACTGCTAAACTAGCTAAAACTTTCAACTTAGTAACATGTCAAGAGCAGTTATGCCAATTCTAGTCTTTTACACAGGTTGATAAACAGTATCGTAAATCCCGACATGCTGTATAATATGCGTGGTAAATTTCTGCTCCTAAACCAAAGTAAAACTTAAGGTTTATTTGAATAAGATGCTGAAATGATCCATCAGAAAACCTCTGCACTGGCACAGTTTCCTACTTATCGCTTCATTCATGTCCAAAATTACAGGAAGGATCAATAAAGCCATTAAATGAAAAGAGGCAGCGCTGGAAAGCAGAAAATGGAAGTGCAAAACACACTGGAAGTGTGAGATATTGCGTTGCCATGGAAACGTTATCTTGTTAGATGCTGACACAATTTAGAAACATGTACTCAGTTAAGAAATATTATGTAACTGCTCCCTGGCTCTCCGTCCTCCCCTGTCTCTCCTTCTCCCTGTCAGAGGCTGTTAGAGTGCAGATTACTGTTGATGTAATAAAATCCAGGCAGCTAGTGAGTCGTAATGACGGATACATAAAATGCAGGATAGGAGGACGAGGATGGAGTTAGAGGAGGATCTTTGTGTGTTTGTGTCTGTGTGTTAATGTGTGTGTATGTGTGCTCCAATAACCTTGGTGACTTGGTACCCAACCCGTCCCCACTGCAGAGGCCGTGGCCTGTTCATCCTCCTGCGGGGATAAACGTCTCTCCTTTTGACTCTGCTTGGTTGACTGAGTCCTCAGTGAGAGAGACACAAAGAGATGAAGGGTATGAAGGGATATGGGGATGGAGGAAGAAGAGGAGGAGGAGTGGGTTTCGAAAACAAGAGGAGTGAGGGTGCTGGTTGAGCGGGGCAGAGGAGGCGGAGTGGGATGGTAGGTGAAGTGTAAAGAGAAGAGGAGGAGGAAAAAAAAAAAGGTTGTGTGATGAGAAGAGAGGAGGAGAGAGAAAGTCCACGCAGAGCTCAGTCTTCTGCTGACTAAGAATAGCAGCTCTTCTGGTAACCCAGTGCCCCAGGACATGACCATTTGAATAAAAGCCTCTATCACTTCACATAATGCCTGGTCTGTGTGCATGTAGGTGTGTGCCTGTGTGCGCTTGCATGTGTTGGCATGTGTGGGGAAGTATTTGAAAGGCAGATACTCAGGGAAGTTCGTCCGAATAATAAGAGAGACAGACAGGAAACGAGAGAGAGAGAGAGAGAGAGAGGAAGGGAGCAGGCTAATTGATGGTGATGATAATAGGCTGGTGGAGCACAGAGGCACAGACCAGACTTGATGTTTTATTGCAGCAAGCAAATAACTCTATCATGTGTGTCGAGCCACCCACCCTCCCTCGTTTTGTCTCCCTCCCTGTCTGTCCATCTCTGCTCTACTCTGCTCTGCCTGCTCCGTGAAAAGTCTGCAGGCCTTAATATAGGATAAACCCGGGCAAGAAAAGAGCGTGAAATTCAACCGTAGTTGAAAGCAATGTTTCCATATGTCTGTGCCATATGTCCTAACATACTTCCAACTGTGTGTGGGATCTTCAGGGGAGCAATGAAAACATCTCGTGCTGTAAAGCGAGACTTTTTGCACAAGTTAGTTGTGGTGTTGTTAATGTGTTTGGTCTCAAGAGCACAAATATAAACAGCATTTTTTCCTGTCTTTATTTTTCTCCAATCAGCACTACTTCCTCGTTGTGTTTGGCCACGATGGACAGAAGCCTCTGGAGCTGCGGACGGATGAGGAGATCGAGTGCGACGAATGGTTGGAGGCCATTCAGCAGGCGAGGTACACAAGAAGCATGATCCAAACTAAAGTGTGGCTTCACTTTGATGTTTGTGTGGCAGGAAAATTACACCAAACAGTAGTATTAAGATTTTAATGAACTTGGTAGATTTACTGAACTTTGGTTATTTAACCTTCTGTGCCCACCGATCAAAAAACTGTTGGATTCTCTAAACCAAGTTTTAAGGTACACTTACACAACTGAGAGGATGTGATGTAACCCTGCACAGTTTTTTGAAAGTTGAAGTAGTCCACGGCAACAGCAGCAACTTTAAAAAGGTTGTGCTTGTTGGTATGTTTTAGTAATTTCAGAGATGTTAGACATGATGTAGCTCCTGGTAACTAATTAATTTTATTATTGCTAGATTAATCATTTGTGTGATACAAATTAGCCTTAGGAGAAGCTTATTTTGCTTGTAATAAACAGTTGGTGCCATTTATACTCATTAGTTGCTCCATGTATCAGTATTTGCATTTATGTAAATCCTACTGATACTCAGAACTGCAGACTAGCTAATAACAAGTAACTCAGGTCAGGTCATTTTTGTTTATGCAGCCCAGAACAACCTTCATAAAGAGAGCACAGGTGTCACTACCAAGCTATGTTTTCACATTTCCTCCGTGACTCATCTCAGAGTGATCTTATAAAGGTTCATGTGATGACATTAATGTGAAAGGGTGCTTCACATGTTACCTCAGTCTGATAAAGAGCAAGTCTAAATGTTACCGTGGTGAACTGAGCTGTCCTAATTTTAGAGCCCAGCAGCGAGCCCTTAACTTTTATCCAAAAACGACATATCTAAATTTGTCTAATTTGTACAACATATTGCAATCTGTATCTTTTAGACTTCTGTTGAAGAAAAGGGGTCTCCATCCCTGAAAACCCCTTAATAGTGAAGTGAATCCTCCAAAATAGCAACAAAGGAGGCCACAGGCAGAGGCTTTGTCTACAAAGCTGACCAACAAAGTCCAGCATGATTATGGTGTTGCAAGTATAGACACATATGCAGACAATCGTAGAGGGCCACCTTCAAGTTGTCAAAATTTTTGATCCTTCTATTATTTTTAAAACCACATGCTTTTAAAAAATGTTCCCTCTTTTATTTTTACGTTTGATAGCTCGTATACGCTGAAGCTTGGGAAAAGCACAGATCTACAGTCAAAACTTCACGCTGCCACAAATGAAAGAGATATAGAAAGCAAGCAGCGCTAAAGGATCAGTGAGTGATGGGAAAGGAAACCAAATCAAAGAGGTTACTTTTTGACTGTTTCACAGCGGGCACACCGTAAAAAAACTTTCAAACACTTCCTCATTAAAGGCAGATGTTGTGCGTCTGCTGCTGAAATCATGTTCCTTCCTACCTGCTGTGTGTCTCTCTGCTCCACCCTCTGTCACTGCTAAGACACTGTCAGCTCTTCTCAATCACAAGTCGGCAAATGCTGATGTTTAGTCATGTTCCTTTTGCCGTCTCAATTAGACTCACATGTTAAGTTTATAGCATGTTATGCTATTTCAGACAAACAGACAGAGAGAGGAGGAGAGGGACAAGGATATCACCTCTTTAAAAGTATCTTCCAATGACTTTTAAACAACGTTTGTTGCAGGCTGAAATACAACAATATATGACTACCAAATATTCTTTTCAGTGGAAGTGTTTGATTTCCTCTTTAATAGCTTATTCAAGTTCAAAATTCTGGTATAGTGACAATTTTAGATCACCCACAGAGGTCCTATCATGTCCAATATAAACTGTCTGGTCTGTGAGGATACTTTGTGTGCCTCTCGCTGTCTGCATGCAGCAAGGCGGGGGAAAATCTGAACCTTCATTGTTACATGAAAGTTGAAGACCTGATGTGAAACCTAAAATAGCTCTGTAAAGCTTCAGTCCAATTAAAGGAAAAAAAAAACACCTGTGAGGGAGTGCATTACCATTTAACTGAACAGGACTTTTCTCCAAAGAGGACATTTTGACATTTAACAGCAGGCATAGTTCAGCACTTTGAATAATAGTATTAATGATGGCTGCATGACTTCCATTTGGCTGCATCACTTTCAGAGTCCCGCTATTGTTCGTTCTAGCTCACACTCACACTGTCAGGGCTCATTGGGAACAAAGCTGGCAATAATGTTCATAATAAAGCTGCACTTGTACTTGATCCTGACACGAGCCGAAACGTTTGTAGTTTGAGCCCAAAAAGTAAAGTAACCAATAATCTTCAAAAAAACTCATAATCTGGAATATTTTTTCTTTAAACTGAAAATATAACAAGTAAACAACAAAATCTCGGTTTGATTATTTCATGGGGATTATGCTTCAACTATTTGTATGTATAACCTACTTCATCCAGACGACTAGGGTACTTTCAGTCGGATCGGATTGCAAATAGCGAACTAGAAAATCCCACAAGACATTTTGTTTTAATCTAAATCTTGTTAAACACTGCAGGGTCTTTTGAAATTGCCTGAGACATCTGATGCCACCTTTTATATCAGCAAGGCACCATAAATATCTTGTAAAATAACCAGAATGTTCAAACGGTGGCAGGGGATTTTGTGCTCGTCAAGGAGCCTGTTGCTCACAGTGAGGGGTTTGCCCGTTGGCATATTCAGGGGCTTTACGATTTTCAAAGCCTCACACAGGGAAGATCATTTGAATCATTCCTGAGTATTCATTTTAATGGGCATTCAAAAAACTGTGTTTTTGTTTTTGCTTCATTTCCTGGCGTAAAAAAAAGATTCAAATATATAAATATTTTTGCAAAGGTTGCAATTAAGACATGCTCATGATACAGTGTGTGTTTTTTATCTAAGAGATATCTCTGTATTGACTTCTGGATTTGTCTTAATTTTCAGTTACTCCGACATAATCATTGAACGAGAGGTCCTGATGCAGAAATACATCCACCTCGTGCAGATCGTGGAGACAGAAAAGGTGGCTGCCAATCAACTGCGTACTCAGCTAGAAGATCAGGACACAGAAATCGAGAGGCTCAAAGCAGAGGTACAGCATGCATGTTTACGCACACAAACAAGCCCACGCACACACGCACACACGCACACACACACACACAAAGAGAACAGTCTTCAAGATCTCCATCATATCAAACCCATTTTCCTGTCTTTTATAGCCAGCTTATTTTCAGCAATAGCCGTTTAATGTCTCTGCATTTGCTGAATGCCTCTTTTGTGTGGGCTTGAAATTGCATAACCACAGGAAACAATGCACATGTATACTAAACAGGATGGGTAAAACAAAAGCATTTAAATGTGTGTGTTTCATGTAACGCAACAGACAAAGGCCTGTCACCAGCACAGGAAGAGTAAGTGAAGTTGTTGATGACTCGATTCTGCTTCTAAACCAGACTTTTACATCCTCCAAAGGTCGTAACATTTTTTATTTTATGAAACTCTGAAATAAGTTTTATTAAAATGCCCTCAGTGCACATGAGCAACACAAGTGTTGTGCAACTTATTTAATAACAGAGCAATTTTAGATGATTTTATAGACAGAAAAATAGGAAACCTGGAAGGTTATAATCTTTATCTAATGTTGAAGTATCTCAAAAGTAATTTGATCCAGAATCAGAAATATTCTGTGGGGTGTTGCGCTGGCAAACAAATATATTAAGAATATGTCCTTTCTTATTCCCAGCCCATATTTTAAGACATCAACGAGTGGTCCTGCCTTTATAGTCAGGGCTGAGCATGCTCAGTCTTCTCCTCACTGTCTGTGTATACTCTTATTTTCACCACATGCAAAGCCCATTCTACACCATAGTTATGATTTTGTTGTAAAGATTACTTTGGGGGCTTTTAAAACCCTCATTTAGTAGATAGTAGAACGGATAGATAGACAGTAACTGTGGAGAAAAGCTGTCACAATGAGCATTTTTGTCCTCATTTTCCTCCCTGAACTACACAGTTTACTAAAATAATAATAGTTTAAAGATATCCTGACATACATGTGTCTCAACACTGAAATCCCAGTCAGTACTTATTAGGTTAGACGTTTGGGAAGTTGATATATTGATGACAGTGTTGCAATGTGACAATTTGATTTACAGATGCTTGTGTCCACCGCGTCGTACATCTGAAAGTCAGCAAAGATTACAACACAAGCAAAGATCTAGACAGAAGGAACCAACATGAGCAGGACCACAAACTGCTTCAAGTCCATAACTATGCATTTTTTAAAAATTGTTTATTTTGTATTATGAACCATAACTACATATCAGATATGCTACCATGGGTTGTTTACCTCAGTCTCTTTTTGCTGTCGTCTTCTTTGTTGCCACTTTTTAATTGTCTTTTTCTGTCTTTTGTCAGTTCCTTAAACGGCACAATAATGCTGGATCATAGTGCATTATATTCAAGTCAGGACATATATTCACTGTGCTTGAGTTAAATAAAATCTTCAGAGTATATTAGATTCGAGTAGATTAGACAAACTTTATTTATCCTTTTGGGAAGGTTCCCTCAAGGGCATCTTTATTTAAAATCCTTAGGCAGCTTGCTGACTGTTTCCATCTTATTCTTAAAAACTGTTTTCGCTGTCGGGCTGCTCAACTCTGAAAAATCCACGGTACATTATGATCCACTTAAGTGTCTTTTATAAATTAATCTTCATAGAAAAGAGTTAATTTTTCACATTTGTCATTTTTATTATCTTGTATATGTTTGTTTCAAGCCATTTCCCCATGTTATGCTCTTTATGTCTTTCTGTAATACGCAAACACAGGTATGTTTTTCTTTTGTTTTGTAGGTTTCGGAAGACACACTGTTATACTAAGAGTGTAATGTGTTTATTTTGTAGCATCCTTAGATTATACACACAAACCTTTGCATCAGTCACTCACTCTGTCGGTCATGCCCACACATCTCTCTGGTTACTCTTCAGCCATGAATCATTAGAAAATGAGCCCATAAGAAAGACATGTAAACCACACCTCTGTGAAGTATATGCATTTACTTATTTCCTCATAAGTTGGAAAACCAAACGAACAGCTGGTAGATGTTTATGCTCATCAAGTGCAACACCTTTCTGTTCTGCTGTCACAGCACGTTAAATCAGACTCACGCACTAACGCACGTGCTATGACTGACCCTGACAACACCGTTTATCAGAGCCAGTTACTTGTGAGTAATGTAATGACAGAGTTAAAATGTTATCAGACAATTAATGTGTAACACCACACAGATCAATGAAAGAGGAGTTTGAGAGAAAAGGTTAAGAACTAATTACACATTTAAAGAATAAGTAGAGGTTCAAAAATGTTGTAAATAAAGTTATTATTATTGTTATTATTGTTTAATGTAGTTTCCAATCCAGTCTCGGCTCATCAGTGTCAATAATCACTCACACATATTTTGCTTTTATAGCCCAGTTCAATCCTCAAAAAGAAGCAGCGCTGCTTTTAATGGATAAGCTTCTGATACTGCTTTTCATTCTCCCTCGGAGCAACAAGTGTGTGTGTATTTGTATGTGTGTGTGTTTGTGGGGGGGACTGCTCTCCTCTACACACTGTGATTTTATCTCATTGGCAGAATATAGTGAGCCCTGTTGATAATGAAAATGCAAACCAAAGGCATTTTATATTAGGAAACATCTGCCTGTGTAATGAGGCTGCTCATGAAAAAGGGATTAGTCTTTGAGAGCCAGTGTGCAGTTGGTGATCCATCTCATTAAAGCCATACTCTTGTTTGTTTGTTTTTGTGTGTGTTGCTTTCTGTTGATGAATAATTAAACCAACTAGCCACTGTAACTGTCAGCAGTTGGCAGACTGGCTCCTCTCCTCCTGCCGTTTGCATGATGCTGCAAGTGAAAACCAAAATGAAGATGAGAGTGTGGGGCTGAAAATGGCTTTGGTTTCGCCTGTTATGCTTTTTCTCCCTCTGGGATAAAATGTTGTTGTCAAGAGGCCTGAAGGTAATATAGTAAAAGAGCTGGCTGTATTTCTTCACAGAGGATGTTGCTGCCAAGGAAAAGCTTTTACCAGCTCTCTGCATTTGACATCAGTCATCTTTGTTGTTTAGAGAGAAGTGGTCATATCTATTATTAGGTTTACAATGTGAAATGTGATTTTTTTTTTCCACAGCCTAAGAACTCTGAAGTTTGGCATGTACCCACCTTTGTAATGTCTCTTATGTCCTCATCAGGTTTTCAATCTGAAAGATCGCTTTAACTTTTTTGTGGGTATCTGGCTCGTTTTACCAGCAGGGAATCTTAAAGTCTGACGTCTAGTCTGACTCTGCTGTTTGAAAAGAGTATTTCATCGCTGCGAAATGATACAAGAGCTGTCATACATAACAGGTTTTACCTCTGATTTGTCACGGATTGATTTCTGCTAGAAATAGAGTAGACTCTGCTGCAGAGGGTTATATCAGTGCGTCCTGTCCTCTACAATGCACTTGAGGTGTTCAGGCACATACACGCCTAATTTCATTTGCTAACTGTCACCTGCTGATAACATAGCCCTCCCCCCTCCTGTCAGCCTCTCTTTCTGAATGAGCACATCATATTGTCAAAGGTGAGGAAGTCTGATGTGTATCGGCTCCTAACACACCAACGGTTCACTGCAGATACAATGCATGACTATCACTGAGACAGTATTCAAATAAATGACTGATTGTCCCTTTAGGAATACATTATATCCTCATTATTTTATTGCTTTCTGCTTGATCTAAACAGACCATTTTATTTAAGAGGATTTAATCCGATAAAATGTTCTTTTCCTTACTAACTTTGTGTTTATTATGTGTGTCTGAATGTCTCTTTGAAGATTGTAGCCCTGAACAAAACTAAGGAGCGAATGCGGCCTTACCACGTCCACCATGAAAATGAAGACCCAGATATCAAGAAGATCAAAAAGGTAAACATTTTTCCAGCAGAACTGTGTTTTCTCTGCTTTCCATCTGCGTTGTGTATCGACATGTTTAATTCACAGTGTGTGTGTGTGTTTTATGCGTACATGTGTGTGTAAGCCTCCTTGCTTGTTTCCCCTCAGGTGCAGAGCTTCATGCGAGGCTGGCTCTGTCGGAGGAAGTGGAAGATCATCGTTCAGGACTACATCTGCTCCCCTCACGCTGAGAGCATGAGGAAGAGGAACCAGATTGTCTTCAACATGGTGGAGGCAGAGACAGAGTATGTAAATATATTGTGCCCACACTAACATCATATACTGTAAAGCCTTGCTCTGCAGGATAAGAATCTAAATTACAGTAGATAAGGCTCACGAAAGGATACTCTCACTGCTGTGCGCTACTGTGGACACAGGGTTTTGTGATGTGATAACTAAAGCTGTAAGAAGATTAATTAGACACCCCCTCAAGAGATGGATGTTGCCGACCGCTTGCTTTTTTAGTTATACCAACTTTAGTAACAACCGCACGATAGCAATACACAGCAGTCTGAGGAGCCACACAGAAACAGCTCAAGGAAGAACATTAATGATCATTTTTTATCATTTCCTTGAAGCAATAATCATCATATTAATCATTTTGCACTGCAGACACGGTAGTTCTTCTGCCTTAGCGTCTTAGTCTGATTGCATTTCCATGAAGAAATTATCATAAATGTTCTTCCTTGAGCTGCGTCACCCCACTGCAATCCGTAATGGACTAGTCTGAGCTCTCCCTACAAATAAGCAATGATGGAAGAGAGTAGGTGAGTTGTGTTTAGTCTCTTTGCTGAAGAAATTAGGCAAAGTTAAAAAGATGTTTGGTGGCTAGTTCAATAGATAGATAGATAGATAGATAGATAGATAGATAGATAGATAGATAGATAGATAGATAGATAGATAGATAGATAGATAGATAGATAGATAGATAGATAGATAGATAGATAGATAGATAGATAGATAGATAGATAGATAGATAGATAGACTTAATTGATCCCAAACTGGCGCATGGCTTTGTGTATTGCTATCCTGCTGTCGTTACTAAAGTTGGTATAACTACAGAAGCAAGCGGTCCACAACATTCATCTCTCGACGGGGTGTCTAACTCGGTGTTACAGTGTGTTTGACCCTAAATTAATTTTACGCCGGAATATCCCTTTAAACATGAAAAAAGATGCTACCTTGAGCTAAATGATTCTGTCAAAAAGCAGTACACTTGACTTTATATCTGTGCTTGTGATATTTGAGAAATTCAGAGCTGACTCTTGGGATGCAGCGTGGCGTTATGTTTCAGAAAAGACTGCTCTGTATTTCTGTGCCTATGATCACGCTCATGTTTGATGGCAGGTACGTGCACCAGCTCTACATCCTGGTGAACTGTTTCCTCAGACCCTTGAGGATGGCTGCCAGCTCCAAAAAACCTCCAATCAGCCACGACGACGTCAGCAGCATCTTCCTCAACAGGTGCTTACGTCTGTGTCAATGTGCTCATGCAGGATTAACTGACATTTGTCAACCAGATCCTTCCTTTTAGAGGGCGCCATTCAAGGCTTATTTATGCAGGGGGCGGGGGCAGAGACACACACGGGTGATTTAAGGAAAAATAAATAAACCTCTTTTGTCATTTGTTTTAACACTGTGTTTACGATGTGCTTTCAGTGAGACCATTATGTTCCTGCATGAGATCTTCCATCAAGGCTTGAAGGCGAGGATAGCCAACTGGCCAACTTTGGTGCTGGGTAAGCCGTTACCTAACCACACACACAGATAAAAGTTGTGTGTGCGTATGCTCTGCAGCCACTCAGTGAAATCAAGGTCATGTTTTCAGTCATCCTCTACTTCCACTCATTCAAACCTCAGTCTTGACGTCTCACTGTCCCGTTCACACACATGCACGTTCACTCACATACACACACAGACTCATTTCCCTATCTCAGTCTGCACTGAGCATACTCATTGTCTTGACAGACAATGACCACACAGAGCAGAAGGCCTCCCACAAATCCCCCTCCTAAAACAGAAACCTCCTCGGCAGATAAGCATCACCTAGGAAACAGACTGCTGAAAGACACGACAGCAAATTACTTGTGACAAATTCAAATAAAAAAGGATTGACTGATTAGACGTCATCCTTATCTGTGTCTCTGCTTCAGGCTGATGCTGAATGTAGACTTTCCTCCAACGATATGCTTTGTAGCAGATCAGCTCTCAGCGCCACATGCTTTCCACCCTAAACAAACTATGACTGACCATCTGTGACCTGTCTGTGGTCAACAAATTTGCTTTTTCTTTCCTGGTAAGAGAAACTAAAATATCACGTCAAAACAGGGGAGAACAGGGAACATCTGCATTTAATTTTTAAATGAGGTTATACTCTGTCTTTGAGCTGATGTTTTCTTGTATTAAAGGCTAAGATGATGTCTAGAAAGAGGCAGTTTGATCACTAAACAAGCGATACCACACACAGTGATTCAAGCTGGATTTAAAGAACTAGCTGTGAGACTTCTAAAATGATCAGTCTTTCCCTCCTGTGTACGCATTAATGAAAATATACTTACGTCAGTTCGATCATTAATTCTTGTCTTTGCTTTTATCACTAGGAAAGTATAGCTATAAGTAACTTTCCAATGAAAGTTAAACTGGAAAAGCACTCAGAGAGCGCAGACCTCCGCCAAGCAGCTCATGTCCCCCCTTATATTGTGATTCACACCAAAACTTTTACTGTTACGTGTCTTTTATTAACTTTTATTTGTGTTTAAACTGGTATGTTCACTGTTCATAATGTTCCTAAAACAAGAAATGCCCTGACCTGGGTTCGAACCCAGGACCTTCTTGCTGTGAGGCGACAGTGCTAACCACTACACCACTGTGCCACCCATCTACACCACTGTGCCGCCCATTGGTTATCTTTCAGCATTGAAAATTCCAATGACACCCTTATTTTTGTGTGTTCTGGATCACAGTATCCAGAATTTTGTCTGGATCAGGATCAACCTTTGACACCTCATAAAACTCATTGAGATCCTTTTGTGTAATTTTTTACTAAAGACTCTGGTCATTTTTACAGAGTTAAATGCAAAAATTCCCAAATTTGCCCTATCTCACGATGATAAAGAATCCTTCAAAAAATTCCTGGATCCAGAAGGCGATCCGGATCACCACCAAAATGTAATGGGATCCTCCTGGGGCTGAGACGCACCTCTGGTGAAAATTTCAGGTCAATCCGTCTGTAACTTTCTCCGTAAAGTTGTTCACAGACAAACAAACAAACAAACAAACAAAAAAACAAACAAACAAACAAACAAACAAACAAACAAACAAACAAACAAACAAACAAACAAACTCCTTGGCGGAGGTAAAAATACAACAGCAAGAATCGACCTGAAAATACCAGGCTGCAGTTAAAACCAATGTGAGTTGGATTGAAGTTGCTTTGAAAAAAAGCTGATTACTTTTAACTCTCGTTAATCGATCGTCATGACAATAATATTCTTGAACGTTTATATTTGAGTAGACCTGTGCTAAACGTCAGCCTCTGAATGAGAATAAACAGTGGTGCTCTAGCCCATGGCTTACTGGTGTTGGTGATATTCATGAGAAAAATGATAAGCAATTCATCACATTGTTTTTTTTGACATGACTCAGCAGTTAATCTCTACCAGCATGACAGTCTTTAATCTACATGTTTGCAGAAGAACTTTTGTCGTGTTTGCTAACTTTGAGAGAGAAAACAGTTACAGCCGAAGTCCAAAGACATACCTGCAGTTACTGCTGATCACAATCATTCTCTGTAATTGCATTTTAAGTCCTACTGGAAGTACAAGAGCTTGTGTAACATCCTGTGACAGATAAGGACAAAACTGGGACTCAGGTGCTGAGAAGAAAGCAAGACACAAACTGCAGAACAGGGAAAGGTTCTTTATTCAACAGCTCCACACAGGAAGTCAGCCAGCGAACAAAGATAATTTCAGCAAGGGCAAATAAAAAAAAACACCAAATTTAAGAAGCTGGAGAGCATAAACATACTGGTGAAACAATACAAAACACACTAAATGTCATTACAGTTTTAGCATAATACAACAACATCAAATGTATGTAACTGTAATTAAACTGTAAATCCAGAATCTGGTATTAGCGTCTAGAAAAGGCATTCGTGGAATTGACATCAGATGCTGATCACTTTTTTTAATCACAAATCCAACAAGGGCTTTAAATTTACACGATTAAACTGCTTTGTTGTTCTTCAAATGTTCAAATGAAACCAAACATCTTTTTATTCCTTTTTTTTCTCCTGTGTTTTCGTTTTAGCTGACCTGTTTGACATCCTGCTGCCCATGTTAAACATCTACCAGGAGTTTGTGCGAAACCATCAGTACAGCCTGCAAGTTTTAGCAAACTGTAAGCAGAACAGAGACTTTGACAAGCTGCTGAAACAGTACGAGTCAAACGCCGCCTGTGAGGGGAGGATGCTCGAGACCTTCCTCACATACCCCATGTTCCAGGTACATCATGAACACCATGATCCACTTATTTGTGTACGTTATTTCCTAATGTAATTCGATCTTTATGTATACATTTTATTCTCCTTCAAGATCCCTCGCTACATCATCACCTTACACGAGTTACTAGCACACACTCCTCATGAGCATGTGGAGCGCAAGAGTCTTGAATTTGCCAAGTCCAAACTAGAAGAACTGTCCAGGTAAAGCCGTCTGAATGACCATCTTTCCAGACAACATTTTGACACCAGATTGTGGACTAACTTACATGTTTGTGTGTTTTTAGAGTAATGCATGATGAAGTGAGCGACACAGAGAATATCCGGAAGAACCTGGCCATAGAGAGGATGATCGTGGAGGGCTGTGACATCCTGCTTGACACAAGCCAAACGTTCGTCAGGCAGGGTGAGTCTGCATCATCACCTCGCTGCACTTCTCACTGTAAAGCGTTGGATGATTTGGTCTGACAGTAAGACCCTTTAGCCTCTCAACTTTAGATCTGAGAGCACTGACATGGTACCTTAGCGGGGCTCAGTCTCTGAATCATGACTTTAGCTTTAAAGATTTGGCTTTCTCTGAACTTTCCAGGAAAAAAGTTGTTTTACAAATCAGCAGAACTTCTTAAAGGTTTATGATAGAACATTATTTTCACAAGGAACTTTTGGATTTCTGTCCAGCCATTTGCCATTATTTTTTAACATTTATCAGACTGGTTAGTCCATTGACATATCAGTAATTTTACCTCTAATGTTAGACAGCAAAAATAGTTCCTGGTGGATTGCTTGAGTTGTTTTAAGCCTTTTTATTTCAATAAATCACAAAAATGTCAGCATTTGTTGCACCCAAAAGAAGTTGCTGTTTGGTAGAGAAGGATACACTTCCAAGTTTTGATGAAATTCGGCTTCTTTTGGCTGACTTTCAATGCCACTCATTGTCAAATATTTGACAAATATATTTCATATAAAGCAAAGAGAAGCTTTAAAACCCCAACAGGTTGTGATTCTGCTGCAGTGGAGACGAATATATTGGCTGCGATCACTTGTATAAGCCAAGGACTAAACGTGGTGTCATGGCAACAGAAACAGCAGTCTTCCTGATCCAACAAAACAAAGTCATTCTTGATTACCTGTATCTAGAATCTACCTCCTTGAATACCCAGTTTCGTCGGCTGTTCTTAAAAAGAGTTGATAGGGGAGACACAGTCCTCCAAAGGCTCTGATCCAAGTCGTGCAAATTCTTGAATGATGCAGATTTGTTTTGGAGCGAGACTGTGGACCCATATCTGTTCCAGTTGGTACAGTGTGCAAACTCCAAAAATGATATCTGATCTCATGGACTCAAAGAGCAGTTTTCCATTTAAGGCTGAACAAAAGTGACACAGTGTGTAGGGCTGCAAACTAGCTGCTTTAGGAGTGCAGAGGAGAGCATGCTGTGAAGTTTGTCAAGCTGTTGAGTCAGAGGTCAGGAGATGTGGCTGTCATTAGCTCTGACGGAACCTTTCTTCTTTTAATCACTTGAGTTTTTGTCATTTTACCTGCCCATGTCGTGATCTCTGTCTTCTCAGTCTCTGTCAGGTGCTCATACTAAATACAGGAATAGCTCTGACATGTTGCCTTACTGCATGTGCATTTGTTTAACTACAGACACTGAGTGAACTCAGCCCTCAGCTTAGTGTCAGCTTAATGAGATGAAATGTAATCCTGGTCCCGTCCTGTCCCTCACACAGGCTCTCTGATCCAGCTGCCGTCAGTCGAGCGAGGGAAGCTGAGTAAAGTTCGTCTGGGCTCACTCTCTCTTAAGAAGGAAGGGGAGAGGCAGTGCTTCCTCTTCACTAAACACTTCCTTGTGTGCACACGCAGTTCTGGGGGAAAACTGCACCTGCTTAAGGTGAGAATACCACTTTTTTTTTTGATTGATTACAAATTCAGCTTATATGTACAACATCCCTCAATATCATCACATCAAGATAACTATCATTGTCGTAGAACAGAGGTGGGCAATCATGTGCCATGGAGGGCCAAGAGGCTGCAGGTTTTCCTTCCAACCCAAAACTCCACCAGGTGATTTCACTGATTAGTCCCTGCTCTCTGCTTGGAGGTAAGGTAATCAGTGAAATCACCTGGTGGAGTTTTGGGTTGGAAGGAAAACCTGCAGCCTCTCGGCCCTCCATGGCACATGATTGCCCACACCTGTCGTAGAATCACCATTAGTCAATATTTCAGTAAAATCTTATATAGAGTGACTAAATACATAGATGTCATCACTGACCAAAATACCATCACTGTCCAAGTATAAGAGGTTTTCTCCTTGAAATACACCTGAAAAAAGTGGGACTGTCTTATATTTAGGGTTTGATAATTAAATACCAACATCTGTTTACAACAGTGTATGGGCAACTCTCATCTATTAAGAAAGTGTGTCCTTCATGACTGTGGCCAACCACCACTCACTGCTACAGGGCCATGGAGATGAAAGACAGAGATACTCAGTGATTGTCAGGAATAAAGTTGCATAAAGTCAAAAGTGTTGACAGAGTTAAACAGTTGATATAGAGTTATGATATACATATGGAGATAATGGAGATCAATGCAGCGAAGTACATAGTGTCCAAAACTATAATGTCTGTAGACAGAGAGCAAACAAAGTCAGCCTTAGATACATGTGAGGATGTTACTAAAAATTTATAAAACAACCAGACCCCTCATTCATCCAAAAGACTGCAGGTTATTTAGAATTTTATTGTATGGAAAAACTGATACCATCAGTAATTTATCATAGACTGATCACATTTTATTTCATTTAAATGTGATAATCTTACTGCTAATTATTTTGTAAACATTGTTTACAAAGCAGGGCTGTCTGCAAACTTCGTGCATTGATAGGTTTCAGATGCACACAGTAGTTAGGATTTCCCCCATATGAAGGGGAGAGCTTTTACAGCCCATTTCAGCATTGACAAGTGTTTTGATAAGGGACAGTATTTTCCAGTGTTTCTATTTTTTTTTTAATGTGATTCTGGTATTATGGCTATGATGTAGTGATATTGTTTCTTAGTTAGTGGAGTGCATCAGAGAAGACGTTCAATCGTTTGCCCAATATGGACTGAGAAACTGTTTCGGAAAATAATGTCATTTCTAAACTTGAGTAAAAATGCAATTAATCCCAATGAACTCTTGAAATTCTGTGATTAATTGCAATTAAAGAATATTTGACAGCCTTGTTAAAAAGTAATGGAAACAATACCCTCATTGGTTTTATCAATGTTTTTGTTGAAACATTATTTTAATGAAAATTCTTTTCTATTTAAATCAAGCTTCAATCTTAAATTAGTTCTCTAACAATTAACAGCTTCGCTATGATCAACACAAGGAAGGTACCCCTAGGGTCTGCAGGAGCAGGGGTGGAAGATGACTCACTGGCAGATTACACAGTCACAGTCCATAGAACGGACAGGATTATACATTGGATGAGTGATTCAGTGGCGGAAAGGGGCATGGACCTGTCCTCCGGGGCTGAACTCCAGATAACAGGACTATGAGTGGTATGAATGCTTCAGTGGAGGACAGGGATGAGATTATGAAAGGAAGGAAGCCCCAGACTTGTCCTGGTGGTTAGCAGAAAGTAACAATCAAGGGTCTCAGGACACATCAGGGCAAGAGGGAAAAAGGAAATGCAGAGTCACTGCATTGACCTTAACTTCTTGAGAAGTCTGTCGTGTCAGTCAGTCAAAGGCCAGCAACAGGTAGAAAACCACAGTTTGTAGGATATCACCGACCATGTCACTGAGGGGTATGGCGCTGTAGGGGTGGATATGGATGGGACTAAGGCCAGCCTGTCAGCCTGGTATAGGACCTGTGGGTAAATTGGTCTTCTTGTATTTGAAACAAGTATGGTCATTTTATTGATCTTGTATTTTATTGCAAGTTGTTAATATTTGCTGTCAAATTCTTGCAGCAAGGTGGAGTTTTGTCCCTGATTGACTGCACCCTCATAGAGGAACCGGATGCCAGTGATGAGGAGTGTAAGTTCACTACGTCTGTGAGTCAGTGTTTCTCAGTGTTTGGTCATTTATTAGACAGCTCTCATTGGTTCATTTGAGCTCCTCAGCACTCATGGAGGTTAATTAGGTGTCAGATGATAAGTGTCCAGAAATTACTGCCCTTTAAATATCAGATGCTCACCCTTTTAAATGTCGGGGTTTGATCTTTTGACATTACCGGTCCATTATTTGTTTTTCCTAAGGATTCATTTTGCAAGTACGGAGACTGATGGAGCAGACACAGACACACACGCAGTGAAAAAACACATACATGTGCACACATCTTCAAAACACAATCAACAGCTTAAGCCTCCGGGGAGCGAAGAATTAAGATAGCAGGTCCACATCATTAATTCTTAGTGTGTTTGCATTTTGTGTGTGTGTGTGCGTGCACTTTTTTACTATCATGAAGAAGATTGCATGATTGTAAATAGCACTTCATTTTTCTTCATCACACAGCTAAAGCAGGCGGTCAAGTATTTGGCCAGCTGGACTTCAAACTGGTCGTGGAGCCGTCAGACTCTCCCTCATTCACAGTCGTGTTACTGGCGCCATCTCGTCAGGAGAAGGCAGCGTGGACGAGTGATATTAGTCAGGTAATACAGCAAGATACACAAACACACACCTAGACAAACACTGAATAACAAGAGCCTGCAAATATCAAGAGCACATATCCTCCGGGTATAGAGAAGCTTAGTGATAAGTAAACACAGACACGGGCGCAGTTCCCCTGAGGTGTGAGCAGCTCACTGTCTTAGTGCTTTACAAACACAGTTGCACAATACAAGTATGTCACGCTGAATTAATTTTTAATCAGATAATTAAACAACATGAACAGTTATCAATGGCTGCAGTTTTCCCTGAGAATGGACTTCCAGACTCAAATCACAGCATGATTAAACTTGACAAAGAGCAAACAAGAGACTGTTCCACTGAGGGAAATAAACACCCAACATTTCATAAAATCAAACACCATTCAGCAATAAGACATTTGGTGAACACTTTATTTGACACCTATTTCTGTAACGCATTATAAATATATGTATAATGCGTTATAATCACGTTATAGCACTGTATAACTAAAGTTATAAACACTCGTAAATGATCATAATGCTTTATAGCAACAATCATTAAACATTATAAAGCATTTTATCATGACGTACAAGGTCAGGTTTTATAATGTGTTATAACTGTTAACAACTCACTGACAATGCCCACATAGATAATGCAATAAAACTGTTGTTAACAGTTATACCACATTATAAAACCTGACCTTGTAAGTCATGATCAAATGCTTTATAATGTGTTATGATTATTTCTATAAAGCATTATGATCATTTATAAGTGTTTATAACTATAGTTAGACAATGCTATAACGTCATTATAATACATTATACATACATTTATAATGTGTTATAGAGATAGGCATCAAATAAAGAGTTACAGACATCTGCTATCAGTGCTCAAGTCGTCTTAGATCCTGTTTTCATGATCTTCTATACTGTAAAAATGCCACAAATGACAAAACATGCCTACTTTAGAAGTACCTCATTAGATATGTAAAATTTTCTCTTTTCCTCCTCTCAAATTGGTGCTCTTTTACATTGTTCTCTCATTTCTTCTCTTTGTCCCTGTAGTGTATTGATAATATCCGCTGTAATGGGTTGATGACCAGCGTCTTTGAGGAGAACTCGAAGGTCACCGTGCCTCACATGATCAAGTAAGTATGTTTGTGTTTGTGGAGGAAAAAAAAAACACCTCTTCATGCCAGTTTTGCTAAAGTGTAAAATGTATCTTAGATGTGTTGATGTATGGTACATAGTTTAGGCTGTTTGTTATGTATTTTGCTCCTTTGTATTAATTTAAGCTGTTGCTGAAATCTGCCCCAAAATATTCTTTGGTATCCGTTTCTTATTTTCAACTTTGAAACATATTAATTATTTTATTCATTTCTCTCTTGCTTTTTTTGTGCATTTTTGCTGAGCTACTTTCACAATTTTTTCCTTTTCATAATTCTTTTCACCCATGCTTGGTTATGTGTGTGTGTTTGTATGTGTGTACTTGTATATTCATCAGATCCGATGTGCGTCTCCATAAAGATGATGTTGACATTTGCTTCAGCAAGACGCTCAACTCCTGCAAGGTCCCCCAGATCCGCTACGCCAGCGTGGAGCGGCTGCTGGAGAGGCTGACCGACTTGCGCTTCCTCTCCATTGACTTCCTCAACACCTTCCTGCACACATACAGGATCTTCACCACGGCAACGGTTGTTATGGACAAACTGGCTGACATCTACAAGAAGCCTTTCTCCTCTATACCTATCAGGTCATCACACAAAGAACACTCGAACATGCTTTACATCCACTCACACAGAATAGGAGTAGATGCAGACAAATTCACTCCTCTTTTATCATCTGTCTGTATTTGTGTTTGTATGAGAGTGTGAAAATTTGAAGGATGTGTATGTGTGTTAAATGAGTGTACTCTCAGTGTTTTATAAGCCTCCCCCTCATTCTGTGAATGATGTAGTCCACTGTGGGTCAGTTTTTTGGACTCAGCATGCAGCTCCCACATCTGTCCACAAGGTTGAATACATTCTGGCTGAAACACACAAAAGTTCTTGTGTTGGGACCGACAGAACAGATGCTTCAACAAGCAAAGTTTTTGGCACAGCTGTAGGAACATGTTTGTCAGATGAGAAGTTATCTCTTTTTTATCATGCTCTCTTTAAGTGCAACTCTGACTAAAACAAAACTGTGTCCTGTTTTTATTTATCTATTTTATAACATTGCCTCTTAAGCCGAAAACATACAGGATCCGCATTGAGTGCGTTCCGTCAGCGTCGCGTATCTGCTGCGTTGAGCAGAGCTGTCTATCGCATATTTGGAGCGTAGCAGCAGCGTAGTGCAGCCCCGGTCACCTGGGTTCAGTATAGAGGAAACAACATGCACACAACAGGTTGTTTTGCATTTCTGTGGTCTATTTTCTGCTAATTTGGATATAATTCAGTGACTGTTGAGCTTTTACTATATGCGTCTGCCTCCTTGCTGAGTGAAGCCACTCCGAGAACAGCACCCTCTGTTGATGGGCTGCAGTATAGGTCATAAATCCCGCCTCCACCAGCAAAGATTATGGAGCTGTGGACAAACTTTAGAAATTTATTACACAGAACATAATTTTGTGCTCAAGTCCTCCTTTTTCTGTGAAGCTCCGTTTTTAAAAGTTTTTAGAGGGTTCATGTTTGCTATGATTGACACCGGATACAGCCTATGGGCGTTCAGGGATTGAGTAGCTCCCCCGGGGGATACGTTCAGAGCATAGACTGTATATAAGATGGACAACCTGGTTCCGCCTTCTGCCTGTATACGGATTTGAAGCCAAGATTTAAAAGCTCTCGGTAATTCCGGGTTTTTCTCCACTTCCTTGAAACCAGAGCTGCGCAGTAGCGATGCGCGCATTCGGCCGCGCAGTCGCCGAGAGTCCCTGTGATGACGCTCGGCTCAAACAGTGTATCCCCCCGGGTGATACACCCCCGGATTGTTTAATCCACTGCTCTGGATACGTTGTTTGAGCTGAGGGTCATCACAGTGACTCTCTGCAACTGCGCGGCCGAATGCGCACAACGCTACTGCACAGCGCTGGTTACAGGAAATGAAGAAAAATCCCGGAAATATCGAGAGCTTTTTGGCTTCAAATCCGTATACAGGCAGGAGGCGGAACCAAGTTGTCCATAGTATATACAGTCTATGCTTCTGATACAGAGCTGCAGTGGAGCTGATACGTGTCCTGTATGCGATGCTGCATTCATTTGAATGGCAACCTATTTGCTATGTGATTCGCAACGCTTACAGAACGCGCTCAATACGGATCCTGTATGTTTTAGCCTTTAGCCCCCAGAAAGTTCTCTGATAGCAAAGAACGGGTTAGTATGTAAAGTTCAGGTTTACAGGAATAAAAAGAGGCGTGATTGTGACCATAGGAAGAGTAGTGTTGTGTTGTGCTGCATTCAAAGTATCTCAAAATTCTATTTAGAAAGATTTGTTTCAAAAATCTACTTGTTTTTTAGTTTCTCCTGGAGTGACCAGGTGCCCAAATTTTCAACTTTGCTGGTGCCTGTTGTCTGTCTATGTGACTGTTATAAAAAAAAAAAAACACAGAAACAAAGACAGCTCACTGTAATTTTTTTTCACTGTTGTTTTCTTTCCTTTGGCCACTTGTCAATCTAAGAGACTGGTATTATGCTTCTCTTCCGCTGAAACGCTGCTCCCCTCTTTATCATCAAACACACCTTTCCTCTTTCAAGACATTCATTCATCATCCTTTGATCATTTTCCCTTAAACCATCTCCCTCTGTTTCACATCTTGCATTTTCATGTCCTAACAATCCTCCATTTAATCATTTTTGTGTTTTCCATCCTGCTGTGGTCTTCAATTACAGGGCGCAGTATCACTCATTTGACCGTCTGTCCTTCTCATCCATCTGTCCTGACTACAGTTTGAAGATCAAGAAGATAGCCATGGATCAGTCTAAGTAACCAGCTCCTCTCTCTCTCTCTCTCTCTCTCTCTTCCTCTCTCTGAACTTTTCCTGCCTGTGCCCCATTGCCTCTGGTCTTGGTCTGACACTCAGCTGATGCTAGATTTCCCCCTCTTCTACTTTCTTCTACCCTCTACATTGAATCTATCTACGAATATGAATGAAAACTCTCAGCGATTTTCTGGTTGATGCTGTAAAAAATTGGATGTTTTTCTGCTCTGTAACCACATAAATCCATTTCTCTCCTTTCCTTTCTAGTGCTTTTAAAATACTTCTCTGTAGCATCTTCCACTGCTTGCCTCCTTTTTTCTACTTTTGCCTCAAGTTCTTCTCTGCTTTTCAAGAATCTTTCCTTCCTCTTTTCATTTCTCTCCTCCTTCTTTTTAACTGGGATGCATTTTGTTCTTCTATTTCCTACTGAATTTGAGGCTTGTGTGGATAAATGCTGGCTGTGTGTATCTGTGCATGAGAACTCCTTCCTAGGCATAGCTCTTTACACACGACTCTGAGCAGTGTTGTCACAAAAACAATAAGCTTATTGCTCATAGATTCGAACTTTTACACTTTAAGCATTAAGCACTGAAGCTTTAACTTGGAGAAAAGTACTCTTATCTTTTGAGCTGAGGTCCTTTTATTGGTAACGATTCTTCAGCATTAAGCATTTTATTAGGTATAGAAGTCATCCCACTGAGCAATAGATGGCTATTAGACATCTACTATTTTTTTGACCTAATTTCAACCGTCTAGATTCTGTATATTTTTAGACAGAATTTAGACGTTGCACTTTAAGCCATTATTCAATAACTATTTATTTCAAAAAGCAACTGGAAGTTGCATAACTGATCTCCAAGTACTTAACAAAAATAATTATGATAGCCGTTAAGCAAAATACAGTGTAGTATAGATATAGCCGGCTAGTCTAAACTTGGTTTAAATCTGGACGTCTAAAAAAAGTTCATTTTTAGACCTGTGGTAGCCTGATTTTGGACCAGTCGTCTAGGCTACATTTAGACGTCTATTAGACCTCCTTTAGACCAAAAAAATGCTCAGTGGGATGTATGTGACTCTGAGCTAAAGAGTTTCACAAACCTGAACTTGTACACAGTTTTTGAGCAGCTTTAGGTGAGCTTAGACACACTTTACACATCAACACACACTTCTTAGGAGAGTGGAACAGAACGGTGACAATAAGTCAAAGGTAATCTGATGAGAGCGTAACACCAAAATCCACCTGACTTATCCACAGAGTCAACCTACTTTAACCTAATTCAACTTCTGACTGGAGGCACAAAACAGCGTCTCCTCTTGTTTAAGCAAATATTGTTGCATAAACTTTCCAACATGGTTGTACAGCGGTTATTGAGCAAGATGCAGAACATACTCAGGTGGACTACCGCAGGGCTCATATGAAGACAAACAACCAGACACACGCACAATCTCACTTACGAGCAATTTAAAGTCACCTGTTAACCAAACAAGCAGAAAACAGTGACCACAGGTAGTCCAGATCATACAAACTCCCTGCCTTAGCCAGGATTTGAGCAGGATTTTGACCTTTACAGAGATGCAACAGTGCTAAAACCTGCTGTATCCAGCTTCTTAGATGTGAAATTGTTTATAATATCTACCACCATTGCTGTCTTCATTGTAGTTTTGTACGTCTGTGCTGACCAGAGTTTCACTATTGAGAAAAGAGCTTTAGAAGTAAGTAAAGTGAGTTAAACTGTGTTATAAAGAGGCTATAAATCTAAAACGTTAAGCTTACAATTGCTTTAGGGAAACCCCACAGTCTATTTCATATGACATATATCCACTTTAAACTTTGGACACTGTTCCTCTTATGTGGATGTAAACACTCTAAAATTAAAGCTGAGAGTCAGCACGGTAACCTCATCGATGGTGTTCTTCATGCAGGAGTACAAATTTAAAACTGTGTCAGTGTCGTAATACTTTCTGACTGCACTGTGTGTGCCCACTCATTATTAGTCACTGTGGATAACAATGTTAGCTAAATGCCCCACATGTAACTCTGAATGCCTTTGGGTTTGCTATGAAATGTAAATTCTTCCATGTGATGCTGTTTTCTGCTCTTACTCTGTTTTTATCATTTCTGAATACACAGCATGCAATTTTGTTTTGAGTTCAGACTAATTCAGAAACACTGTCTGACAACGTTCATTTGAAATTGAACCTTAACACTTTCAGGCATGCAGTACAGATCTTGATGTGAGCTGCTGCAGCTTTATATTTTCTCTACATCTTTCTCTCATTTCCCCTGAATACTCTTTTGCATTTTAAAACTATCCACTTATTTTTCTGAAATGTTACTTTTTTCCTCTTCTGCAGGTCTTTGGAGCTTTTCTTTGCCACCAATCAGAACAACAGAGGTGGTGAACACATGAATGACAAATCTCCTCGTCTCTGCCGCAAGTTCTCCTCTCCTCCTCCTCTGTCCATCCCCTCCCGCACTTCCTCCCCTGTCCGAACAAGAAAGCTCTCCCTCCACTCCCCCATCACTGGCAGGGTTGGAGGTCTGGACCTGACCAGTCCTCTGTCAAACTCCAGCACCAATCCTAGCACTTCCCAGTCTGCTGCCAGCAGTCCGACTTCAGCCCACACTCCCCAAACCCCCACGCCTCAGACTCCGACTCCAACCACCTCCTCTCCTCCTCCTCCTCCCTCCTCTATCTCTCCTCCACCCAGCAACTCTAAGCTACCACAAGAACAAGCTCCTCCCATTCCCACCTCGCCGGACCAGAGTCCCTGCTCGACTGCTGAAGGGGAGGAGGTGCCCAAGATCGACCCCTTCTGTGGCAAACTGAGACGCAGTATCCGCAGAAGTAAGTCATGGTTAACTCAGATCAAATGCAAACACATTTAACCTGCTCAGATCTGTTTGGTTCTATGTTTCTGTTGACATGTTCTGTTTCTGTTTTTGTCAGATTTTTAGTACTTTGCCATTCTGCGTTCGTTCTGCTATTTTGAACAATTTAAGGGGTCCACATCAACTCCAAATTAGATTAGCGTATTGTAGACACTTTAAAGGTTAAAACTTATAAAAGGGTTTTGCACACATCAAAGGGTGGGTCCCTGGTGGTGTGCCAAACAGGAAGTTCTTGTAATATCTTTTAAATGTGTTCAATATGTTCTTAATGTCACAGACATGATTGTGGCTCACTCCTGAACACTACTGTGTGCTGATTTTCCAACTAGATTCAAAGTGCAGCTCATATAGCACTCACTTGACTATACAATGTTCAATCTGCTCCAGATTTTATATCTCAGTCTGAACTCATCTGCATAAACATTATAGTCATTGTGATAGCGCCACATAATGGAAACAAGCAGCATTAACTATACCAAGTTCTTCTTTTCTTATATTTTCTTATTACAGTCGTGGATCAGTTTAAAATCTGAACTGTTTGAATGTTCACAGTACAGATTAACATTGGGTCATACTCAGAGCCCCATCTACAGGTAAAAGCAAGTGCTACACTGTCCTGTGTGCATAAAATAAAACATGCTTACAGATTTCCAACGCAACAGGCACGTGAAAAGTAAGAAATTCTCATAAAACGCCTCAATCTTGTGTTTAAGATCAGCATGTAGAGCCTGATCAGAGCACTGAACTCCATGTGAAGAGCTGGAGGTCACTCATCTAATGACACAGTGTGAAGTGCTCCCTGTAAGAGCTGAACAGATGCCTAGTGGGACATCATTATCTCCTTGTATTTGTGTGCCTGACTCAGCTAAGCCGTCTTCCCACCGCACAGACTCAGATCTTCTAACAGTGGTACTAAACACCCCTCTCAGACTGAAGAGACAGAGAGACAGAGACAGAGAGAGAGAAAGAGAGAGAGAGAGAGAGAGCATCAGGGCATCTGAGGCAGCACAGGAGGACAAGTGACCCTAATTAGCCACACACACACACATGAAACCTGCATGTGTGCAAAAATGTGTGCATGTGTGACAGCTGCTAACCGCTCATGAGGAAGTAAAGAGGCATTAGCACTTGTACCAGAAAGCCATTCTCACCTCCTCCTCCACATGCAGTCTCTCTTACACATAAAGTAGATATAGAACTGTATATAGGTACATACTTGTTGGTGTGGACCTATAGATGTAAAGCACTTACTTACCTTCCCGACAGTTCTTTTTTATTTAGACGGCTAAGATGATAATTCAGCATGTTGGAGTGTTTTCTAGTTTGAGATTAGTCTTTTAGTGTCTTGATAATTTGTCAGAAACACCTTATTGGTTTCCACTTTAAAAAAACAGGGAGGCGATGATGAGAAAACTCCTATATATAAAGGTGTAACAGCGTACAAGATCTGCCTGAATGGTTTAGTATGTGTGAAAATGGCTGTGAAACATGCTAACCTTGACTTCACAGGTGCTGGTAGAAGTTTTTAGAGAGTGTGTCAGAGTTTCTGAGTATGTGGGTTTTACTCAAGTGTCTATTTTTCACACGAATACCCTTATTTGATGTTTTTCTATCGCTAACTGCTCCTGTCAATCAACATTGAATTAGAAAATAGGAAAATGTTAAGTAAATAAAAACAACCCTAATCATCTGCTGGTTTTAGTTTGGGATCTCTGCATGACTGTAACCTGAGTTAAACTCTTCTCTCCAGTTGAGCAGCAGCTGTAAAAACTGTCACCATGACTGTAACCATTACTGTCATCGTCACTGTCGTTTTTGTTTTTCTCTTCCCTCTCCTGACTAGCTGTGCTGGAGTCTGTGTCACTGGAGAAAATCATCCCAGAGTCTCCTCAGACCAGTGAAGCTGGAGACATGTCTCCATGTCGCTCCCCGTCTACTCCTCGGCACCTCCGCTACAGACAACCCGGAGGTACCAGTGTGTGTGTTTGTTTGTGTGTGTGTGGAGTGGCTGTGACTCAGATCTGTGTCACAAAGCCACAGCCAGAGGCCCTCACAGTGGGCAGTGCTGTGCCCACAGACTGGCCACTCTGACCTCTGGAGACTGACATCTTAGGAACAATGCAAAGCTGAAATACAGCCAGAGCAGGGCGTAAATGTCTCTGTGTGAGTGTGCGTGACTGTATACTGGGATAGTTTCCTCTATGTGGGTCCAGTTTGATAGACTCTCTTTATCAGCATCATGGATGGTTATCATTTCTCTGTGTGTCTGCAGGTCAGTCAGGTGAGAACTCCCGCTGCTCGGTCTCTCCTGCTTCAGCTTTTGCTATTGCCACAGCAGCAGCAGGACATGGTTCACCGCCAGGTACACACATACACACAGATATAAAGAGACACAAACAGCTGCACATTATAGTAGAACACATCATTTGAATACATTGTTTTTTATTTTTGAGGGTGAACACAGTTACCACGTCTAACGTCTAACCCAGGGGTGTCAAACTCAACCACAGCAAGGGCCATAATCTGGATTTAGGTCTAACCTGAGGGCCAAACAGGGTCAACATTTCACTATAACTGTCAACCTCCTTTTCAAAAAATATGTAACAAAAACAGCAATGATTATAAATCGTTCGGAAATTCAAAGAAGATAAGTTTAAAGGAAATCTGAGATAGAAACATTTTTTTTATTTTTTATTTTTTATTCGATTTTTATATATTAGTTCAAAAGTTTAGAGCATGATGTTAGAAATATAAAAATTAATGGTTTTAAAGAGCAAATACATGAGGAGAATGTTGAAATCAGGTTTAAAAGGTGAAAATATGACTTAAAATTTAGAATTGGAATCTAAAGTATAAAAATGTCTAAATACTGAGTTGAACAAAATCAAAGCATCAAATAAAAAAATTAAATCATGTTTGACACGTAATCTAAAAAAGCAAAATTGAAAACATGAAATAAAACACCAAATATTTTTCCTCCACATTCTTGACTATTTATCAAATCTTTTTCACTCTTTAATTTCCCAGATTTTCGTTGTTTATTAAGGACATTTTAAAAAATGGTGCTAAAGTTTACATTATTATACTGGAGGAAATCTGCAGACTTCATATTGCTGGGCCAGTAATAATAATACAAATATGATATGATCTTGTGGGCCATATATAATTGTTCCACGGGCCAGATTTGGCCCCGGGACCTTGAGTTTGACACCTGTGCCTCTATCTCTTCTCTCTCTTCTTCCTCTCTAATGTTCCTGCAGTGTTTACTAACTCTGAAAGAACTTGTGATAAAGATTTCATCATCCGCCGCGCTGCAACTAACCGAGTCCTGAATGTGCTGCGCCACTGGGTCTCCAAACATTCGCAGGTCTGTCCACACCCACCACCGCCTGTTTGTGTCCGTGAGTGTGAGTGTGTGGTCTCTGATTTCTGCTGAGGTGATCAAGTCTGCGGTCTCATTAAAGCAGGTGTCTGAAGCATCTCCCTGCTCCGCTGCTCTTACTTGAACATGTAAACAACAACACACACAAACACACCCACTACTGCTGCCGTGTCAATTGGACACCCAGCTAAACCCGCTTCAGTCCACCTACCCACTCTTGTTCTTTACAGCCAGCATTGTCTCCACTGAATTGATTATCACAGTAATTGCTTGACTCCCAGCTCGGAGGTCCAACTGCATTGATCTGTTTCACGAATTCTTTCCAGTGTGACAAAATGCTGTGATGACAGCGTAGCTTTAGTCGGCTTATTAAGACAGAGGCAAACACACATACACATTTGTCTACACACCAACTCACACCGTTCTTTGGGAGAGCTTGTTAAAACCTGTTTTTGATCAAGAGTGAGGGCGAAAAAAGGAGGAAGTTTGATCAAATACAAGGACAAAAAATTATATTTTAGCATGAATTTGGCACCCAAAAGACGAACAAACAAACAAAAAACTGCTGTCTTGATAAGAAAGAACTAAAGCAACTTTGTGATGTGGTTTTGTTTAATTATTAGTTTGACAACCAAATTTTTCAATAGATCTTTAGATAGATTTTTTACAGCCTTTACTGCAGATGTAAGCCAGTCACAGGACAAAAGAAATGTGACTGTAATGTAGCAGCTAAGTTACCCACACAAAAAGACAGTTTAACTTCATATATGATGTATAATATAAATTAAAATCTGTCAAATATCGTAGTAAAATCTGTCTAATAATGCATCCAGTGTGTCTGCAAAAGAAATAGGCACATAAAAATGTCACTTTACATCTCTTAATAAGTAATCCAAAACCAAGACAGAAGACTCTTGACCGTCATTAAGGGTATGATCAGTTTTCAACTTGTCTAAAGCTTTTGTTTCTCTGGTTAAGGTTTCATTTCAAACTTTGGATCAGAGTTCGATTTTGTGGTGGAAGCTGGGGAATCCATAAAACTTGTCGTAAGTGTCATGCAGAAATTCAAAGGTGTTTTATTTGTGTTCAGGACTTTGAGATGAACGGGGACTTGAAGATGTCGGTGATCTGTCTTCTTGAGGAGGTGCTGAGAGACCCTGACCTCCTCCCCCAGGAGAGAAAAGCTACTGCCAACATACTAAGGTAAACCCCAACATGCCATACCTGTGTTATTCCACTTGAATATCCATTCAACACTTAATGCATTGTTACCTTTTTCCCTTGAGACAGTGACAGTCTTATTCTAGTTTGTCACATTCTTTCTATCTTTCATTGGCTGCTGTTTTATTTTCTGTTTTCTGTTCTTCTGTCCTACATCAGTGCCCTTTCTCAGGATGAGCAGGATGACGCCCAGCTGAGGATAGAGGACATCTTACAGATGGTGAGAAAACTGCAACACGTGCAATCCTATATGAGCTTTATGATAAGTACTCAGAAACATACTGATCCAGGTATTTACTGCTGTGTAGGGCCAGATCACTTTATGGTAGAGAGGAGAGATGTTACTCTTTGGTGCATGACATAACCCTCCTGTTCCTGCAGACTGGCAGTGTGGTCAAGCATTAAATCTGATACGAGGTGACCTGGTTTTACAGAGCCAGAGCCCCTGAAGTACTTGCAGATTGCTCAGCACCGCCCACAAATATGTATTCACTCTCTTTGTTAACTTCGACTCCCGGAGACGAAACCACTCAGAAACCATCTGTGCTCATCTTTAATTGTCTAAATTCAATGATCAATAGGAATCACAAACATTCACATTCAGTGTTTGTGTCTCTTCTCAAACACTTCTTGGTTCTATTTTCAGGCCGACTGTCCAAAAGCTGAGTGTTTCGAGTCTCTCTCTGCGATGGAGCTGGCCGAGCAGATCACCCTGCTAGATCACATCGTCTTCAGAAGCATTCCTTATGAGTCAGTCTCCTCATAATACTCTCACACTGATCTGCATCAGCACAAACAATATGAATCACCTGAATGGATACTGCTCATTATGAGACCAGTAAAAGCAGGCTGTACCCCACAGCAGCATCAGAGAAAAGAAGGCAGACTGATGACAATTAACCTCAAACACCAGCTGTTGAAAAGCTTCATTTAAAGTAATATGGATTCACGCAGTTTCCTTTAAGGTTGGTTAGGAACAACCTTGTGGATGCTGGAACATACGGAGTAACATCTATTTAAACTTAACAGAAAGGATTTTTGTATCAGTGTTTGAATTAATTTCACATATTGAAAAGTGTAGTGTAGTGCAAGTCCAGTGTAAAATTAAGTTAGGGTCAAACACACTATAACACCAAGTTAGACACCCCGCCGAGAGATGAATGTAGCCTACCGCTTGCTTCTCTAGTTATACCAACTTTAGTAACGACCACACGATAGCAATACACAGTGGTCTGAGGAGCCATAAACAAACCTCAATCAAAGCCACTCTATAGTCACAAAAAATGCTCAGAACAGCACCTAACTTCATCAACAGTACATATAGGGTCCTAGCCATAGTACTAGCCACCAAACATCTTTTTAACTTCGCCTAATTTCTTTAGCAAAGAGACTAAACACAACTCACCTACTCTTTTCTAGTAGCTGCTTGTTTGTAGCGAGACCTCGGGCCAGTCCATTACAGACTGCTGTGGGGTGACACAGCTCAAGGAAGAACATTTATGATCATTACTTTATAGAAATGCAATCAGACCGAGACGCTAAGGCAGAAGAACTACCGTGTCTGCAGTGCAAAATGATTAATATGATGATTATTACTTCAAGGAAATGATAACGTAATGATCATAAATGTTCTTTCTTGAGCTGTGTCACCCCGCTTAGGTCAGTAATGGACTGGCCTAAGGTCTCTGTACAAACAAGCGGCTGCTGGAAGAGAGTAGGTGAGTTGTATTTAGTCTCTTTACTAAAGAAATCAGGCAAAGCTAAAAAGTTGTTTGGTGGCTAGTTCTATCACTGGGACCCTATATGTACTGTTGATGAAGTTAGGTGCTGTTCTGAGCATTACTTGTGGCTATAGAGTGGCTTTTTGGTTGAGCTTGTGGCTCTCGAGCCCGCTGTGTATTGCTGTCATGCAGTCGTTACTAAAGTTGGTATAACTAGAGAAGCAAGTGGTCGGCAACATTCATCTCTCGAGGGGGTGTCTAACTTGGTTTTACAGTGTGTTTGACCCTAACTTAATTTTATGCCGGAATATCCCTTCAAGATGACACATTACAGCAAATCAAAGCTGATTGTATCCTGGTCTATCGTAGTTTTGTTGCCTGTGTCCCTTAAAAACTTGAGATTTTTGTGTCTTAGTGTGTGTGGGATCTTACAAGTCTCTGTTCCCCCTTATCCAGAGAGTTCCTGGGCCAGGGCTGGATGAAGGTAGATAAGACAGAGAGGACCCCATACATCATGAAAACAAGCCAACACTTTAATGATGTAAGTTCAGTGTGGCTTTTTTCTCCTTTTTGCTCTCTGACCTGTCCGCATAAAGTGTTTGTTCCTCTACAACCTGCATATCCTTTTTTTTGTCCTCCTAAAGATGAGTAACCTGGTGGCATCACAGATCATGACCCACACTGATGTAGGCTCCAGGGCCAGCTCTATAGAGAAGTGGGTTGCTGTGGCCGACATCTGTCGCTGTCTTAACAACTACAACGGCGTTTTGGAGATCACGTCTGCACTCAATCGCAGTGCCATCTACCGTCTGAAGAAGACCTGGGCTAAAGTCAGCAAACAGGTTCAGTAATTAATCAAAAATAAGTATTAAAAATTAAACATGACTGCATCAATAAGAAAACACACATCCAGAAAGCAAAACTGAAGTTTGCAGCAAGAAAAGGCTGAGAAACAACAAATTGAATCCAAATTATGATGATTTAAAGCTTCCTCGTTTACAGATTTTTCTTCTCCTCCTGGTGGAATCAATAAAACACAGAGAAGCATTTACCTGTAATGTTAAGTATCTGCTCTTAGTTTAATTCTGATGCAGCCTAAATCGATTATACTCATTATCATCCAATCACCAGACCGTCTGTCTCTCAACAAGACATGCTCTCCGTTCGGGACCGAAGCAAATTTGATTACATTGTTCTTTAACAACCTTCTTTTATTAAGAGTAACTAGATCTCAGGGTTAATGCAGCTGCCTTATTGTTCCATGTGCTTGATTATGATGTTGATCTTGTCTAGACGAAAGCCCTGATGGACAAACTGCAGAAGACCGTGTCCTCTGAGGGGAGGTTTAAGAATCTGAGGGAGACTCTGAAAAAGTGAGATTTTCCAGATGTTTTTTTCTGAGATATATGTTGAGTAATGCATACATAAGAATATAAAACATGTTGTTTTAAAAAGTGAATTTTCTAATACACATTATTGCTGTTATTTCCTCTTTCAGCTGCAATCCTCCATGTGTACCATACCTGGGAATGTATCTAACAGACCTGGCCTTTATCGAGGAGGGAACTCCCAATTTCACAGAGGAAGGACTGGTTAACTTCTCCAAAATGAGGATGGTAGGCGCAAACATCCGTTGATTAATGCACAAACAGACTGAAAATCAAATCATCTGTACTTAAAGTGTGAAAATTAAATTCTTCATGTGTTTTAGATTTCCCACATCATCAGAGAGATCCGACAGTTTCAGCAGACTCCGTACAGAATAGAGCATCAAGCCAAGGTAATTCTCCCCACTCACTCACTTTAGACTTCTTTTTTTTCACACCAGTGAAGTGCATTTTAGTCCACAAGAGAGTCATCAAAACGTCAGGGTGTATTGCAGCAACATTAATTTACATAGCTGTTTTTAGAAATACTGAAAAGTGCTTTGCAGTGGTTTAACAGAAGGGGAAATTTAAGATAAAACCAAGAGGCTAGTTTGTATTTTTAAATCATAACTTTTTTGTGTAGTAGCAGCTTCATCAAAGTACTTCTCCCAGCTTCTGTTCGGAGAGGATTACTGAAAACCCCTTTATGAGAGACCTTTTCCAGTATGTCTGTTTAGAGCTCAATCATGACTCTGCTGAGGCCATCCTCTGTTGCTGCATCAAGACACTCAACTTTCAAATCCAATATTAAACCCCCTGTTATTGTGTTTGCCAAATTCATTCAACCTCTAATTCATTTATTGGAAATGAGAAAATAAAGCCATAAGGGTAAATCTAAGTTTCTGGTCTATCTCTGAACTGCCTCTGATGTGTTTCGTCCAGGTGACCCAGTACCTCCTGGATAAGACCCTGATTATGGATGAAGACACCCTCTATGACCTCTCTCTGAAGATCGAGCCCAGGCTTCCTGCCTGAGTCACAGCAGTTTGTGGCCAGTGGGAGCCTCCTGAACCCGGACCCCGAGGGCAACACGTCGACCCAATCTCCTCAATTAGGAGGAGTTGTTGCAGTTTTGAGAGAGACCTCTGAAATAGGAGTTAGGGGCGTTGAAGTGAGCGATTACTTGAGGAAACTTGAGAGTTTTGGAAGAGACAGAGGGGGCGTGAGACAGGCTAAGGTTTCCTGAGGTTTCTGAGGTGAAGGTTTTGATTGGATTGCGTGAGAGTTTTGAGGAAGAGACTGTGTCGCAGTGCGTGCTCATCACTCCTCATTGGAAAAGCTTGGTGCACACTTCCTCAGACAGCCTGAGAGAGCAGGAAAGGCTGAAGAGATGAAACACAGAGGGTATAACAGAGATGTAGCATATACAGATAGTGTGACAGAGAGATGTCTGAGCTGGTGTCTCTGTGCTGTTGTCTGTGACCTGTTGTCTGTGCGTGTTTGTGCCATGTCCTGGAGCGAGAGCCCCAAAAAAGCTTTCTATCATGATGGTAAAACTTGCATGATTTCAGCTTTGGATGTAACTGTCTAAATGGCCTTTAACCTGACCTCCCCCTGACCCCTCAGCTTAGCACTCCTCACTCTATTAAGAGTGACCTTCGAAGCCACTATGCACCCTCAGTAGGCTGCGAACAACAAAATGACTCTAAGCTTTTTAGATAAAACCTAGAAAAACACAAATAAGAAACATAAAATTACACATTTGATATAGAGTATTCTGATAAAGTGGCTTATTTTTTCCAAGGATGAAACGAGAAATTCTATATTTGTCTTTGTCCTGAAGACGTCCCACGAGACATACAAAAAAGCTCTTTATTTTTAAACGTCCGTATGAATGATACAAAATGAAAAACTTCATCAGTGCCTTCCACTAGTGTAGGTCCACTCCCCCCACAAATGCCAATCCACATAAACTGAGTTGTATACATAAATGAATTTAGAGATCTTAAGATATTCTTTTGCAAATTGGACTCTAGTGTCACTCATTCACTCACTTGTTCCAGGAAATAGGTAACGTAGACTAAATAGTAGCATGTTAGTGGAAACAAAAGTCTTTGCAGCATCTAACTGTCAGCAAATATCTCCCTCTAGTGTTGAAGCATTGTTAAAACCTCTACTGACCCAAAGCTTTCGCTGCGTTTGTGTGCAGTTTGAATTCTTTTGCTTTCTCTGAATTTTTTTTTTGTCAAACTCTGGCGTGTGTAGTCCAGTCCTGGTGTGTAACTCTTGGATGTAGGCTGGGACAGTTTTTTGCACTCTCTGAGATGTAGCTTTGCTTGAGTGACAGTATGATCGTTACGCTATTTATTATTTCATCAGATACTGTACTTATGTTATTTTTGTACATAGTGACTCCACACATATCACATGATCGATGAAGAAATATTTTGAATTGTTATGCTGTGAATATTGAGTTGATTGTTTTTGTCTCTCTTTCTAATTTTGCATCCTAGATTCTTGTATTGCAAGAAATCGGTTTTATTCTTTGTTTTATTTAAGAAAAAAAAAGTCTGTTGAGGGTTAAAAAATGTAGCATTTGAATTATTTCAATTTGTTTTCTGTATTGCTGATATGATGAACTTTATTGTCCTGCATGCACACAACAGCTGCATGTTGTGCATGTCTGACTGGGCGCTCCTTGTGCGTTCCCCCTCTGCTGCTCTATATGAATACTGTCTTTGCTTAAAAGCATAAAAACAATACTTTGTCCGTCAGATCTGGCACGTTTGTCTTTTTAGTGTACCTCAAACAATCAAGCATAATCTTTAGGCTATGACATCTGCAAAACAGCCTGTTGTTTTGAAGTAGCAGTGTTGGAATTACTGCAGACCTCAGTGAAAACATAAAACAATAATCTTGTTCAGTCTCGATTGCAGAAGTGTTTTCAGGCTTTGCTTCTGGAGAAAAAACGTGTCCTTTGCATTGAGTCTGTAATTCTGAGTGTCTGAATCACATACAGGTTTGGGAATACAGGATGCTATGTTTGAACTGTAATATTATTTTGTGTATTTGTTTGCATTTTCCACTTGTAGGTGCAGGGGAAATAAATTCAACATGCCTTATGTCTTGTTTTGTGTATTTCTTTGGCTTGAGCAGTAATTTCAGTGATATTAAGTTGCTTCTCTTGCTTGACCAACACCTACAAGTAAATTTAAGCCCTATTCTGATTTTCTATTTACTGTCTCAGTGACTCTGCGAAATGAAATTAACAGGATAGGGCCAAGCTCTGCAAAACTCTTAGTAGCAACAAAAATAACACGTGTACATTAAACCTCTTAATGAAAACAGAAATCACTAACAGGATACTTGAATTTCACCAAATGTGTGACACTAGCTCACTTTTAAACTACACCGAAAAATCCTCCAAGGTTTGGAGGACCTGTGGAAAAGTCTTAGTGTAGACCTCTAAACCAAATTCCAAACAAACTTCATGTTCAGTATTTAGAGTTTTGTCTCAGACTCAATAGTCTCAGGTTTTGAGCCTTGACTCTTGAAGACAAAAGCTTTGACTGAAGAAATCCTGCCACCCTGTGGCCACACACGGTACCTCTGCGGGCCCTACCTGTGACACCAAAATGAGCTGATTTTGTCCTTGGCATAGTCAAATATTGTAAGTCTTAAAATGAGCAAAACAAGCAAAAAAATTTGTTGGGTTTTAGTTAGAATAAGCAAGAAAACATTTCAGTCTCCAGTCAAAATCTGCACTGACAGTAACTGTTTTTTTTCTCTGTGTGTGTGCGTGTTTGCTCTGCGATCAACCAGTGAAGAAAAGGCAAAATGACATGGAGAGACAGCAGCCAGTGAGAGAGGGAAAGGAGGTGATAGAGAAAAATGGTACAGCGTGAATCTCAGACATGTTCAACAAGCGCTCTGCAAAGTGAGAAGAGCTGTAGTTTCCAAATGTTGTGTAAAAGAAGTGTCAGGTTGTTAGTGTGAGATCTGCTGAAAGTCTGTGGTGCTTCAGTAGTGTCTTACAGTCTGACTGGAGGGTGACAGTTTCATGTTTCTGGCATTTGTCTTGGTGGGAACCTTTTAGCAGATCATCAACATTGATATTTGTGAGGGGCAGATGGACGACAAGTTCGACAACACTATGAGTGTGAGATCTTACAGCCTCATCAGTTCATTCATGGCTTCATTGGCTTGTTCTGTATCCTGGAGTACTCATATTAGAGAGGAAAAAAAAAGGTTGTACTTGGAGACACAAGGATATTATGAATTAGAAATCAGCCACTAAAGAAAATAAGCTGTTAGCAGGCCTACATCCTCCATGTTAGTGCAGCTTTGATCCCTAAAACTGGACCTTAAAACAAGTGAAATAAAACCACAATGAAACACAGGGACATATGGAGGATTTTAGAGGGGCAGGCACCTTATTTCATGAAGGTGTTTTTTTCTTTAATCAAGTAGTTAAAGAAAAATAGGCCTAGAGAGACTACTTTCGAGACATTAAAAAACAAACATTAAAAAGGTTTTAACCTTTGTTTTAAACAAATAAATAAGTTAATTTCCTTTTAGTCGTGTCACAAAAGTAGTTGTTCCCGGTGTATTTATTTAACTGTAACGTATATTTGTTGTAAAATCAGAATTTTATTTCGCTCATGAGGAAGTAACTGCTCTGCACAGGTGCTGCTAGCTTTGCCTTCCCTGCTGTGACCCCAACAGGCAGCAGGCCTTGGCAGCAAAGCAGACACTTTTCTCAGGAACGCCATCTACTGGATAATACATGGTAATGCAATTAAATGCCTCTGTGCATTTTATACTGGCCTATTGATCACACTGGTGTTTGGGGTATATCTACTTTTTTAAAGCGCTGAAGAGGTGTTCAAATCAGTCTTATACTACAGCTTATGGTACTTATTGAATTTCATTTCAGGGATAAAAAGTTCTTCTTATCTTATCTTATCTTATTTCTAATAGAGTAGACATCTCCTTATTTTATATTGATTTTATTGTAAATTGATTTTAAAATATCTCTTGATTTAACCGCTACTCAATTTCTGTTGCTTGAGAAATGGAGTGAGCATTACTGTATTGGGAGAGCTAGTAAAACTTAGAAGGCTTACTCCTTTATAGGTTTATTTGTATAGACTGTGTATATTAATGCTCAAGACATAAAGTAATGACCTTAATACTAATCAGGAGCTTAAGGTTGTTTAAGAGGGCCCGGAGATTTCTGGGTCCAAAACAGAATCACTAAAACTAAACCTTGAGAAGAGGTGTCATGAAAGACAAAAACAGACAAACTGCTTATCATTTATAACTCCTCGATCAGTGTAAAGGCCAATATTTACAAAACTGGTTGGTTGCATATGTCAGGAAAAACAAGGTTATTTAATAGATGAAACAGACTGATCGTCCCAGATATGATACTGGGAATATTTTGTATGTGTTAAAAAGGAATTAAATTTATCTATGGGAGTAATTTAGATTGTGGGAGCAACACTGTGTGGTGTGTGTGTGTGTGTGCACATATGTGTGTGTGTCCACGAAGGAACTTGAGGGCATGTGTGAAGAGGCAGGCAGACATGCTGACTGTCATTAGAAAGAGGATTTTCTGTCTGTTGAGTAATCCTGTGTAACTCTCTCTCTCTCTCTCTCTGATCAAGTCTTACCCCTCTTCAGTCTTCTCTCTCTCTCACTCCTTGGACAAAGCTTCAGGAACTCACAGGCCCTCAGCTGCCTCCTCTCTTCAGACAAACTTCAGGTGAGTAATGAACCCCCCTGTAGCCCTCCTCCTCTCCTTCTTCTGATGCTTCCCTTAGAGCTGAATCAAAGTTGCCACCACAGCATTTTTCACTTAAAATTTTGGCTTTCAAATAGAGACCCTGCCTTCCTACAGTAAACCTTCAGTAATGAAATAGTGGAATAATCTGGATCTTTAAAGGACTTTTAGTCGTTGTATTGTCTCAGCCTTTTGGTTTTTTTAACTTGCTGCACATGTTAAGACTGACAGCACACACAGTATAGCCTACACAGCAACCTCTTTAAATAGGTCTTCCTAATCTGCTCCACGTTAAAGGGACCAGCTACCAGTGAACAGATGCAGCATCGTCTCTCCACATCTCAGGCATTCTTCAAAAACCTCACAAAACAACCCCACTGATAATGACAAATGTACCGTACGGAGTATCCGTGATCAAGGCAGGTCAGGACAAAATGTAGAGCACCTTCATCCTTACTTTTCCTCTTTAATTAATCTTCTAATCCCTGATGAGAATCCGCATAATCCCACCGTTTTCCACTTATTTCTTCTACTTTAGGATCTAAACACATCCTCTACAGCTCCTACCTCCACATGTCATGCTCTCAGATTTGCTCCTTTTACTCCTGCTGCTGTCCACCTCTATTTGAGGACTTTTTTTTTTCCTGGTCTTCTACAAAAAAACAGTTTTACTCTTTTTTAATTAGGACCATGGATAGTTTGACCCTACCTCTCTCATTGTTCATTTCTCGTGTGTGTTATGTAAGCTCAGCTGATCATGTATCGGTTGATGCCAACTCTTAAGTTGTTGTACAGCTTAACCTTGTTAACTGCTACTATCAATACTCAGTGGGTGTATGTGTGTGCGAATGACACACATTAGCTAGACAGAAAAGCAGGTGGCATTGGTTTTATGGGTTACATCGCATAGGAACCCCAGAATCTTGCAGTTTTTATTAGTTTGAGAGAGTGCTTGATTAAATCTATTTCAAATGTAAGAATAAAAAGCAAAATAGAAATATAGATAACACTACAGTTTATAGTGCCTTATCTATTTTCTCTGTTTAGTATGGTTTATGACAATTTAACTGAGGAAAGAGATAAACTGCCCTGATTGGTTAGTGTGATTGCCAGCTTTAGTATCTCACTGAGTACCTCTCAAAGTACTAATTGTCCAATCGTGTTGGTAGTTCTCCTATAATTACTAAAATCAAGGCTTTAATACATTTTTCTTTTGGTCACTGAGTAATAAAACATAGAGTGAACAAAATTCAAGTCCTGGAGAGTTAAAGCCACAACCCCTAGTTCCTCAAAATATAGAGTATGCTCCAATCAGACAAAAAAGCTGCCTTTTGAAGGGATGTGATTTATCACTATGTTCACAGTAAGATGTGATTTCATGACCGAGATTTGTGGGGAGGCATAAAAGGTCAATGTAGTACAACAACACGTGCCCTACTTGCAGGTACTTTCAGGTTAACGACTTGTATCTTCAGCTCTCGTCTGTGCCAGTGGGCAGTCTGGTCTAATAATCTGGTCCCCATAATCTGGATGCTGTCTCTGGCAAACAGGCAGGACACTGTGGTTTGGTTCAGGCTTGCTTGCATCAGAGGCTCAGCGTCCATGAGAGTAGAGAAAATCAACTGTGAAATACAGCGTTAACGGCCCTTAATCAGAGTGTTAAAACGTATCCCCACAGTTGGTATGAATTCAACAGTGTTTTGACTCCAGTTGACTGTGAACAAAAATAACACCCTGAAAATTGTTATTTTCTCTTACTATACTGAAGGATAAATTACACCAATAGATGCTGAATGAAAACCAACTATGTTCTCCAACTTTTCACCAGAAAATAACCCAGACCACCTCACCATGGCAAACTCCTTCACTCGCATGATTGCTGGCCGCAACACAGCAGTGATTTTGGCCAGTATTGGGGCCAGCACTCTGGCATCTGGATATCTCCTCCATGAAAGTGCTGCTGCAGCTGAGAGGAGGAAGATCTATCCTCCCAGGTACATGTGTGAGAGTGTATGTGTTTTAATAGTCATATGTAGAACCTTGTCACATGTTACTCCTGCAGAAATCTGCTGTTTCTTTAACAAAATCAAACCCTACCAGGATGATACATGATTTTGTCAAACCTATACAGTCTATGGTTAAACTCGATCAAAACTTACATAAATCAAATGTTAAGAACACTTCCATCATTGAAGGTCACTCACCGTACTAACATCCTCTGAAAAAAACGGTTAAGTAATTCAGTGTATCTTGGTTAATCTGTAGCTGAAAAAAAATATTAAATATTGCCTCTTTGCTTAACCTAAGCAGTTTGAAAATAACATACTTTAACCCATTAGCAACACTAAGACAACCCTCCACATTAGCCTTATTTCCTCAGCTAATCTTACTGTTTATTGATACATGTCACAATATGATGGCCATAAGGACTCATGCTTGCTTCCTAACCTGGACTTCACATTGGAGAAACATGGCTGTTGTATACATTTGCTGAACATTTCTGTAAAACTCATCCTTTTTAAATTCACAAGTACTTTGCCTGACTCGACTGTGAGGACTTGTAGAAAACTTGTTAGGCCATAGTTGTCCATGACTCTCTACAGCGCAGACTTCCCTGACCTGAGGAAGCACAACAACTGCATGGCAGCAGCCCTGACCCCGAAAATGTATGCACACCTGAGGGACAAGGTTACCCCCAACGACTGGACCCTGGATCAATGCATCCAGACCGGGGTGGACAATCCAGGTCACCCCTTCATCAAGACTGTGGGCATGGTGGCCGGAGATGAGGAGAGCTACGAGGTTGGAGCCATTGTTTGTATTCAGTTGTGTTATAACCAGATCTGAACTGTTCAAAACTGAGAGTTTGACTTTTCCTGTTCAGGTGTTTGCTGAAATCTTTGATCCTGTGATCAAGGATAGACACAATGGCTACGATCCTCGCACAATGAAGCACCCTACTGACCTGGATGCTTCCAAGGTAGTGACTACTTTCCAGCCATCAATTCCTGTATTTGATCTTGTATTGATCATAGTTAGATGGCAACCATTTCTTATGATGTTTAACTTAACCCACTGAGCAACGGACGGCTATTAGACATCTAGTTTTTTTTAAACCTAATTTTAACCGTCTAGATTCTGGATAGTTTTAGACAGAATTTGGATGTTGCACTTATACCCATCATTTGGCAACTATTAATTTCAAAAAGCAACTGTGAGTTACACAACTGATCTCCAAGTACTTAACCAAAATAATGATGATAGCCATTGAGCAATATACAGTGTAGTTTAGATATAGCCCAGATTTAGACTTGGTCTAAACTTGGTCTAAATAGACACAATAGCAAATTGATATTTGTGGTTTCATTCCTGAGTATGGCTTATTGATCCCAAAGATCTGACCAGATAAGTCAGTCAACACTCTGAAAATGTCCTCTACATCCATTCTCAGGTCACCTCTGGTATGTTTGATGAACGCTATGTGTTGTCATCCCGCGTCCGCACTGGCCGCAGCATCCGTGGACTGAGTCTCCCCCCTGCGTGCTCACGCTCCGAGCGTCGTGAGGTGGAGCGTGTGGTTGTCACAGCTCTGGCTGGTTTGAAAGGAGACCTGGCCGGTCGCTACTACAGCCTGGGAGAAATGACTGATAGGGAGCAGCAGCAGCTTATTGATGTAGGTACACAATCACACATCCCCAAAACCAGGTTTATAACTCCTCTTTTTAACTTTCTAATATGACTTTTGCCATCCAACGCCCACCTTGGTTCCCTCACTGGTCAATCAGGAGCACTTCCTCTTTGACAAACCTGTATCACCTCTGCTAACTGCAGCTGGGATGGCCAGAGATTGGCCTGACGCCCGAGGGATCTGGTAAGACTGTAGGGGAGAGTTGGTGGCTTGGTGGTCTACTAAAAAGTGTAGCTGCTTGCAGTAGTTTTTGTAGATCTGAGAGAGTGTGCCAGAAAGTATTTCACTCTTTACTTTGCAGCCAGCACTAGATGTTAGTTTGTGCTTGGGTGGATAGTAGTTTTAGTTTGGGAAGACAACAACACTGATTCCTGCTTTTGACCATCATGAACTGCAGCTTCTAATGTTCAGTCCATGTTTTACTAACTTATATGCACTGTTTTTTTTATTTGATTTAAACGGGTATTATGCATCATTACGCACTACTTTCATTCAGTTAGACCAAAATCCAGTAGAGTAAACTGACACACTCCTGTGATGTAAAGTAAGAAAATTCATGAGGGAATTGTCTGCTGCTATAACTGCTAACAAGGCTAACTGTCTTTTAGCATGTGCCTAATACATTGCTGACTTTATTCTTCAAGAACAGTAGCTCCTTTAGACCAATAGGTTGCTTTATATCCCTTTAAATGTATCCTTATAATTTAAAAAAGCCTCTTTCTCTACCTCCACAGCTTTAAGTAGTGCCTTTCTAATTCCTACCTGTACTGTCACAACCTTTGTCTAACCTGACACTGAAAGCATTTACTCTGCTGAGTGTGTGATTGTGTGATTATGTTTCACTAATTGTGTTAGGCACAACAATGAGAAGAACTTCTTAATCTGGGTCAACGAGGAGGATCACACCAGGATCATATCCATGGAGAAAGGAGGGAACATGAGGAGAGTATTTGAGAGGTTCTGCAGAGGTCTGAAACAGGTGATCATGTCTCTGGTGTCTTCTGGATCATTTTTGAATCAGTCATTTACTGGAAAAGTATAATCATGCATTTGGCCTCATTGCAGATATTTTAAAGACTTTGGCCCAAAAAGTGCCTCAAAAAGTTACAATATAAACATTTTTTTTTCTCAAAACTTTAAGGTGGAGCATTTAATCCTGGAGAGAGGTTGGGAGTTCATGTGGAATGAGCGCCTGGGCTACATCCTCACCTGCCCCTCCAACCTGGGCACCGGGCTGAGGGCTGGTGTTCATATCCGACTGCCTCTTCTCAGCAAGGTATTGCTGGAAACGCTGCCATTTCACCTCAAGCACAGGGGGCACAAAATCCCCACTGAATTAAGGTTCTCCTCTCTGACAGCAGTTTAATATGTGTTATTTTTATGTTAAAGGACCCTCGCTTTAAGAAGATCCTGGATAATCTGAGGCTACAGAAAAGAGGCACAGGAGGTGTTGATACGGCTGCTACCGGAGACACCTTTGACATCTCCAACCTAGACCGTCTGGGCAAGTCAGAGGTAAACACCTAAAGAGGGAGACTGCAGCAGGAAATGAGCAGCAGGCAAAGAAAGACAGAGCAGAGCAACAGGTGTGGGCTGGGAAACCGGCACCCCCTGCTGCTCTTTAATCTGTAATCCAGGCAGGGAGGGCTGTGCCAGTTAAGGTTAAAAGACCTCTCTCTGCTCATGCTGCACCTCCTCACAGACTGTGATGGCCTCCAACACGCCCCACTAATGGAAGGTTGATAAAGGTGAAAGTTGTTTAAGGCTAGGGTTGTTGTTGTTGTGGTGTGAGTCTGCCAAAAACAGCGAAGTAGAGCCAGCCCAGCCTGAAGGGCTTAACACGGGGAGCAGCAGCGTTTGTGTGAACTTGGCCAGTGTTGCCATAAAGCCAGCAGGTGATGACAGGTAGGGAAGCCAATGTAGACATGCTGCAGTGTAGTAAGTGGACAACATGGGCCAGACAACTTCAACTCAGAGACAGTCATAAATTGAGGGGAGCATGCTGCACTCACTGAAGAGAAAAAAACCCAAAGCATTTATTCAGCCTCAAAAAGATATTTGTCTTCAAACTGTGAGAAGAGGTTTTATAAAATCTATATTAAAAATGTAACTTCAGTAGCACTGGGCAGCTGTCCAGTGGTTTAAGTATTTGCCTAATCATCTTTTAAGTCACCATATTATTGTACATTTCAGAAGCATTGTCACTATCCACAAACCATACCATATCAGCTTAGTTGATTCTGGAGAAACGCTGCAGATCAGAATCGTCTTCAAGACTGAAAAACCGCCATATAGTGCCTTAGAGCCCTACTGCACCAGTGCATCATCTACAGACCCATACTAATAACAAACATCATCAATACCGTGTTACTTAAAGACACTAGTATTCTTTCGTGTCTAAAACCGAAACTATAAACAGTACTGCATATAGTCATAGTGCATGTTTCCTTTCTTGAGCGGCATAAACAAGCTTCTGTCGGGATTTTGAGAAATACTAAGGCCAAAGGCCAGGTCCTTGATTTAAAATAGCAAAATGCCACCAAATAAGTGCATGTAATATGCTTCTATATAAACATGCAAAGACGAAGATCCATGAGTTGGAGTTTTTTGCATTGTAAAGGAAAATGAGCTTGTTTAGAAGTGCTTGGGTTTATTGTCACTACTGATATTCTACCAATAATACATGCACATCTCTTAAAAATGCAGCATAAAAAAGTTTAAACTTAATCTTGCAGCAAAATATAAATTAAACTATAAGATGTTAGGATGGCATTATCAATTGACTTTCCTTCTTTCTGCACAGCTGTTTACTGTAGGTGCCCAAAGACAGATTCTTGTCCTGCTCCAAAGTCTTCTATTATTGTTTCTAAACATGACACTAATGACTTTTTTAATATCTATATCAATTTAACGGAATCCCTCTCATTTTGTATTTGTGTTAACATGTAGTTAAGTGTACAGTCTTCTAGAAGTTACTGCAGGAAAAGAACAAAAGCAACAGTATGTTAAAACTGCTTATTTCACTTGTTTGTACTCCTTGATGCAGAGAGCAATTGCTCAAATCAACTGTGTTTCATAAAATCAAATTCAATCCCACGAGCCTCTCATCTCTGAGTACAACTTGGTTAGGTTTGTCAAGACTAAAGTGAATTCTTTTCATGACTATAAATGCAAATATACCTCAAATGTGCACATCCTTTATGTGATTTTGACACCAGTTTGACACCAGTCACCCTGTATCCACAGGTGGAGCTTGTGCAGTTGGTGATTGACGGAGTGAACTACCTCATTGAATGCGAGAAAAGACTGGAGAGAGGGCAGGACATCAAGATCCCCTCCCCCATCCCTCAGTTCAAGAAGTAAACATCAAATCTCCTGGGACATCAAGCAACTCCTGCTCCAAATGCTAGCTCTTAGACTTTCTTTGGAGATTTTTACCACATGTATAACCTTTTACTGAGAAACACTATAAAATAAATGTACAGCTATTCTAACACAATAAAGACTCTTGATGAAGTGACTTTGTCCAGAGACAAGTGTTTTTTCAAATGTGCAGGATGTCTGAAACTTTCAGACGTTTCCTGAGTCCATAAATGATAATAATAATAATAATAATATAATGTTGTCAGTATATATTATAATATATATAATAATAATGAAAAAAAAAAAAAACAAGTGAAATGATAAAGTGTGGAAGAGTATGATTAAATAATAAGCTCAAGTGCGGTATGTTGGAGTGTGTTTTTTTTTTAACTTTACCTCAGGTACTGTCATATATTCTTCACACTGCAACAAGAGAAATATTGTGGTTCCTACATCTAGAGTGGGTAGTTATTTTAGATCATTACCCAGCCATGTGAATCACTTGATTTTAGTCGGTTAAAACTCCAAACAAAGGTAATTAAACTTGAGCAGGATTACAACTGCTAAGGACAACCTGATTACTCACCTAAAAGTGAGGCCATTCATGGAAACAAGTCCAGCACATTTAACCATTCCTGTCACCAACAATATTAGAAATTGTGACATTTGTCTTCTTTAGAGGTGTGAACTGCAAAACTCCAAGAACAAGAAGCTGACTGAGAAAAGAAATATTCCTGCAGAAATGCCACCCACCCTGTCTAAGGTTACCTGCAGTGAAAATGTTGTTTAAAGTAAGTACTGACAAATAAGATGAGTAATGGTTTAATGTGACCATGACGAAATAGGGTGATTCGTTCCTCCTTGAGGGGAGTTGAGGATCTACTGCCATGGAGGTGTAACTGACCATGGACGCAGGGGGACTTGTTTTTAGCTATTTAGATAAACCATTATAAATAATAATTGTAATCAAAATACTATTCATATTTACTTATTGTCAGTGTCTTTTGTTGATTGTATGTCATAAGCAGGATATTGTACAGTAAGTTTATGTCGAGGTCTTGCTCACCCTGTTGCTGTTCTAGTTCACATACAGTAACCAGCCTGCTCACTGTACATCATCCCTTACTCAAACTTTACCGTACAAAAAATGCTCTTTAATGTCATGAAAAATGTGACATTGATAACAATTATGATGTAGTATTAGTGCCACATTAAAAATTTTTATCAGTATTTTTTTTTTTACTTTTTTTTTTTTAGTTTCTCTTGAGAACAAAAGTGTAAGAAAATCAAGTCATAATATTAAGTTACAAGATCGAAGTCATACTAAGGTCATAACATTCAAAGAATAAAGTCATTATGTTATGAGAATTAAGTTGTGATAAACTTTTGGTTTACAGTGAGCAGCTAGCTGTCCTTTCTTTTAGCACCACTGTTATAATTATTAGAACGCTGAAAAGATTGTGCTAAAAGCTGAGATGTATGGCATCCCCCTTCAATACAGGATTATGGTTAAATGTTGACTATATTAATGACTCTCAGCATGATTTTTACAACAGCTATATTATGAGAAAATAAAAAAAAAGGCTAATCATAAACCATTAACTGAATAAACTAATGTGAAACAAGACAACTCATCTGAACAAACGGGAAAAAAAGCACAACTCAAAGCCAGACCTGACCTGACACTGCTCTGCAAGTCCCTCAGACGGTGATGCTGCTTTCAGGCCATGGCGTACTGCCAGGCTTAATCAGATGAAGCTATATTGGAAGAAGTCAGGTCTACCAACTATCAAACGCTCAACCATTCACCTCCCAAAACTATGGCCAGTGTGACTACATGACACACATTCAGTAAAATAGAAACCAAATGCCACCAGACACCCTTTTGGGAAAAACATGAACCCAAAAGGATGCATTTCTTCCCAACAGCTGGTGGTTCACCTGAAGTTCACCTGACGCCTACAGTAGCCCTTAATCCAGGGGGAGATGGCCAAGCGTATTACTTACAGACACCAGACAGGCCAAACAGTAGTGGCTGGTTAATTCTGTGCCAGATACAGTTTCATCTTATTCAGTTGCTTAGGTGAAAGGAAGTGGGGGATTATACTTTATAAATAAAGATGCCCTGCTATGAGAAATTAGTGTTGTAATTATTTGGGTGAAGAGTCCTCGTAAATCCTGCTGCGATGAGAGTCATTCGGAAGGATTTTTATTTTCTTTTTAGCAGATTAATGACGCAGATGTATTAATGCTATTAGAGCGATACAGTAATAGGCTCAGAAACTGTGTGTATATGAGTGTGTGTTAGTACAGAAATCATGCTGTAATTATATGTCTGAATGAGGCTGTGATTTATTTGATAGAGGCCAAAATTAGATTTTCTAAGCAGTGAATATCCAGTGAATATCCAGGTAATGTTTCATGCAAAAGCAAGAGTGGTGTTTTTCTGGAATTGTAAACAACTAGGAGGATCTCATCAGTGTAAGGAGTGCTTGAAAAAGTCCAGGTAAGGTCATCACATAACTTTAAGCTGTTTAAACATTAATTCAAGCAAAACATTCACATTTCCAGGGGAAGCAGCTCTCGTTTTAGGCTGAAAGGAACGCTGAAGGTTCAAAATCAAAAAGTCTAAAAGTGACATTACACTTGCACAAAAATTAAGACTAGGGGCTCTATTTTCGTGCCCGCCGGCAGCGGGGGAGGGTGGCTCACCCCGAGCAGTGGTATTTTCATCTGCCGAAGCCTTGCGCATAGCCAGTTTGGTATTTTCATAGGCTAAGGCGAATCAAGGTTCGCCAAGCTGGGCGTGGTAGGGGGAGGTGTCAACAGAATCGGCTGGCCCAGTGACATTTTCGTGGCGGAGCGCAGCTGGTATAGTGGTATTTTGGTAGACTGGCGGCATAGTGCGCTTACGTCACTGATGCCTCACCGGCAGGTTTCCACAGTATCAGGCACATTTCAGTGCAATAAATAATCAACAATAACCATATTTAGTGTAACTATCTGAGTCAGCACATACATTTAGATCTATATCAATATATTCTGATTTATATCTTACCTGGTGAGTGCGTTTGGCACACGTAACTGGACACTCAACAATGATTGAATTAACACAGCTGAAACTGCATTCAATTAAATATCCTGTAAATAGCCACACATGATGGAGTTAAAATGATATTCAATCATCCCCCACCCCTTTTCTCTCTTAATAAGTAAATGGATAAATACCTTTAAAACTAAAAGTTTGAACCTTTGGCCCTCCCACCTACTTTCCTCTCCTCTCTCCTTCACTTGGTCTTCCTTTTCTCTCTTTGCAAGAAAAATTGGAAAAATGGAAAGTTCAGGTAAACAAAACACACAAAGATAAACAACCGTTAAAGTGATTAAGTGAAAATAAGAGCAAACATGTATATGAACCTTTTTTCTGTGAGAGTAAAAAACCTTTGGCCCTCCCACCTCCTCTCCTCTCCTCTCCTCTCTTATCTGTCTCTGTCAGTAAAATTAAATCAAAGAAAGTGTAAGTAATGTTCCCCCTTTGAAGGATGAGCCACTGGCTGCTGGGCTGACCGGGAACCGGGACGAGAGCCGAAGCTCAGGTGAAGCGCTGCTCCATCTGCAGGCAAAAACAAAAACAAACTTTTTATGACTTCTTCAGGGTCTGAGTTTCTGACTCTTATTATGTGCCTTTGAAACAGCTAATAGTAACTCTAATGATGTGGTTAAGTTCTTACATTTTCAAGATCAATACTATGTCAAATTTTCTAAATAATCAATAAAAAAATGTTTGGGAGTGTGCACTTATTAGGTTGCCTTTGACCTTTATTACAAAGTTAAAAATATGTAGCCTATCGTGTAAGCTTATTTTAAGTACATCTTCCTTACCATGCTTAATTGATTATCCAACATTTCAATGGGATTTTATTGAAATTATTTTCATAATTTAATAATAATAGTTAAACAGTTTGGCAAATGTTAACAATTTGCTTTTATTTGCTCAATGGTTCACATCATTTATACTTTTCCTCTCAGGTCTCAGGAAGCCCTGTCCTGGGACCTGGTATCTGGTCTTTTGTTTTGAAAGAAATTCTCACTTGAAAATAGTTAAGCTGTGGCTGCTGTGAAATATGGGACTGGTCAGTAGGTTCGATTGGATTCAAAACAAAACAACCTCTGAATGTTTAGGTAGCAACCAAAAAATAGTTAGGTTTGTACTGAGAAAATATAGATTTTACTACAAATATACCAAAAATAGCGTTAAATTAGTATGAAATTACATTTTGTTGTACTAAACACACAGTATTTGGCAAGTTATGTGTTTTTTTTTTATCAAACGTATGTGTAGTTGTAGTCTCAATGTGACAATAGAACACCAACATACTGTTAGCAACTAAAATGACTGCAGGTTACAGATGACAAAAACTGTAGGCCTACCGCGAATCATTCAAGAAATCATTTCATTTTGTTCAAACATGTGCTAACAACAGCTTTGGGTTTACCTCTGCAGTCTTTGGCTAATATTTTATTCATAAAATTAAAAATCTGAAGGCTAAAGCTAACATCGGTTACGTTCTGTTCATGATAGCATCGGTCACCGTCTGTTTATGTTAGCTAAATTTTCGACACAACTCTATAAAACTAATTAATTCTCACTTTTTTGAAGAAGTCCTGTCTTAAGTCTGTCGTCGAGGTCCTGAAGAAAGAAAGTCGCCTGTAGTTAGGGCCCGAGCGTAGCTGCTAAGCAGCTGCGAGAGCCCTCTTGTTCCTGCATGTTTCCTTCTTTCGTTATTAGGGCCCGAGCGTAGCTGCTAAGCAGCTGCGAGAGCCCTCTTGTTCCTGATGGATTCTTCTTTTGTTATTATTATTATTATTATTTTTCCTCCGCTTTAAACTGGAAAATGGCCCACTTCCCACTGGCGAAAACTCAGGAAATTTGGCAGGACGACCGGGCCTGGTGAAAAATTCGATATTCTGTAGTCGCCCAAACAATAAAATGCAAAATG